GCCCCTGACACTCTAGAATTCTCAGGGCTTACTTGTACTTTTGTAGCGTCCTCAGCCTTACAGTCCTCAAACAGATGGGAAAAAAATTCTTTTGTTCTTTTAAACTGAAAACCAGAATCTGATAAATATGTAAATGAGTACACTTGCCTGCTGATGCATACACATAAACTATGATCCAAGCAACGAAGACTTACTTTGAGATCATTTCCTGAATTCTTTCTGTTCCAGGTGTTATTACTGATAAACTTGAAGTTTCTATAAACTTAAGCCCTAATTCAAGAATCTAAATTTTGATTATTTGAGAGAGACAGAGCACACAAGAGCACAAGTGGAGGGAGGGGCAGAGGGAGAAGGAGAAGCAAGCTCTCTGTTGAGCAGGAAGCCCTGACCTGGGGCTCAATCCCCGGACCCTGAGATCATGACTTGAGCCAAAGGCAGACACTTAACTGACTGAGTCACCCAAAAGCCCTAAGAATCTAAATTTTGAAGACAGTCTAAAGGAAAACCTTCACTCTAGAGAGGATCGATTTGACTATTAATTCTGGGTTAGATGTTCTGTGGTGAGATAATTACAGTTTTTCCAAACAGGTCCAACCTGTGTGGTTAATTACTAGAACTAGTTCTAGAACTAGAACTAAACTTATATATATATATATATATTGTGTGTGTGTGTGTGTGTCAAGAAGACTGTATGGCTCTAAATTGTTTGAGATTTACAAGTGCGGGCTGTATGTTAAAAGGGAGCATTTATCCTTTCACTTTACACACTTCTGTAATGTTTGAGTTTTTATTCTTTCTATGTTTGAATTTTTAAATGTGTATTCTTTTTTGTAATTTCAGAACAAAAGATTTTGATTAGCTGTAAATTGTAACTACTGTACATAGTATCAAAGGACTCAGCCCAAATTATCTGATTTTAACTGAATTTGAAAAAGACTATCTGATATTATCTAAGTACCAGAAGGCAACTTGTCAGTTGCAACTGCCTAGCAGCAGATTACAGATAATCTGTTTGCAAAAGTCTTCCCCAGGGGCAGTAACACTGGCAGTGGCTTTGCAAGCTGAGCAGGGTTTCCTCACAACACAGGGAAAATCTGAACATCCTTCCCACTTTCCCATAAGCAAATACAAGTTCCTCTATTCTGTTGCATTTTTAATTATTTTTAATTTTTGAAATTACGTAAGTTATACATCCTCCTTGGAAGAAAAAAATTCAGACAATATAGAAATATGAAAATCTTATTCTTCAGAAGTAACTACTGTTTGGAGTTCAGTTGTGTTTCCTTTCAGATTTTACATACACACACACACACACATAATTTCAACTCCTATTTTTCTTTTTTTCTTTCCTTTTTTTTTTCTTTAAGTGGGTTCCACACCCAGCATGGAGCCCAGCATGGGGCTTGAACTCATGACCTTGAGATAAAGACCTGATTGAGACCAAGGGTTGGATGCCTAAGGGACTGAGTCACCCATGTGCCCCTTCATTTTTAACATTTTTTTTCAGATAGAATTCCCATACCATAAGACTCACCATTTTATTTTATTTTTTTAAGATTTTATTTATTTATTCATAAGAGACACATAGAGAGAGGCAGAGACATAGGCAGAGGGAGAAGCAGGCTCCTGGAGGGGAGCTGGATATGGGACTCTATGCCAGAACCCCGGGATCACAACCTGAGCCAAAGGCAGATGCTCAACCACTGAGCCACCCAGGTGCCCCAAGCCTCATTTTATTTTATTTTATTTTATTTTAAAAAATATTTTATTGATTTATTCATGACAGACACAGAGAGAGACAGGCAGAGACACAGGCAGAGGAAGAAACAGGCTCCATGCAGGGAGCCTGATGTGGGACGCGATCCTGGGACTCTGGGATCACACTCTGAGCTGAAGGCAGACACTTAACCTCTGAGCCACTCAGGCGTCCCAAGCCTCACCATTTTAAATAAGTGTACAGTTCAGTGGTTTTTAAAGTTTTTTTAAACTTGATGGCTCAGTCAGTTAAGTGGCTGCCTTTGGCTCAGGTCATGATCTCAGGGTCCTGGGATCAAGCCTCACATGGGGCTCCTTGCTCCTCAGGGAGACTGCCTCTCCTTCTCCGTCTGTGCTTCCTCTCCCTTTGTGCACTCTCTCTCTCAAGTAAATAAATACAAGTTTAAAAAATAAATTAAGTTTTAAAAAATTTATTTAAGGGATCCCTGGGTGGCTCAGCAGTTGAGCGCCTGCCTTCAGCCCAGGGCGTGATCCTGGAGTCCTGGGATCAATTCCCACATCGGGCTCCCTGCATGGAACCCGCTTCTCCCTCTGCCCATGTGTCTGCCTCTGTGTGTGTCTGTGTGTGTGTGTGTCTTTCATGAATAAATAAATACGATCTTTAAAAAATAAAATAAAATAAAAAATAAAATAATTTAAGTCATGTCTACACCCCACGTGGGGCTCAAAATTACAACTCTGAGATCAAGAGTCACATGCTCTTCCTACTGAGCCAACCAGGCATCCCTATTCAGTAGTTTTTAATATAGTCATAAAATTGTACAATCATCAGCACTAATTCCAGAACATTTCCTCACCCCAAAAAGAGACCCTGTACTCATTAGCAGTCATTCCTCACTCCCCACCATCCCCATCCTGGCAACCACTAATCTAATGTCCTGTCTCTATAGATCTACATATTCTGGACATTTCACTTAAATGGAATAACACAATCTGTGTCTGTGAGTACCTGGCTTCATTCACTTAGCGTAATGTTTTCAAGGTTCATCCACGTCATGGGATGGATCAGTGCTTCATTACTTTTTATGGTTGAATAACAATCTGTTGTATGCATAGACCACATTTTGTTGATCTCTTTATTAGTTGATAGACATTTGCATTGTTTCCAGTTTGGGGCTAGTCATTTTATATCCCCCTGGCAACGTACAAGGGCTCCTCTTTCTCCACACTCACCAACACGTTTTCTTTTCTTCCCTTTTTTAAAAAAAATTATATTTATTTATTCATGAGACACAAAGAGAGAGGGGCAGAGACACAGGCAGAGGGAGAAGGAGAGGAAGAAGCAGTCTCACTGCAGGGAGCCCAACGTGGGACTTTATCCCGGGTCTTCAGGATCACACCCTGGGCTGAAGGCGGCGCTAAACCACTGAGCCAACCGGGCTGCACCTTTTCTTCCCTTCTAATACTATCCATCCCCATGACTGTAAAGGGATATTTGGCTTTGATTTGCATTTCCCTAAAGCCTAATGATACTGAGCATCTTGTCTATGTTAGCAGTTTTTTTATGTTATCCTCAGAGGCGCCTGAGTGGCTCAGTCGGTTAAGCATCTGACTCTCAGTTTTGGCTCAGGTCATGATCCTGGTGCCCTGGGATGCAGCCCTGAGTCAGGCTCTGCGCTCACACTCAGCGGAGAGTCTGCTTCTCTCTCGGCCCTTCCCCCAACTCTCTGCTTGTCCCTTGTGTGGGTGTACGTACGTTCACATGCTCTCTCTCTCTCTCAAATAAATAAAATAAAATCTTATGTATCATCTTCAGAGAAATGTTTATTAAAATTTTTGCCCATTTAAAAGTTGGGCCGGGCAGCCCGGGTGCCTCGGCAGTTTAGCGCCGCCTTCAATCCAGGGCGTGATCCCGGAGACCCAGGATCGAGTCCCACGTCTGGCTCCCTGCATGGAGCCTGCTTCTCCCTCTGCCTGTGTCTCTACCTCTCTTTCTCTCTCAGTGTCTCTCATGAATAAATAAATAAAATATTTTTAGAAATTAAAAAATAAATAAATAAAAGTTGGGCCGGGCAGCCTGGGTGGCTCAGTGGTTTAGCACCGCTTTCAGCCCAGGGCGTGATCCTGGAGACCCGGATGGAGTCCCACATCAGGCTCCCTGCATGGAGACTGCTTCTCCCTCTGCCTCTCTGTGTGTGTGTGTGTGTCTAATCAATTTTTTAAAAAATCTTTAAAAGTTAGGCCATTTGTCTTTTTTACTGTTCAGTTCTTTGTATGTTCTGGATACAAGTCCCATATCAGATATGTGATTTGCAAATATTTTCTCCCATTCTGTGGATATTTTTGTTTTTCAGAATAAAAGTAAGTTACTAAATTTACTGTCTGTAACTTGTTCTTTTTCTTTATCAGTGTATTATTGGAATCCTTCAATGTCAAGAGAAGGCTATGTCACTCTTTTCTTTTTTCCTACCTTATTGTTTTCCTTCTTTTCTCATTTTTTAAAAAAGATTTTATTTATTTATTTGACAGAGAGAGAGCACAAGCACAAGGAATGGCAGGCAGAGGGTAAGGGAGAAGCAGGCTCCCTGTGGAACAGGGATCCCCATGTGGGGACTCGATCCCAGGACCCTGGCATCATAACCTGAGCTGAAGGAAGACACTTGGGCAGCCCAGGTGGCTCAGCGGTTTAGTGCTGCCTTCAGCCCAGGGCCTGATCCTGGAGACCTTGGACTGAGCCAGGGCCTGATCCTGGAGACCCGGGATTGAGTCCCACGTTGGGCTCCCTGCATGGGGCCTGCTTCTCCCTCTGCTTGTGTCTCTGCCTCTCTCTCTCTCTCTCTCTCTCTCTCTCTCTCTCTCTGTGTCTCATGAATAAATAAATAAAATCTTAAAAAAAATAAGAAGAAGAAGGAAGACAACCAACTGAGCCACCCAGGTGTCGCTTATTTTTTCGAGGTGGCACTCCATTATGATTGTGCCACAGTTGATTTGACCAGTTCTATGCTGAACTTTAAAAGACAGAGTCTTCAGTTTGTGTGTTGGTGAAAGACAAGGAACCAGCAGCTCTTGGGCAGGAGGTTGCTACCTACTGTGTTGTCTGCTCCTGGATGATGTGAAAATGCAAGCGGGCACAGGAAGTGTCTCTAACCCTCTTACACTTCCTCTAAACCCATGTGGTTTCACAAGCCCTATAGGCTCACCACCACCCAATGTCACCAGCTTGGCGTCTTTGTGAGAAAGTCTCACTGCAGGAGGCCCTGGGGCATTATTATTTCCCTCTTTTAGTCTGTCTGGTTGCCAAATCCCCAGGGTTCTCTGAGACCGGAGTCTTGATTAGACATCTCCAGCCGCTGGAAAGATGAACTCCTACATCATCATAACGAGGCTGCTGCTGTCCGGGCCTTCCCTCTTCGGTAGGCAAGGGAAAAAATGGAGGGGAAGGCAAGGGACATGTGTCTCTGTCCAGTGAGACCACAGGACTTTGTGGAACTGGAGTAAAAGAGCAGCTAGTGTTCGGTGGGATTGGCCACAGGTGACATGAGGGTTAGGAATCTTGGAGGGAGAAGGGGATAAGAAAAGAAAGAGGTTAGAAAAAAAAAAAGAGGTTAGAGTCCAAAGTAGAGGCAAGGTCTGGAGGAAAAGAGAAGGAAGACACAGGTGGCAACAGAGATACAGAGTGTGGTCTTTATTTTTTATTTTTTAAGATTTTACTCATTTATTCATGAGAGACACACAGAGAGAGGCAGAGACATAGGCAGAGGGAGAAGCAGGCTCCCGGTGGGGAGCCTGATGAGGGACTGGATCTCAGGACCCCAGAATCATGCCCTGAGCTGAAGGCATCTCTGGCTTAGGGTTTTTTAAAAAGGCAGATGGCTAATGGGTACCTGGAGCAGTCGCTGGGGTCTGGTCCTGCCCATGGCACCACTGTGTACCATCTCAGCACTTTGCTCTTTCTGGACCTCAGTCCGTTCATGAACAAACGGTGGGGCAGCTTCTCTGCCATCCTGGATGCCTGGGAAAGAAGCCTGATGCCTGGAAGAAAGCAGGGCCAGAAAGGACAGTTAGGGGCTTGCAAAGGATGATACTAGGCCGCTTGAAGTGGGGGATGACATGGGCCAACCTGAGATCTAATGGAAGGAAGAGCCTGGTGCACAGCGGGGTGGGCAGTAAGGGAGCATTAGATGAGAAGCAGCTGCACAGGGATCAGGGGACCTTGAAACCATGAGTCTGTGGGCAGAAGCCTGAGGCCAATTATCTAGGGTCCTAGGCCCAAGGGAGAAGTGGGTGTGTAGGGAGATGCACCCTGCGATGGGGCAACCTCATCCCACGGGGGGCCCCTTCCATCTGCCTCTATCTCACGGACCAACGCCTTCTCATCCTTCCTTCTTTGCTAGCAGGCCAAGTGGGCTCTGGGTAGTAGGGAGTTGCTGCTTCCAATTTCCCGGAGTCCAGGCTCTGAAAGGGGAAGCCCGAGGGGGAAGGTCTAGCTCTGCCTCCCAAGCAGGCAGCGGCGGGCGGGTGGCCCCAGCAGGAAGGAGCCGGGTCTTTGTGGGTGGGCCGCCCACTTGGGGCACGTGGGCGACCGCCAATCAGCGCCTGCGGCTCTGGGGCCCCCTGCAGGGACCCTGGCTGGCCGGAACCGCTGACCGGCTTGACCGACTGACCGCACCCTCTGGTCTCCCTCAGCCCTGGCCTCAGGCTACAACTTGGAAGTGCAGCACGTGCAGAACTTCTCCTTCCCACACGCCGGGAGGCATTTTGGGTACAGAGTCCTGCAGGTTGGAGACCGGTGAGCCGCCCCTGGCCCCCCCTGCCCCGCAGAGCCAGGACTGGAGACCAGGACACCAGCCCGCGGGGGAGCGGGCGTAGGGGGCGTGGGGGGCGCAGGTCGGGAAACCGGCAGGTGCCAAGGGTCTTCCTTCTGGAGGAGCGAGGCCATCAGATAGTAGGACCAGCACAGTCCATCCTTAAATCTCCACCTAAGTGCCTGATAGAAGGGGAAATATCACAGCCCCTAAAAGGCTTTGCAACACTTCTAAATTCCCCAGTAGCGCTTGGGCTGGACAGTGAGCTCCTTGACAGCAGAGACTTTGTTTCTCTCATTTTTCCCCTCATGCCCAATACATGCCCCAACCTAGCACAGAGTAGATATGTCATAAATGCCTTTTTAAAAAAGATTTTATTTATTTATTTGAGAGAGAGAGAGCACAACCAGGTGGAGGGGCAGAGGGAGAGAGAAGCAGACTCCCTGCTGATCAGGGAGCCAGGTGTGAGGCTCCATTCCAGGACCCAGGAGCCAGGACCAGGATCATGACCTGAGCCCAAGGCACACGTTAGGCAGCGAAACACTGAGGCACCTTCATAAATGACTTTTGAACTGTTGCCTGATTGAGCGAACTTATGTGACATCTGGCACATCATTCTCTGGACCTCAGTTTTTCTAAACTATAAATGGTAAAGATCCTTAACTTTCTAGAATTTTCGCCTCTGAATAGGGAAGAGGTGGGGACTGAGGAGCCTCCCTACAGGGGACAGACTGCGTTGCTTTGAGAAACTTGTGGATCTGAGCCCCCCAATGGGTAGGAGTGGGTGGGTAAAGATGGGACAACTTCATCTCACAGGTGAGATTTCTCATCAGGGTTGTCGTGGGAGCTCCAGGTGAGGGGAACAGCACAGGAAACCTCTATCAATGCCAGCCAGGCACTGGCCACTGCCTACCAGTCAGCCTGAGTGGTGAGTAACTGGTGAGGGGCCTGGGAGGAATACTGTCCCAGGGAAGTCGAGGCTGGCCCCACCACACCTCGGTACCTAAGTTCCTCCAGACCAATCAATCTCCTGGTGCCTACAGGTTCCAACTATACTTCCAAGTACTTGGGGATGACCTTGGCGACAGACTTCATAAGTGGAAAGCTTTTGGTAAGAATCTCATGTAGTGATACTAAGAAAGACAGATTAAAAAGAAGGAAGGCAAAGGGAGTAAAAATCCTATAGAAGATTTCAGGCATCAGAGAGATACCGAATTAATCAGGATTTATTAAGAATGCAGTGTGAGCCAACTATTTTTGAGCTCTTACTTATGTCAGTTTTTTTCCAAATATGAAATGTGCCCATTGACATACAGAGGTGATTTTTGGTGGTACACAAACTTTTGATGTTTTATACTTATATCTTTATTTAATGGCTTCTTAGGAAATATATACCACACATCAAATTCATGATTTCTTGGATCAAACTGCTTGGGGTAAAGCTAAAGTTAAAAAAAAAGGGTAAATTTAAAATAAATAAAACATTACATAAATAAGAGTATGCATGATAGGCAGAAATTGTGAAGTGTACATAAATGACTAGTGGTGCAAAAATGCTGCTTTTATCTCCTTTATGTTCAAGGTACTTGGGTGAGGCAGAGATCAGTATACCCATTTTTTAAAAAGATTTTATTTTATTTAATCATAAGAGACAGAGAGAGAAAGGCAGAGACAGAGGGAGAGGGAGAAGCAGGATCCCCACAGGTAGCCTGATGCAGGACTCAATCCCAGGACCCTGGAATCACGACCTGAGCCAAAGGCAGATGCTCACCCACTGAGCCACCTGAGTGCCCAGTATACAGTATACCCCACAGGTAGCCTGATGCAGGACTCAATCCCAGGACCCTGGAATCACGACCTGAGCCAAAGGCAGATGCTCACCCACTGAGCCACCTGACTGCCCAATATACATTTTACATGTGAGGAAACAGACCCAAGGGTTTAAGAGGCTTGGCCAAAGTCACATGGTAGAGCCAGGATTTGAATCAAATTCCCATTTGATTCTAAGTCCATTGATCTTTACAGTTCATCCCAGCAGCATCTTCAAACATGGGTATATGAGAGGTAGAAGGCTGACTGAGGGAAATATTTATCTAGCATTTTCTTGGAGCTTGATTACTTAGCTACTATTACATGCCAGCCGGTGTACTAAGTTCTCATAGGGTCAGAGGAGTGAGATACAAAGATGATATGAGCTCTGACCTTCAGGAAATTTCAGTCTGGCAGGAAAAACAGTCATAAATGAAAAAAACAACATTGTATATCCCAGGAATAGTGAGTAATTTGGCTTAAACACAGAATGTGTAATTAGAAATGGAAGGGGATTGGCCTGGAAATGTAGGAGAGTCCCCACCTGTAAACAGTATGAATGCCAACCTCCAAAGTTTAAACTCTTCTATAGACAGTGAGTATCCACTGGCATACAGCTTTGGTGGTAGGGATGGAGAAATTCCTAGAAGAGCCAGAGGCAGAATTACCTTGCCTTGGTAACCAGTTGGATGTAGGGAGTGAAGTCAGGAGATGATGACTCTGAAGGTTCTTGTTCTTCGCTGGTGATGCCCAGAATATACAAAGGAAGAAGCCCCAACTCTTTATTTTTTTTTTAAACCTTTGCTTCCTTCAGGCCTGTGACCCTGGGCTGTCTCGGACATGTGATCAGAATGTCTACCTAAGTGGCCTGTGTTACCTTTTCCACCAGAATCTGAGAGGTGTTGTGCTGCAAGGGCGCCCTGGTTATCAGGGTAAGGAGCCGGGGGTCCAGTGGGTAAACATCCCTCCCAGATGGCTGCTCATACAAGGGAAGCAGCCTGGGCAGGCCAACCCGTGGAGACACTTCATCGAGTCCCTTTGTGCCTGGCCTCTGTAGAATGTATAAAGGGCAACGTGGACTTGGTATTTCTGTTTGATGGTTCAATGAGCTTGCAGCAAGATGAATTTCAGAAAATTCTGGACTTCATGAAGGATGTGATGAAGAAACTCAGCAACTCTTCCTACCAGGTAAATCTATTAATTAGTTTTCCTATTTGTAGGCAATAAATACCTACTTGAGCTAGCTTAAGGCATAAAAGAAAAACTCAGTATGAGGTGTCTTCAGAACCTAAAGGAATGGTTGTAACTGGACTTCTGGAAGAGACAAGAACTAAGGAATAGAAAGTTTGTGGGATTTTCTTTAGTTCTCATTTCTGGGGAGTTTTGGTTTGCTTCTGGGTTTTGCTTCCCTCTTCTCTCTCTCTGCACGTTCTTCCTCAGCTTCTTTGGATCACGTGGGCCTGTGGAAAGCTCCTAAATTCACATGTTAAAGTTTCAGGAGGGTTTTTTGTCGTCTCCACCAACCTCTCCCTCTGCAAATTCCAAATTCTTGGAGAATAGATTCTGACTGGCCTCGAGGCAGCCAAGTGGCCGTCTATGGCCCAACCAGCTGTGTCCAGTTTAGCCGGGTCACTCAGCAGAACCATCCCCACTGGGGAGGACAGGCCAAGGACAGGAGTATAGCAGACATCACTGCATAAGGGATCAAAGGTTTATTTAATTTTATTTTTGTGTTTGTGCATACATTACCTCATTTTCAAAAGAATGCTTTGAGACAGGAATGTGGGGGTTGGGTTACCCAGGTGCTGGATAAGAAATAGATTAGAAGGGGCTCCTGGGCAGCCGTGGTGGCTCAGTGGTTTAGCACCGCCTTCAGCCCAGGGCCTGATCCTGGAGACTCAGGATCAAATCCCACGTCGGGCTCCCTGCATGGAGCCTGCTGCTCCCTCTGCCTGTGTCTCTGCCTTTTTCTCTGTGTGTGTGTGTTTCTCATGAATAAATAAATAAAATCTTAAAAAAATAAGGGGCTCCTGGGGGTCCCTGGGTGGCTCAGCGGTTTAGCACCTGCCTTCGGCCTAGGGCATGATCCTGGAGTCCTAGGATCAAGTCCCACATTGGACTCCTGCATGGAGCCTGCTTCTTCCTCTGCCTGTGTCTCTGCCTCTCTGTCTCTGTGTGTCTCCCATGGATAAATAAATAAAATCTTAAAAAAAAAAAAAAAGAAGGGGCTCCTGACCGGCTCAGTTGGAAGAGCATGCAACTCTTGATCTCGGTGTTGTGAGTTCGAGCTCCATGTTGGGTGTAGAGATTACTTAAAAATAAAATCTTTAAAAAAAGAAAAGAAAAGAAAAGAAATAGGTTAGAGCAAGAGGCACCTGGCTAGCTCAGTCAGTAGAGTGTGCAACTCTTGATCTTGGGGGTGTGGGTTCGAGCCCCATGTTGGGTGTGCAGATTACTTAAAAATAAAATCTTAAAAAAAAATCAGTTGGAGCAAACAAGTGGGAAGGGATATGTAATGACATTTCATTTCTTGCTTCTTTTTCCAGTTTGCTGCTGTTCAGTTTTCCACAGACTGCAAAACAGAATTTAATTTCTTGGATTATGTGAAGGTGAAGAACCCTGATGTTCTGCTGGGCAAAGTAGTACACATGCGCCTGTTGACCAACACCTTTGGTGCCATCAACTATGTCGCGTGAGTCCCCTTTTGCAGGAGAGAGCCCACCTGTCAGTTGGCACTGGCTTCTTCAGGTTGTAGGGTGTAGGCTTAGCAATGGGCAGATTATTGTAGAAATTCAACTGGAGCAATTTTAGTCCAGTTTTTTTTTAAGATTTAATTTATTTGAGAGAGAATGAGCATGAGCAGGGCAAGGGACAGAGGGAGAGGGAGAAGCAGACTCCCTGCTGAGCAGGGATCCCGATGCGGGGCTCGATCCCAGGACCCTGGGGTCATGACCTGAGCCAAAGGCAGATGGACGCTTAACCAACTGAACCACCAAAGCTTCCCTAGTCCAGGTTCTTTGAATTGTAAGTAACAGAAATCTACTTTATTAATTGAATCCCTGAGGGAAATTCTTGGGAGGATGCAGGGATAGTTCATTAGCCTTTGGTACAGCAAGTATTGCCAGGCCTCATGAGGAACTAGAACCAAGACTTGGAAAGTGCTTGTGAACATGGCAGTCATGATACAGTCACATCTTATGTAGGGATCAGCTTTTGAAGTCAGTGTGTGAATGACAATCTCTACTAGTCAAAGTTTTCCTTGAAGAATTCCTTGAATTGTTCACAAATTCAATATAGTCAAGCCCCACATTGGAAGAGAGCATATTCTGATTTCCTAAATCTACTGTAGAAGTTTTTCCTCTGGAGTTGGACCAGATGGCTGTGTTTATTTATTTTTTTAAAGATTTATTTATTTATGATAGAGAGAGAGAGAGAGAGAGAGAGAGAGAGGCAGAGACAGGAGGAGGGAGAAGCAGGCTCCATGCCCGGAGCCCAACGCGGGACTTGATCCTGGGACTCCAGGATCATGCCCTGGGCCAAAGGCAGGCGCCAAACCGCTGAGCCACCCAGGGATCCCCAGATGGCTGTGTTTAAATTGAGGCCTAGGGACACCTGGGTGGCTCAGCGGTTGAGTGTTTACCTTCAGCTCAGGGCGTGATCCCAGGGTCCCAGGATCAAATCCCACATTGGGCTCCCTGCATGGAGCCTGCTTCTCCGTCTGCCTATGTCTCTGCCTCTCTCTCTCTCTGTCTCTCATGAATAAATAAATAAAATCTCTAAAAATAAATTAATAAATTGAGGCCTAGATGAATGTAGTTGGATTGCGTTGAAGGGCCATATTGTATATTTTATGTTTTTATTAATCATTATAAATAAGACATTTACTTTTCATACTCATTTGGGGGAAAAGAGAAAAGCCAGTTTGTCCTAGCCAATGATAGTCTTTCTGAAAGTGTCTCCATTCATTCCATGGAATTGGATAGGTTGTCTGATCTGAGGATTGTGTACTTTATGTTCATAAAGAGAACTTCCTTTGAAGAGAGTGATCAAAGGGTGAGTCTTTGTGAGCAGTTTCACTGGTGCACAGCCAGACTCTCTCTAACTGAAGCTTTTCCCACATAGACCACACAGATAGGGTATGTCTCCTGTGTAAATTTTGCTTTGAAGGACACAGTTCCCCCTGATTTGGAAACTCTTCCTGCACTGTGTATATAGGCATACGGTTTCAGGCCTGTGTGGATTCTGATGTGAACAATTCAGCTTCCTTTCTGACTGAAGACTTTTCTACACTGATGATATCTATAGGGCTTTTCACCACCATGAATTCTTCTACGAACAGCAAGGTTACTTTGACTCCTGAAGCCTCTCTGACAAATAGCACACTCATAGGGTTTCTGTCCAGTGCGGGATCTTTCACAAATGGCCAGGCCACCTCGTTGACTAAAGCTTTCCACACATTCCTCTTACTGATAGAGCTTCTCTCCTGTGTGTATTTGCCAATGTGTAACAAAATTGCCTTTGCCTCTGAAGCATTTTTTCCGAGAAGTACACTCAAAGAGCTTTGGACTAGTGTGAATTCTCTCATGCAAGATTATACTACCTTTTTACTGGAAGAATTTTCCACATTCCTGACACTCATAGGCCTTCTGTTCCACTCGAGGTGAACCTTCCTGTAGTATCTTAGAACCTGGGGTTTTTTGTTCCAGTGTCTCCCTTCTGACAGAGTTCTGGAAGTACCAACTTGAGGATCCCGTGGCCCCAGAGTGATCATATTTGTGGTGGGCTTCTATCATCACATTCAGATGTGATGAAAATGCTACCTTCGGGGCATATCTTCCATGACAGCCCAGCAGGGTAGCTGTTGGAAATCCAAACGTGTCCACACTGGTGTATGACCTTAGTCACCACCTATTCATATGATTCTTCCATGGGCTGTTCTTGAGCACCACAGTGGCATGTGCCCACACACAAAGGCTGGTACTGAGCCCGCAGCAGTGCCAGGGCAAGTGGACTGACTCAGATCTCAATCTTGGGGGTGTGAGTTCAAGCCCCACACCGAGCTCCATGCCCAGCATGCCCAGAATGGAGCCTACTTAAAAAACAACAATAATAAAATCATTTTAAAAATAAAAATAAAAATACCTATCTTTAGATGTTAAAGTGGCCCTGGAAACTGAAAACGATTTGGAAGATAAGAAAATTATATATTTCATCTTATGCTCACCCTGGGCATGCACTCAAATTGAGTGAAAGAGCAGGAAAGACCTCCTGTGCTATGACACTTCTTTTTCTCATTGTCATTTCTTTGCCAAGCACATATAGTTGGATTTACAGAAGTTAAACATGCATGTGAGGCATCTCCTCAAGACTTTACATAGGTGTTTCCAAGTCTTTTCTTCTGAGGTTCACTTGACCTGTCATGTCTTCGCTCTCTGTAGACAGCTTTGGTGGGTACATGGTAAGCCATGTCCACTGGAAAAAAAAAAATGACAGCCTCAGCTACTCAATTCAGATGAATAACCTGAATTCCAGCTTCCAGGAAAGAAGATCTGATTGGCTGACCCCAGATTAGGTGTCCACAGGTCCACCCAGTTCTGTTTTATGGCATAAAGTCACATGGCACAGACATGGATTCTTGGATCCCACCTCTGTGGAAAGAGGGCAGTTTCTTAGAGAAAGGGGTCATGATAGGATGGGAGGATACTCCAAAAGTGTCAACCATGGGAGCTAAAAGGAGCAGAGAAATATATTTTATAAGTACTTCTTGACAGGGGGCATGGGTGGCTCAGTCAGGTGGGTGGCTCAGTCATTTGGGTGGCTGTCTTTTGTTCAGGTTGTGATCTCAGGGTCCTGAGACCAAACCCCACTTTGGGCTCTCTGCTCAGTGGGGAGCCTGCTTCTCCTTCTGCCTCTGCCTGCAGCTCCCCCTGCTTGTGCTCTCTCTCTTTCTCAAATAAATAAATAAATAAAATCTATAAAAATATGAAAATCACCTGTAGCTCATGGACCATACAGAAACAAGCTGTGGGCTGGCTTTGGCCTGTGGGTTGTCATTTGCTATGTTCTAGATTCTGGGAATATAGCAGTGAATGAAACAAAAATCTCTACCCTCTTGAGGTTTAATGTAGCAAGGGGAGAGAAATACAATAGACATGATAAGTAAGTCAGATAATATAGTAGAAGATGTAAGTCTTACAAAGAAGAAGAAAGCATTCAGTAGGAAAATAAGGGAAGGTTACATTTGAGCAAAGACTCAGAAGTGAGGAAGCAGCCACTGATACCTGGGGAAAACCATTCCAGGCAGAGGGAATAGCAGAGGCCCTGAGATGAGAACATGCTTGGGATGTTCCGAGAAGACCCAGGACACCAGTGTGACTGGAGGAAAGTAAGCAACGGTGAAAGTAGTAGGAGAAGAGGTCAGACAGACCATGGGAGTCCAGAGCACTCAGGACCTTGGAGGCCATAGGGAAGACTTTGGCTTTGCCTCAGAGTGAGATGAGAAGTCACTGGAGGTTTTGAGCAGAGGAGTGATCATTGGATTTATGTTTTTAAAAAGACCCCTTGGCTGCAGAGCTGTTAGGCTCCAGGCCCCCAGGGTGGGAGCAGGGAGGCCAGGTAGGAGGCTATTGAAAAATCCAGATGAGAGGTGATGGTGGTTCAAACTAGGGTAGAAATCCACAAACAGGAGCCGTGAGACGCCGTGTCCGTGTGGGTGAAGGCTAGGGAAACAATTTACATCCAAGATGGAACAGAGGCCTTGGCTCTGCTCATCAGAGCTCCACTCTGCTTTGTGGCCCCCCTTTCTGCATCTCTCTTACACCTGCCACTGTGGCCCCTCCATGTCACTTTTCAGCTTCTGCTCCCAAGGCAGGTCACATCATAAGTCAGGGGTTGTAGACTGGCTGCTCTAGGATTAATCATCTGTCTCTGGTTAGCTGTGGGATGAGGAGGGAAGGATCAGATGGTGCAGACAGAACTGCTGTCCCAACAGAAACTGTGGGCACCCTGGCTTACTCCAGAAGGAGGCTGTGGGCAAGTGGGACTTTGGAGCATTGGCCTGTCCAGTGCTCAGAACTCCCTTCTTCCTTTTATATCACCTGCACTGAGCACACCTACTCTGTGTCAGGAGCCAGAGATTCAGCAGCAGATCAGATATGTTCCTTTCTTGAGGAACTCATGGTTTGGGGAAATTGACATGGAAACAAGTCACTTCACTTCCCTAAAGACTTGCTGTGGCAGAGATCTACAGGCAGCCTGGTGATGGTGGGGGATGATAGGGGAGCCAGATGAGCTTGCTCTGGAAAAGTGACTTCCCCATTTTCTCCAGCCAAGGAGCCCATTTTCCATATTGAAATCTCACCTGGTCCTCAGCATGTCTAACTGATGAAAGGATAATTGTGGTCATGTGGTTGAACTGGAGAGTAGGAAGCCCAAAATCCTTCCTCAAAAAGCCTCCCTGTCACTGCCCATTGGTTCTGGGACTGCCTCCTGGCCACCCAGAATTCCACTGAAGACCGCAGGTCTGGAAAGAGAGGTGTGGCAGCAAGGGTGAGGCAGGAGGTTCAGAAGAGAAATTTGAAGGCTGGGAATACTCCCTGGGGGATGGGGAAAAGAGCTTTTGCATAATCAGGACAGTGACTCAATGAGCTGGTTGAGTGGAGGGAGACTTCATTATCTGGAGGAGTTTTTCACACACACCCCTTCTTGGACACAGGAGAGAGGTATTCCGGCAAGACCTGGGGGCCCGTCCAGATGCCACCAAAGTGCTTATCATCATCACTGATGGGGAAGCCACTGATCGTGCCAACATTGATTCAGCCAAAGACATCATCCGCTACATCATTGGGGTATGGGTCCTGGCTGCCTCCTACATCTCATCTTTCCTCTCCTATTCCCTGAGCCCCACTCCCCTTTCTCCTCGGGGCTAGGGCTTTGTCAGCCACTCTGGGGATGCCAGCTCTCCATTCTTTACACCCACCCAGATTGGAAAGCATTTTGCGACCAAGAGAAGTCAGGAAACACTTCACCAATTTGCCTCAAAACCTGCGGAGGAGTTTGTAAAGATTCTGGACACATTTGAGAAGCTTAAAGATCTGTTCACAGAGCTGCAAAAGAAGATTTATGTCATTGAGGGTGAGTGGCAGATCTGGGGAGAGAATTTGGGAAGTTGTTAACAGAAGCTCATCTGGGACATCAGATTAGAGACATGCTGAGTGATGATATCGGGCTGCTTACAGAGTATCTGACACTGTGTGAAGAGCTCTCCTGGAAAGGCCCCAGGTGAAAATCTGGGGGAGGGTGCTTGAGGAGCAGTTTCTCTCTGAAAATCCATGTTTCCCGTAAAACTCAGCTTGGTCCAGCATGGGGCCCAGAACTAACCTCTAGCCTGCTGGTCAACCAAAGCCTGTGGAAGGAGTAGAATTCTCAATCCCATACTCAGCTCCCTCATTTTCCTTTGTAATCAGATTACTTTAGGTGGCAATGCCCAGGGCCTGAGTACAGGGAACCCACAGGCCCTCTTCACCCAGAAGAAGAGAAGTTTTGGACTGTACTCGCCAGATGGAAGACTTGCTATGGGAGGGTATTTCTCCAGGATTCCCCCTGGGAAGGCCCCTTTGCTTGGACACAGGCTTGGTGCTGGGTTCAGTTGAAGAAGCGATGTGGTATATATAATGGGACAGGGTAGATGCTCAAGAATCCATTCTGCCCATGCTGTGTGACCTCAGCCAGGTCACTTTCTCTCTCTGAGGCTTGTTCTCTGCTAGATGGTGATAATAATACCAATCTCACAGCATTGCAACGTTTGGCTGTTGTATTAGTTTCCAAGGGCTGTTGTAACGAAGCACCAAAAACCAAGCGGCTTAATAAAGCAACAGAAATTCATTGTTTTGCACTTCTGGAGGCCAGAAGTCAGAAATCAAAGGGCAGGTAGAGGCATGCTCTTTCTGACAGCTGTAGGAGAGAACGCTTGCTCACCTCTTGTGACTTCCGGGATCCTCCAACAGTCCCTGGCATCTCTCGGCTTGTGGCTGCGTCACTTCTGTCATCCGGCCACCTTCTCCCTGTGTGTCTGCCTTCATGTCCTCTTCTCTCTGTGCATGTCTCTCTCTCTCTCCGTGTCCGCATTTCCCTCTTTTATAAGGACACTATAAGACCCTGGACCATATTGGATCAAGGCCCACCCCAATGACCTCATTTTAACCCGATTACACTGCAAAGACCCTGTTTCCAAACAAAGGCATATTCTAAGGAACTGGGGCTTAGGTCGTAAAAATATCTTTTTTTTTAGAGAACAGTTCACACCCTAACTACTGCTTCTCAGAGCGCTTGGTACCTTGCAGGCCCTCTATAAATTGCAGGACTGATATCTCTGGCTCTGATACTCTATCTGACCTGCCCTTACTAGTGCTTCAGATTGTATTTTAGAAGTCACTTCCTCTGATAAGTTCTCCCCGAACCACAGCCTAGGTTGGGTGCTTCTTTCCGGGTGCTGCTGTAACGGCTACATGCTCCCTATCGGAGCCCTTGAGACTTACATTGTATTAAATTATCTGTTCCGTGTCCATCTCCCGCACCACACTATGGGGGTCTGTCACAACAAGCACTGTGCCTGCTTTTTCACCATTGTATCCCTGGCACCAAATGTCTAGATGCTCTAAATATTTATGCAGTGAATGAACAAAGTCTTCACAGTAATTGCTATGTTCCTTGAAAGCTTGCAGGTAACAGACACTTTTTCGATATCATTTAATTCATTCCTCTCAGAAGCTTTGCAAGGCTGGTGGGATGATTTTCATTAATAATTCAGGCTTGCACTAACCAGGTGCCAGGTACTGTGAATAAGGTACTCAAGGTTATTGTCAGCATGGAGCTCAAATTCAGGTTGGATAAAGACAGAAAACAAATGAGCAGGATAATTAGAGACTATTATAGCTGCTATAAAGAAAATGAATAAACTGGATAGAAAGATTTCACTGGGGGAAGCCACTTTAGATAGGCTTTACAAGGAAGGCCTTTCTAGATACCTTTTTTTTTTTTTTAATGGAGGTAGAATTCACTCTGAGATGACATTTGAGCTGAAACACGAAAGATGAGACTCAAACAGCTACATGAGGAATGTGGGCAAAGAGCCCTGTAGTCAGAGAAGAGCCAGTGCAGGGCCAGGAGTTCGGGGAGGGTGAGCAAGCTAGAGAACAGGAAAGAGGTCAGCATGGCAGGAGTGTAGTGAGTAAATGAGACAAAGCAGGAGAGATAGGTAGGGGCCTTCCAGTTCCTCAGAAGCAGCTGAGGATTTCATCTAAAGGGCGATGGCAAGTGATGAAGGGTTTTTAAGGGAAATGTGTGGTCTGATATACATTTTTTTAAAAAGATTACTCCAGGGACACCTGGGTGGCTCAGTGTTGAGTGTCTTTGGCTCGGGTCATGATCCAGGGGTCCTGGGATCGAGTCCCGCATTGGACTCCCCAGAGGGAGCCTGCTTCTCCCTCTGCCTATGTCTCTGCTTCTTTCTCTGTGTCTCTCATGAAAAAATAAGTAAAATCTTTAAAAAAAAAAAAAAGATACTCCAACTTGCTCTGTGGAAAAAAGACATGATAAGAAGAAGAATGAAGTCAAAGACCAAGTGAGTAAAGCTAGTACAAGAGTTAAACAAGAGGGTAGGATGGCTGGGACTGTTGTACTGGCAAAACACACTATTCAGAGAAGGGGGAAATGCATTTTGAAGATAAAACCATCCTGATTTGGTGACATGTTGGAGAAAGAACGAGGAGAAGGGAAGGAGCAAGGGGCTGAGTCCTGGTTCACCAGGCTGGACAGTGGGGAAGCCTGAGTGAGGACAGAGCTGCAGAGCTACATCTTGGCCGAGTGGAGTCTGGGGCTCGCGGTTTCACATCAGACTCCACTCACGTTCACTGCCAGTCTGATGGTCTTGTGGACTCTTTCTGCCTTGCCTGAAGGTCAGTGCCAGGTTTCTTTCTCAGTCTTTCTCCAGTGTCACTGTCCCTGCTGCTCCTTGGGTGTCCACCCATTCTCTTTACCTTGCTCTCAGGCACAAGCAAACAGGACCTGACCTCCTTCAACATGGAGCTGTCCTCCAGTGGGCTCAGCGCTGACATCAGCCAGGTGGGTGACGGGCCTGGAACAGGGGGGCTGAGGGATGTTGTGGGAACGTAGCTAAGCCCACTTGTCTCCTTCCCTGGGCAGGACCGTTGCATTGTAGGGGCAGTCGGAGCCAAGGACTGGGCTGGGGGCTTTCTAGACCTCAAGGCAGACCTGCAAGATGACACATTTGTTGGGAATGAACCACTAACACCAGAAGCGAGAGCAGGATATTTGGGTGAGTACTTTTCTTTTTTTAAAAAAGATTTTATTTATTTATTTATTCATGAGAGAGAGAGAGAGAGGCAGAGGGAGAAGCAGTCTCCATGCAGGGAGCCTGACATGGGACTCGATCCCAGGTCTCCAGGATCACGCCCTGGACCAAAGGTGGCACTAAACCACTGAGCCACCGGGGCTGCCCAAGTACTTTTCTTTTCTGCTGGATTCTTTTGGTCTTAGGGGCAGGAGTCACTTACTGATTTTTAAAATAATAAGGAAAGCAATTAAGCAAACAGCATGAACACACTTAGAATTTAAACATGGCTCTAACATTCTTTTTTTTAAAAAAGATTCTTATTTATTTATTCACAGAGACACAGAGAGGGAGAGAGGCAGAGACACAGGCAGAGGGAGAAGCAGGCTCCATGCAGGGACCCTGACATGGGACTTGATCCAGGCCTCCAGGATCACACCCCAGGCTGCAGGCAGTGCTAAACCACTGCACCACAGGGGCTGCCCGGCTCTAACATTCTTAATTTTTCCCTTAACAACCCCTCTGCTGCATAGTAGTCATGTTTTTTATTTTCTGTATTTTATGATGCTTGGATATCTTGAGGCCTTCAGAATCTCAGAGACACTGACCCTCCCAGGACGAGCTATTTCCTACAGGTAGCAAACAAGTGGCCTGTGAGCAGGCCTTTTGCATGCCACCCAGCCACCCCTTAGCTCATATCCCCCAATTGCCTCCTTTACCTAACTTTAACACACAAAGCCAGTATTCCCCCCCAACCTAAATCTCTAGTTAGTTAAGGACCACCCTTGTAGACCAGTTCCAGCCAGCATTATTCAAACCATCCCATCCTAAGCTTGCTCAAGCTTGCCTACCCAGCAACGTTTCTATGTCTTACCCATAAATTAAACGCTGGGTTCGTTTAATAGCAACCTGTCTCATTAGTAGGAGGACCAGCAGTTCTTCCCTGAGGCTTCCTCCTCTTGAATTGTCCAGGAACTCAAAGATTGATTCACCTCAAGAGTTCTTCAGATGGCCAAGCACAGAGCAAAGGCGCCTGGTCAGTCCACACTTGCTGTTGTTTCTCTCTGCCTTGGGGTGTCACTGTTGTGAGCTTATCCTGCACAGCTCTGTGGCTCCTGGTCCACCCAAGGGGATGCCAGGCTCAGACGGTAGAGAGGCCTCACATTTGTGTACAGAAGTTATAGTTCTTCTGGTTCATGCTCACATAGTCACGCTGTGTCAAGGCATAGACTGGCTCCAAGAGCCCTGGGATAGCACTGCTTCCGGGATCTACCTAGAAACCCATCACCTGGCCTTATCCATGACCCCTGTATAGGGGTGGACCATGTCTTTATTAAACTCACAAAACACTTAGACTTTATTACATAATTTCCTTGGGAAAATTGGTGCCATTCATCTTGCATATACCCTTCTAAGGAAGGCTATCCTCTATGATTTCTCAATCTCTCAACATTTTTTTTTTACTGAGTAAGTATTATGTGCCAGGCACTGGTCTAAGTGCATGACATATATTGACATATTTTATCTTATTTTATCTCATTTTATTCTTACAACAACCCTACAAGTAGGTATTTTTGTTATTTCTTTTTTTTAAGATTTTATTTATTTATTCATGAGAGACACACAGAGAGGCAGAGACACAGGCAGAGGGAGAAAGAGGCTCCATGCAGGGAGCCTGACATATGACTCGATCCTGGGTCTCCAGGATCAGGCCCTGGACTGAAGGCGGTGCTAAACTGTTGAGCCACCTGGGCTGCCCGTTCTATTTTTTTTAAGATTTTATTTTTTTTTAGTTTTGAGGGTAAAAGAGAGCATGAGCAGGGGAAAGGGCAGAGGGAGAGGGAGAATCCTAAGCAGACTCCCTGTTGAGCATGGAGCCTGATGTGGGGCTCAATCCAGGAGCCTGAGATCATGACCCTGAATCAAAATTAAGAGTCAGTCGCTCAACTGATTGAGTCACCAGGCATCCCTATTACCTCTGTTTTATAGATGAAAGAACTGATCCCAGGACAATTTAAATAACTTGCCCAAGGTCACAGAACAAGTAAGTGGAGCCTAGGTGGTGTAACCCCAAGGTCTGGTCTAGTAACCACTCCACTTATACTATAGCTCCTAACTGCCTTCAAGGAGCTTTGTGTCTTTCAGTATACTGCCAGCAATGTTGCTCCTTCAAGAAGAAATAACCTGGGATGCCTGGGTGGCTCAGTGGTTGAGTGTCTGTCTTCAGCTCAGGGAGTGATCCCGGGGTCCAGGGATCAAGTCCCATGTCGGGCTCCCTGCATGGAGCCTGCTTCTCCCTCTGCCTGTGTCTCTGCCTCTCTCTCTCTCTCTCTCTCTCTCTCTCTCTCTCTCTCTCTCTGTCTCTCATGAATAAATAAATAAATCTTATTTATTTACTTATTTGAGAGAGGGAGAGAGTATGATTGGGGTGGGGGGAGCAGGAGGGAGAGGGAGAAGCAGGCTCCCCACTGAGAAGGGAGCCTGGTGCGGGACTCGATCCCAGGACCCTGGGACCATGACCTGAGCTGGAGGCAGACACCCAACTGACTGAACCACTCAGGCGCCCCTTCATTTTATTGTTTTTAGAAAGTGTAGTCTCCCCTACCAAACTTCGGGTCAGCTGAGGCTCAGGAAGTTGCACCATGTTGAGCCTGTCATACATGGCTGCTTTTTCCTGGGCCTATGTGTTGTCCACAGTTTGAGAAATGCAGCTTTGAACCAAGATGGCAGGATTTGTGCCACTCAGAGCACATGGCTCCTTTTCTCAGGAGAAGGCCCTCTGACTGTTTCAATGCATCTTTGCTACAAACCCAGTTTCCCAGAGTCTCTCCCTTTTTTGCCTCTGGGTTTTACCTCCTTCCAGCAGCCGTTGTGGTTCTAATTCCAAACCCCTTCCCTCCCTCTCTCCCATTCTCTCTCTCTCTCCATCCCCCTCAGGTTACACAGTGACCTGGCTATACTCCCGAAGGCTCACTTCGCTGCTGGCAGCTGGAGCCCCCCGATACCAGCATGTGGGGCGGGTGGTGCTGTTCCAGGAGTCAAAGGACAAAGAACACTGGAGCCAGATCCAGAAAATAGATGGGAACCAGGTGAGCATGCCCTCAGGGGCATCTGCGGATCAGGGACTGGTATAGCACTGGTTATGTGCCCTGCCAGCTGCGAGCACTCAGCCACTCACTGTGCCGCAGGCCCTGTGCCAAGCCCTGTCATATTCAGTCCCCACAGAACCCTCTGAGGTAAGTGTTGTCATCTTCACCTGCTAGCTTAAGAAACTGAACCTCAGAGAGCCCACCTTGTCCGGACTCACACAGGCTCTGAGGGGGGGAGGACACGCACCTGCATTTGAGGGATCAAAGTGAGATGGACATGGTACGGCTGAGGAGGAGGAGGAGCCCAGCTCACAGGTGCATCCTCAGACATCTCTTTCTCCCTGCAGATTGGCTCTTATTTTGGTGGCGAGCTGTGTGGTGTTGACATAGACCAAGATGGGGAGACGGAGTTGCTGCTGATCGGAGCTCCCTTGTTCTATGGGGAGCAGAGAGGAGGCCGGGTGTTTATCTACCAGAGGAAACAGGTAGGGACCAGGACATAGAATGGAAGGGGTAGGAGATACAGATTCCAGGCCAACCCAGGTCCCAGTTATTCTGAAAGACTTCTCCTGAATGAATCAGAGCTTTAGAAAGACCAACAACGCTAGCTGACACCAGGACTGCGGCTGGGCGGGGAAGCAGGTAAGCCTTCTGCAAGGCCCAGGGCCAAACCTTTTATTTACCTTTTATTTACAAGACAGCTCGTTTGGTCTTCACACAGTAAGCTTCCAGGAAACTGAGCTTTCGTTCATGAGTGGGAACATTGCGGCTTAGCAAGGCTGGGTCACCTTCCAAAGCTCCAAGGTCACCAGACAGCAAGGGGTGGGGCTGGGACTTGAGCCCAGGTCAGTCTGCCTGTGTGGGACCATGTCCGACCTTTCTTCAGTGTTCTCCACGTACATGGGGTACACCCTGCAAACACTTGCTGCTTGCCCAGTGACTGAGGTGGGACCTATCACTTTGCTCCTTCCCAGCTGGGGTTCGAAGCTGTCTCGGAACTGCAGGGGGAACCCGGCTATCCGCTTGGGCGGTTTGGAGCAGCCATCACTGCCCTGACTGACATCAACGGGGATGGGCTGGTGGACGTGGCGGTGGGGGCCCCTCTGGAGGAGAATGGGGCTGTGTACATCTTCAACGGGCAGCATGGTGGGCTGAGCCCCCAGCCGAGTCAGGTGAGAGGCACCTTGCCTGCCAACCCAAGCCCTGCCTCCCAGCCCAGGCCCCACTGGCCTGGCCTGACTCTTATCCTCCAGGCTTAGCTCGCAAATTTTTCTCTTGGTCTCAGCGGATAGAGGGGATCCAAGTGTTCTCAGGAATTCAATGGTTCGGACGCTCCATCCATGGGGTAAAAGACCTTGGAGGAGATGGCCTGACAGACGTGGCCGTGGGAGCCGAGGGGCAGGTGATCGTACTCAGGTAAGATGGGGCTGAGAATCTCAGCTCTCATCCTTTGAACAGCTACCCATGTAGTAGGTGGGACTCCTCTGGTCTGTCTCCAACCTTGTCAGAGAGGTTCTTTTCCTACACAGCCTTCATGTCTTACTCTGATTTAAACAGCTAACAATTTAATGGCAGCGTAGGATTTGAACCCAGGCCTATCTGACAATAAAACCTCCTTGAAAAACAATATCCTGTGATGGCTCTAGAACATGGTCACCTGGAAAAAAAAAAAAGAACATGGTCATCTGGATTCAAGTAGAAGCTCTGCCGTCTACTTTTTGGGTGATCTATCTTACCCCAGTCACTTAGCTCCTCAGGACCTCAGTTTCTCATCCTTGACATGATGATGACATTTCCTGCCTTTCCCCTGTCTTCCCGTTACTGGAGGCATGGTGTAACATCATATAATGAGTAGACATTTCTAGAGTACCTGCTGTGTTTTCTTTTTCTTTTTTTTAAAGATTTTATTTATTTATTCATGAGAGACACAGAGAGAGGGGCAGAAACATAGGCAGAGGGAGAAGCAGGCTCCATGCATGGAGCCCGATGTGGGACTCGATCCTGGGACTCCAGGATCACGCCCTGGGCCAAAGGCAGGTGCTCAACCACTGAGCCATGCAGACATCCCCCTGCTGTGTTTTAAATACTGAACCAGGCATTGGGTATAGAGTGTCTATGTGGGGAAATACATAATAAAAAATTAAGCACACAGGTAGGTGATTACAAATTGTGGTGAGTGCTAGGAGTCAGCACTTCTGTGAATACGGGAGCCTTCCTCTAGATTGGGTGGCCAAGAACAACCTCTCTGAGGAGGTGATATTTGAGCTGGGACTTGGAAAAGGAGAAGGAGTCAGGCTTGCAGAAATCTCGAGTTAGAGCCTTCAGTGTAGAAAGCTCAAGATGTGCTGAGGCCATGAGCCAGGCAAAGTCTGTAACATCAGCCAAGGAAGAGGGTGGGAGGAAATAAGATGGGAGAACAGGCAGCGTGGTATGGATAGTAACAAGTTTGGATTTTATTCTCAACTCCATGTGGCATCAGTGAAGCATTATAAGCATGGAAGTTGCTCGGTATGACTTCTCTTTCTAAAAGCTCACTCTTCTGGGGGCCCTGGGTGGTTCAGTCAGTTGAGCATCTGACTCTTGATTTCAGCTCAGGTCGTGATCTCAGGGTGGTGAGATTGAGCCCTGTGGGCTCTGTGCTGGGCATGGAACCTGCTTGGGATTCTCTGTCTCTGTCTCCTTCTCTGGGTTTCAAATGCCCCGTCTCCCTGCAAAAGCTCATTGTTCCATATGAAAAATGGGTCAGAAGGCTGCTAGGAAGAACTGGGAAGCCCTAATGAATTATCGTTATTACTACCATTTCGAGGAGACAGTGAGGTTGGGGTCTGCTTTCAGGGAGGAGAGTCCTCTGGATGCTGGTAGAAGGAACCCTGGGTCTGACTGGGGATTGCAGTTGAGGCCCAGAGAGAGAGAGAAAGAGAAAGAGAGAGAGAGAGTTGGTTGTTTTCTGCTCTGCAGCTCCCGGCCTGTGGTGGATATCCTCACTCATATATCCTTCTTCCCGGCGGAGATCCCAGTGCATGAAGTGGAATGCTCCCATTCAACCAGTAACAAGAAGAAAGAAGGAGTTAATGTCACAGTCTGTTTCCAGGTCAAGCCTCTCACCCTCCAATTTCGAGGTGAGTGCTGTTCCCTCATGCCCCAGAATAGCTGCCCACCCCAAATTCAGGCTTATGGCCCCAGGATCACCCACCACCTCCCCCTGCCCCCCGCCACTGCCACCCTTCAACTCCTTTTTTCCCTGCCCAGGTCACCTGGTTGCCAATCTCATTTACACTCTGCAGCTGGATGGCCATCGGACCAGAAGCCGGGGGCTGTTCCCAGGAGGGAGACAGGAACTCAGCGGGAACATAGCGGTCACCAGAGACTGGTCCTGTATCAAGCTCTGGTTTCACTTCCCGGTAAGGGAGTCATCAGTGCTGCCCTGGGAAGTAAGGGGGTGGTGATCTCGGTGACCTCGGTGCAAGGCTCAGCTTGGTCACCGTCCAGCTGGGTCACAAGTCCTTTCTCTCTACACCACCATTTCCTCAGCTGTGTAATAGTGGTAATAATACCGTTAGCACACTTTCTCTAATCCTTAGCCTATGGATGGAGGTGCTTTTTAACATGGTTGCCATTAGAAAGTACTTCCCATTTTTCCCGTAATTTTTCCACATATCATATATTAATGCTGCTACCCAGCTTTTCATAATTATTTTAATAGCTACAAAATATTGAGTCACAGCAGTACATCCTTATTTGTCAGGTACATGTGGTCATTTATATTAACATCCATCACAGAAAAAGTTTTTTAAATATTAGTTTGAGCACCTGCTGAGACGCCCAAATTCAGTTTGCTTCTAACAGTCCCATGTAAAGTTAGGGTTGATGGCAAATTATCCTGATGCTTTAAATATTTCATAAGACACTGAGTATGGGATTGGTGTATAAGATTTTGAAATTCAGGGGCATCTGGATAGCTCCATTGGTTAAATGTCCAACTCTTGATTTCGGCTCAGGTCGTGATCTCAGGGCCGTGGGATTGAGCCCCGTGTTGGGCTCTGCGCTCAGCGTGGAGTCTGCTTGGGATTCTCTCTCTCCCTCTTCCTCTGTCCCTCACCTCTGCTCTCTAAAAACAAAAAGATTTTGAGGTTCATTTTAAATTTTTTGTTATGGGGAATTTCAAACATACAAAAGCAGAAAAAAATAGCTTAGTGAGCCCCCAAATACCCATCACCCCGTGCCATTCATTTATTCCTGCACTCAGAATCCCTCTGCTTCCTTACACCCCACCCCCCACAAAAGGTGGAAGTTTTCAACATAAATTTGCCAGAGAAGAGGTAGTGTGTCATAATGGGAATACCTTGGACTTGGGAATTGGACGGATTTTGACTCACTTCCTAGCTTTAGTCCTTAGGAAACTTGGGTCACCTTTTTTGACCTCATGTTCCGCATCTCTGATGTGGGGTTTATAATGCCTGCCTCTTCAGGTTGATGAAGGAGTTCAGGTGAAGATGATTGGGTGCCTGCAAATTGCCAGTGTGAGGGACTTGTAATAACATAAAAGGTCAAGACCTATCCCTGTTCTCAAGGAACTAGGATATTCTAGTTATTCTAAAATATTATTTTCTTGTGCAAACTTTGATAATAGTTGCCTAGAACGGTTTGACAGGGATTTAGGGGCTTTGGTCAGAACTCTGGGAAAAGTGGGGTGGTTGACCAGCGATGTCTGCCATGGGAATTGGGGCTGAGGATGATATTTGTGCTGAGAAGCAACCCCAGGCCTATGATAAATCCCTGGTGCTAGAACCTCATCATTTGTAAAGCAGGAACAAGGTGAGCATTTAATTGGAAGACTAAACTCACAGTGTAGGTGGTTCTCATCACCCTCAGGTGTGCATTCAAGACCTCATCTCTCCCATCAACGTCTCTCTAAATTTCTCTCTCTGGGAGGAAGAAGAGACACCGAGGGACCAACGTGCGGTAAGAAGAGATCACTCAGGAATGTATAGGAAACAGGGGAGAGTAGAATTTCAGGTTAGCAAGACTGTATTATAGAAGTCTTTGGCTTTAAGCACTAGAAACCAAATACAGCTACTTCAGCAGGAAAGGAACATATGGGAACTCATATTTGGCAAAGCAAGACTGGGAAGAAAGGGGAGCTTAAGTGGAGGCTCTGGGAGCTCCTGAGAGGAAGAAATAATGAATGAACTCTTCAGGACATGGCACCTCTAGTGGATCTACTCCAGGTCTCTACTAAGCATCAGTTTCAGACCTCACCAGGGTCCTAGAACTGCTCATGGTGCAAGTTCCAGGAATACAGGGCACCCTGGTCAGCCTTTTCACCAAAGTGTATTCCCTTGAGATTGAGTAGTTTCCTCAAAGCCGAATCGGGGTGCCATAATGATATAACAGAAGAGAAAAGCAGTATCTATTCTCATCTACTTGATCACACACTCCTCATCCAGGGCCAAAGCCAGATTTCCTCTCCTCAAACCCTTGACACTCAGCTGGTGGTTTAGCTTCTGTCTGAAGGCAGCAGGATCTGGTGGAAAGAGCCTGGACCCACCAGACCAAAAATGTGGATTTTGTTTCTCTTGCTGTGAACACCTGAGCAGGTTCTGTCCCTCTCTGGGACTGTGTCCTCATAATAAAATAAGTTGTGAGGCCTCTCCTAGAGCTGGAGCACCGTGACTGCTAAGTGCATGCTTTCTCATGGCTTTTGGCGGCATGCATTGAGCACTCCCCCATGCATGCTCACCCTCCTGAGATGTGAAGGGAATGATGGCGTGCTCACCAAAAATTGAAGCCCCTGCCCACCAGGTGCTCATCAGGCACTTAAGGAAAGTTGATTGAGCACTGGCCTGTGCTAATCCCTATTCTGGGTACTGGCTCCACTGAGGTAAATAAAATATATTCCCTACCCAGAAGAGGTTCACAGTTTGCTCTGAAGTCAACAGACAGTCACGACATGCTGTGTAAGGCTGTGGTAAAGCTAGATACAGTGTGGCCATATAATCTTGTGTGACATGTGTAGGGGACAAGGAAAGCCTCCCCCCAAGATGAAACCCTTAAAGTCCCCAGGTATAGAAGGGGAGGTGGGAATTCAGAAAGAAGGCATAGCGTGAGCACAGACAACAGAAATGCCAGAGCTTGTGGGTGTTGGGAGCACAGTATGTGGGAAAGAGGGTGGAAGAGCACATGCCTGCCCTTTTAGGTCCTGAAAATCCACGTGATGCTTACACATACATCTCACTGGTCACATGGCCGCAACTAACTAAGAGCCTCAGAAGCACAGCCTCCTGTCCCAGGGCTCCTTGGGCCAAATCAGGAGGGTGAAGTGCTGCCTGGGGCAGGCTTTGGCTCCTGAGAGGGGCCGACCAAGTCGGCCCAGCTGAGTCCCCAGCTCTGAGCCCCCTGAGCCCTCCTTTAAGAGTTCTGCTGCTTCAGCTAATCTGTCTTGCCTCCCGGCCCTCCCACCACTCTGTGCTCAGCTGGACAGGGACATCCGGCCCATCCTGAGACCCTTACCACACGTAGCGAACACGGAGGTAAGAAGAGAAGGGGGGCAGCTGGAGAGGCCAGGGTCCCTCCCTCCTGGGTCTGGGGCCTGAGCCTCCTCATCTCTCTTCTTGGCTTTTCAGATCCCTTTTGAGAAGAACTGCGGGGAGGACAAGAAGTGTGAGGCAGACCTAGGGCTCTCGTTCTCCCCAGCAGGGTAAGGCCTCAAGCCCCCAGGCCCTCTTCTTCCACCTGGTGTTTTCCTGAGGCAGCTCCTGTGTGCTCCAAAGAGCAGGGGGGCTTTGAGTCAGAAGGACTCCATCTGCATTCACTAGATCTGTCCTGTGGGCCTTAGTTCTCCTCTCTGAGATATTCCAGTCCCTTGGGCACGCCTGTGAGGATCTGATGAAGTCGAATTGCTCAGCCTATGTGCAACAGCTGATGTTGATGTATTCATTTTTTCTAACCTAGTTGATCCTTCACTTCTGAAAGCCCCATCTCTATCCTGCTTCCTTTACCTTGGCCCCCGTAACTTTTCCCTGGCCCTGCCCCCAGATCCAGAGTCCTGCGCCTGATCCCCTCTACCAGCCTCTCCGTGGAGCTGATACTGAGTAACTTGAGAGAAGACGCTTACTCGGTCCACCTCAATCTGAGCTTCCCCCAGGGACTCTCCTTCCGCAAAGTAGAGATGCTCAAGGTGAGTGCCAAAGCAGGGCCTGCCCAAGGCCATACCTGTTCCTGAAGCTTCTGCTCCCATCAGAGAGCCTCAGGCAGACAGTACAGCCTGAAGATATAGGCAGCAGATGGTGTGTAGAAGCCTTAGGCCCTCATCCGGGTTCTCAGCCTGATGGCCACCCTCACCCTCTGTGGGCCTCAGATCCTGCCACCAGTGAGACTGGGGACACCTGCAGGGCTAGCAAGAGGGTTGCATGGAATGGAGAGTGTGACAAGCTCTTGGATCTGGTGACCAGGAAGGTGTACACAGATTTAGTGAGCTCAGGCTCCCTCCTACCTAAGGTGACCAATGTGTTTTTGCAGGGTGGCCTGGGTTGTTTTATTTTATTTATTTATTTTTTAAAGATTATTTATTTATGGGATGCCTGGGTGGCTCAGCAGTTGAGTGCCTGCCTTCGGCCCAGGGCATGATCCTGGAGTCCCAGGATGGAGTTCTGCATTGGGCTCCCTGCATAGAGCCTGCTTCTTTCTCTGCCTATGTCTCTGCCTCTCTCTGTGTGTCTCTCATGAATAAATTTTTTAAAAATCTTTTAAAAAAAGATTATTTATTTATTTATTTATTCATTCATTCATTCATTCATGAGAAACACAGAGAGGCAGAAGCATAGGCAGAGGGAGAAGCAGGTTCCATGTGGGGAGCCTGATGTGGGACTTGATCCCAGGACCCTGGGATCACACCCTGAGCCAAAGGCAGACACTCAACCACTGAGCCACCCAGGTGCCCCGGCCTGGGTTGTTTTAAATACAACTTTTATTTTTTAAATTATTAGAACAGAAGTAATACATGATTACCACAGAAAGTTGAAAGTCACAGAGAAGTTTAAACAATCACCCTATGCTCCTACAACTCAGCAGTTACTACTTTTAATATTTAGGTTGTTTATCCTGCTGTGTATCTCTATACATACGTATAAATCACACTGCGTATTCGTTCATTTTCTATTTGTTTTAAGTAATTGCCATTTTATTCTCCATTTGGTTATTTTTGCTCCTTGTTTTTACAGCAAATGTTTATCATGGTAAAATACACATAATGGGCAATTTGCCCTTTTAACCCTTTACAAATACAATTCAGTAACATTAAGATCATTCACAATGTTGTGCCACTGGCATCCATTTGGAGAACTTTTCCATCATCTCAAACAGAAGCTCTCAATCCATCAAAAGCAATCATTCCCCGCTCTGGTGATCTCTCATCTACTTTCCATCTCTATGAATTTGCCTGTTCTAGATTTTTCACAGAAATGGAATCATACGAGTTTGTCCTTTTGTGTGTCTTCTTTGCTTAGCATGGTGTTTGTGAGGAGCATCCGTGTGATAGCATGTGCGAGATTGCTTCCTTTTTGAGGCTAAATAACACTCCATTGTATGGATGGACCACATTTATTTATCCAGTGGTCATCTGTCAACGAACATTTGAATTATTCTTATCAGCAACATTAAATGCTTCCTTACGGGGCATCTAATAGAGTGACTAAGAACTCAAGATCCAAGGGATCCCTGGGTGGCGCAGCGGTTTGGCGCCTGCCTTTGGCCCAGGGCGCGATCCTGGAGACCCGAGATTGAATCCCACATTGGGCTCCCGGTGCATTGGGGCCTGCTTATGTCTCTGCCTCTCTCTCTCTCTCTCTGTGACTATCATAAATCAATAAAAAAAAAATTAAAGAATTGTTTAAAAAAAAAAAAAGAACTCAAGATCCGGAGTCAGACAGACCTGTGTTCGAATTCTCACCAGATCCCTGCCAGAGGGCCCAGGGGTGGGACCTGGGGAAGTCAGCAGGCCTCTGTTTCCTTATCAAATTCCCTCCCCAATCTGAGGCTGAAATCTGTCCTCACAGATGAGGATGAAGATGGATGGCTATGGGCTGCTTAGCCCAGAATCCGGCTCTGGCTTCTTTGAAAAACGGTTGCTGACTGTATAGATGTAGTAGGGGCATTTTAACAATCTCCCTGTATCCTCTCCTAGGATTGTACAGCGGGCCAAACCGTTCCTATCTCTTGGAACTCTTCGATCATTTCAGGAATTTTACAATTTTAAGTAGCATTGTGGTGAACATCTTTGAACGAATCCTCTGGCTGTGCCCCTGATTCTCTGGGCCCCCCTCTCTGAGAATGGCAGGGATGGAGCCAGAGGGGCATGGGCCCTAAGGGCTGGTGGCTTTGGGAAACCTTAGCCTTGCCCACTAACAAGTCTGTTCCGTCTCTTTTCACCTCCAGCCCCACAGCCAGATACCTGTGAGCTGCGAGGAGCTTCCTGAGGTAGCCAAGCTTATGAACAGGATCATCTCTTGCAACGTGAGCTCTCCTATCTTTAGAGCAGGCAGTGTGGTGAGTGCTTCGAGCCCTTAGGAGCCAAGCCACTAAAGGGCTCTGGGCTCGGGGGTGGGGGTGGGGGGTGAAGGGTGCAGGAGATGGGTAAAGAACAGCACCCCCGTCCACCTCCCACCCCAAAGGGAAGGATGGCCTAGACTTTGGATTCAGACAAACCTGGATTGTCTGATTATTCATTTTGTGACCTTAAGCAGGTGACTTTGTATCATTTGGAGTTTTGTATCCTCATCTGTACAACGGGGCTAAAGCACCTGTTTTGGGGGATAAGTACCAGTGGTCACTGATATCACAGCAGCTGGGCATGGGGGCCGTGGGGTGAATCCCTCTTCATTCCCCTCTTCTCCCCTGCCAGGTTGCTATCCAGGTGATGTTTCATATGCTGCTGAACAGCTCCTGGGGGGACTCTGTTGAGCTGCACGCCAATGTGATCTGGTAAGCAGGCCCCAGGCAGCCGTCTCCCCACCCCAACCCACCCCGGACAGGCATAGCTGCCCTCCCCACTCAGACTGCCGGGTGGTCCTGCCCACACCCTTCCCTCACACTGCCCTCTGCTTTGTCCCAATGCAGTCACAATGAGGACTCCGGCCTCTTGGAGAACAACTTGGCTACCACCACCATCCCAGTCCTGTACCCCATCAACATTCTCACTGAGGAGTAAGTTGTGAGCAGCCTCCCCAACCCCAGCCTCCTGAGCCAGGGCCTCAGCCTGGCTTCCCAGGGCTCTCCTTCAAAGCCTCATCCTCTCCTGCCCAGGGGTAATTAGAACTGATTCCAGCCACAACCCCAAGAGTTTTCTTTTTTTGTTTTTTCTTTTTAGATTGTATTTATTTATTCATGAGAGAGAGAGGCAGAGACATAGGCAAAGGGAGAAGCAGGCTCCCTGCAGGGAGCGTGATATGGGACTCAATCCCAGAACCCTGGGATCACAACCTGAGCCAAAGGCAGATGCTCAATCACTGAGCCAACCAGGTGCCCCCCTCAGGAGTTTTCAACACGCAAAAGAATGGAGGCCTTTAAGAGTTCTGAGATCAGCAGTTTACTGATGGAAGAAAAAGCGCATTGTATGCTGACCTTGTGTCAGATACCTGTGCCAGCTGCCCTGCACAGCTGGGGCTGCCCCTGGCATGAGGCAGCCGTGCCTCTTTCCATTTTACTGGTGAACAAGCGGCCTCTGAGAAGGGTGCTCATCCAGAGTTATACAGATAGGAAACACTGATGCTGCATCTGAATTTGGGTCTGTCTGACTCCAAAACCCCATGCTAGATGTGCCCCTCCCCCAGGGGTCAGGAGCACTGAGAGAGATGAGGAGAGACTGTTCACAGTGGCTCTTTGCCCACAGAAAGCTTATAGGCAGGCAGGAAAGGCCAAGTTCATGTGCACACAGAATCAGTGAGTCTCAGAAGGTTATGGCAGGAAGGACCCATGGGGATGACCCGTTGGATTTTCTCATTGACAGAAAAGAGATTGAAGCCAGAAAAGCAGACCAATTTTCTCAAGCTGGCTCAGGGAGAGAAAGACAGGGACAGTGACTGAGCCAAGATCTCTGGTGCTTTTGAACACAAATGCCATACATAATGATACTGTCTGAAGTATGGTATTAAATTAGAATGAGGAAGGATGATTTGGGTTGGTGGAGAGGTGGAAGGGTTCACAGAGAGGCAGGGGCTTGAACTGGGGTCTGGAGAATTCGAGGGGTTAGACAGGGGCCAGGGAGGAGAAGGGATGTCCCCATCAGAGAGAAAACTATAGGGCAAAAGGAAGCAGCAAGCAATGGTGTGGATTTGGGAAGTAGGGAGTGTGCAGGGGACAGCGGGTATGTGTGGGGTGCACTGGGTGGGCAGATGTGGACATGAGGAGCTTTGGGCCTGACCCTTGTGAATGGCTGGGGGCCATAGGCAGATTCTAAATGGGGAGGTGGCAGGATCAGACAGTGATGTTAAGAAGTCATTAGATGGATGAGATGGAGAGGAAGCCAGAGGCTGGTACTGTTATGCAGGAGAACCCAGCAGACAGTGGAAACCCTCCTGAGGCAGGGACCTGTGTGGTGGGGAAAACACAGCTCCAGAGGCACATTGGCCTGGGTTCCAGCCCTGGCCCTCCTCTGCCAGACACTGGGCAACAGACTGGCCCTTTCCACGAGCCTTGCTTTCCAAAGGGAAACAGCAGAGTGCTGGAAGGGTTCCATGAGAGCATGCCTTCCTGGTCCCTAGAGGGTCCCTCAGAGCTTCCCAGGCCCGAGCCCCTGACCTACTGGAGACTGGGTCCTTATCTCCTCCTCTTTCTACCCCCACTCCTCTCTCTCTCTTTCTCTGCAGCAAGGAGAACTCCACACTGTATGTTGGCTTCACCCCCAAAGGTCCCAAGATGCACTTTGTTGAACACTTCTACCAGGTATGAGCTTCTGTGTGAGAGGCCCTTCTGGGTCATACATTTTCCAACTCTGTCCTGAGGACAGAGGCTGCAGAGACCAACCAGACACAGCCCCATCCTCCGTGAACCCAACTCCCTCTGCCCATGCTGTGATCCTTTCTAGAGAGCCTCACAGCCTCCAGTGGCCAGTGGCTGCACAGCTCCTTTCCGGTGCTGGATGCGTTGTCAGTGGGATCGCAGAACTTGAGAGGCAGAAGCACTATGAGAGACAACCTAGCTATTCATTCACATGTTTAATGAGCCACTGTTGCAGCTTAGGTGTGGAGGCAGCAGTAAGTCAGGGCCCCTGACCACTCACCGGAGCCAAATTCTGTGCCTGGTGCTTTATGTATGTGACCCCCACCCCAGGATTCTCACACTGACTGTGAGGCCCCATAAGGCAGAGGCATTGTCATTCCCAGCATACAGACAAGAAGTCCACAGCACAGAAAAGTTGAGTAGCTTGCCAGGCTACACAGCTACTAAGCGGGGAAGAGTCAGATTCAGGCCCTTATTTGAATACCAAAATTCATGTGTTTGTTTGTTTGTTTGTTTATTTAAAGATTGTATTTATTTATTTATTTGAGAGAGAGAGAGAGAGCACTGGCAGTGGGGAGGGCAGAGGGAGAGAGAGAGAGGGAAAAGCAGACTCCCCGCTCAGCAGGAAACCTGACTTGGCGCTCCATCCCAGGACACTGGGATCATGACCCGAGCCAAAGGCAGATGCCCAACCAACTGAGCCACCCAGGCACCCCCCAAAATTAATGTGTTTAACCTCTAAGTCAATGATCTGTCACTTGCTCGTGGCTGAAATAGCAATCTTCATTATGGAAACAAAGAAAGACAGCCCCTGAATCTAAAGCTCGAGGGGTCTGAGGCTTTTTTAGAGGTAACCCCTGAGAGAGGAGTAGGCATTGACCAAGCCAAGAGCATTCTCATTTTCCCGTGGAGGAGACTGAGCCCCAGAGAGACTGTCTTACCAAAGGCCTTGCTGGCATCAGGACAGACTGGGGCAGGAGCCCAGCAGGAAAGGAACCCCAGGCAGGCAGCCCCTTTAGAACAGAGGCTAGAGTCATCTCCCCTAGACACAACAGTCAACTCCCTGCCCTTGGGGAGGTCAGATGCTCATTTGCATTGAGAATGGCCAGTTGGGTTGGTTTCTAATGTTGTTCACTAGGATGGCTCTGGGTTCCCCAAGGAGCTTGGCAGACCAGTCCTTTCCCCACCAATAGCGGGGAAGACTTGGACAGGCATGGATCCAAGCCCCAGCTCTACCATTCCAGCTCTGTGTGACCTTGGGCCACAGGCTTAACTGTGCATGCCTCGGTTCCCTGCTATGACAAACGGGATTTGGAATGAGAACTTCCAGGTGTCTTGAGGTTTAAGTGGGTTACTGACTCCCCATGCAGTGCTTTGCCCAGTGCCCGGGAAGTGGAGGTAGTTAATGGCTGAGGTGGGGGCTGTGGCCCAGCCTGGAGTTTTCCCCAGCTACTGTGGAAGCCTGCTTGCATTCTTGCCCCACTCCTCTGGGAACCCATTCAAACCCTTTGAGCTCCCCTCCCCGCACCACATACCCCATTTCTCTCTCTCGGGATGGTCATCAGGGCTAGACACCTCCATCCACCCTCCAGCATCCTAAGCGATGCATCTGGCTCCCTGCCGCCTGGCCCAAGCACACAGCCACTCTTGCTAAGGGCCTGATCATGTCTGTTTTAACTAAACGCAACTCAGTGTGGGACACTGGTGATCTTTCCCTCTTGCCCGAAGCCGTCCTGTTAGGCCCTTTTTGCCACAAGGAGGTCTGCTTGGGTTTCTAGTGAGCTCAACATGCATGGTAATTCAGTGAGACCTGGGCAGCTGGGCCACGGGGGTCTCCTTCCTCATGATGGCCCTCTCCCCAAGCTGGTGAGGAGTATAAACTTCAGCCAGACCTGAAACCTTTTTGAAGCTCTGCTATTTAAAGCTGTGCGGCCTTGGGCTGTTTACTTAACCTCTGTGAGCATCTGTTTTTCAATCCGTAAAATGGGGATGGTAATAGACCTCCTTATGGGGTTGTTATGAAGAGCAAATAAGAAAATTCATGTTAAGTGCTCCACACAGTACTCCACACATAAGCCATTGGTCACCAGTGACTGGTTTTAGCAGTGTTGTTCTCACCATCATCTAAGGAAGGTGATAGAACAATGTAGTTCTGGTCTCTGGAGTCCCAGCCTGGGCTCCAATGCCCGCCTTTCCACTCCATCACTTCAGACAGATTAATCTCCCTGAACTTCAGTCCTCCCCTCTGAAGTGGGGATATCAGTCCTGCCTGCCACATAGGCAGCCTGAGAGAAAAGAATGAGATCCTGCATTCAGTGAGAATCACAGAGGCCCAGCACACTGAGTGTTCAGCAAATGGTGATTGCTCTTCTGTGGTCTCCCCATGACCCCATCTTCTCGCTGCCCTGGTAACAGGCTGATGCCCTATGCTTGTGCCACTGACTGCTCTGCACCGGTCCCCATGTGGCCTGTCTCTCTACCCACAGTCTGAGTCCCCCGTCCAGCTCACAACTCTGCATTGTGACCCTCCTGCTCCTCCAGGGCGCCTGTCCTTGCAGCTTGTCCCTGCTCTCCACTGGGAGGTCTTCCCTGCATTTTTTTTTTTTGTCTTTTAACAGCTTTATAATAGAATGAGATACAAGTCACAGTCTGTATGATTTATCTGCTTTTTAAAATTTTTTTTTATTTATCTGCTTTTAAAGCATACAGTTCAGTGGCCTTTGGCATATTTGTAAAGTTATATAACCATCACCACAATCCAATTTTTGAAGATTTTCATTATTCCACAAAGGACCCCTGTACCCACATGCTCTCCTGTCCCTCCTCCCCCAGCTCCTGGCAGCCACTACTTTAGTCTCTGTCCAGAGACCTGGCTGCTCTGGACATTATGTAGGAGCAGAATCCTCCAGTGTGGGGTCCTTTATGACTGGCTTCCTTTGGTTACATAGTGTTTTCAGGGGTCATCCTTGTTGTAGCCTGTCCCACTACCATATTCTTTTTTATTGCCAGATAATATTCCATTGTGAGGTAGGCTGCGTTTGATTTGTCCATTCAACAGCTGGTGGACATCTTGGTGATTTCCACTTTGGGGCTTTTATTGACTATGCTGCTTGAATGTTTTGAGGTTTTCTTTAAGATTTTATTTATTTATATGAGAGAGAGAGAGCGCGCGTGCACACAAGCAGCCGAGAGGGAGAAGCAAACTCCCAGCCCGATTCAAGGCTGTATCCCAGGACCCTGGGACCATGACCTGGGCTGAAGGCAGATGCTCAACCAACTGAGCCACCCAGGTGCCCCTGCTTGCACGTTCTTGTACAAGTTTTGGTGCAGACATATTTGACTTCTCTTGGGTATATATCTGGGAGTGCAGTTGTTCCCCTTGAGGCTTTGTCTCAGCATGTATTGCTTTCCCCTCACCCAGCATCACCCCTGGTGTGCTCAAAAGCACCCTTTTCCCCAAGCAAAACTTCCAAGTCTGAGTGAATTTGTCCTTCCTCCGTGGCTGGTCCTCCCACCTCCTCAACCTAGTTCTGTATTCTCTTGTTTCCTTTGCCTCCACTAATTCCCAGACTCAGGTTCCCCTCCTTCTTGCAACCATCGGCGCAGGCTCCTTCTTGAACCTTGGCCTGCCTTCCCCATTTTCTCCCATTCTGGGCCCACTGCACCCTACCACCAAGCCTTCCCTCCTCACCATTACCCGGTTAAGAGTCCCCTGATTTCTGGCCCTTAGGCCTCATGGGCACACAATCTCACCCCAGGTCTCCTTTCCAGATGTAGTTCCTGTCTCTTGGTCCCAGCCCCTACCTCCAGCTGTGTCACACTTGCCTGGTGCTAACTGTCCTAACTGTCCACATTTTCTCTTCCTGGATGCCACTCCCCATCTTCATCTGTTCCACTCCTCTCTGTCCTTCACAGTTAAATTCAAATGCTGCCTCTGACATAAGGCCTTTTAAATTTAATTTACCTGACATTTTTCAAGTGTCTGTAAAAGTGTGTCAAATGAATAATGCTAGAACCTCTCAAACTGGACATATATTTCCCTGCGGGACCTCCCTGAGATGTTCATTGGTGCTGCTCTTTTGTCACTTTCTTCTCCACTTCTGGGTCTTCCAGCCCCACACAGTAGGCTTTTTCATCTAACAGGTACTCAGGATGTATTTCTTCAATCTGTGTGGTGTCCTCACCAAAATGAATCTTTCCCAACCTGCATTGTGCAAATAGTTTTCACATGTATCCTTGCCTTCATTCTTTCACTCATTCAAAAAATGACATTTCTGGAGGCCTGCTATGTGCTCAGTAGTATGCAGCAGGGAATTGCAAGTGAAAGAAGCCACAGTCACCAAGCACGCAGTCCAGAGGAGACAGACACACAAGTACATACTTAGCCATCCTGCGGGGGATGTAGTACGCTATGGGAACACACAGGGGGAGCTGCCTTCCCCTTGGGGAGTCAGCAGAACCATCAGAAATGATATTTGAGAGGTACCTTGCTGGATATGTGAGGATTTGCTCCGTGGTGAAAGCAGAAAGGCACAGGTAACCCACACTGTAAAACCTTGAAGATAGGGGCCACATGAAGCTGTCATTGCCCTCTGCCTGGCAAAGAGCAGGCGCTCAGGCCTCAGCCAGGGAGGATCGTGTCTGGAGAGGCATTTGGAGGGGTGGCTGGCATTTAGGGCTCTGCGGTCCCATGTCCTCTGTCCTAGGTGAGGATTCAGCCTTCTATCTATGACCACAAAGTGCCTGCCCTGGAGGCCTTGATTGGGGTACCAGTATCTCACAGTGAGGGGCCCATCATGCACAAATGGAATGTGGAGATGGTGAGTACTGCCTGGAGGAGGGAAAGACACCCAGGTCCGTGGGAGTGAGCTCATAAAGGGGTACAGATGTGTGGGAAGAGAGTGAGGGTAGATGCATCCTGTTGGGCTCAGTGATTTCTGCACCTGCCAGGAGCCAGTGGGAGTGAACCGGGATGCCATGTATCCATGGAGTGGGGAGGGAGGCCAGATTCCAGCCTTAAGGGGCCAGTGTCCTCTCTCTGCTCTCATTCCATCCCATCATTCCTAGGAGCCTCCTGTGACCTGTTATCGTGAGGATCTGGACAGGCTGCCCAGTGTGGCTGAGGTACTGGCCTGTGGGCTCAGAAGTCAGGGTGGGGCCAGCAGAGTGCAGGTGGGAAGATAGGCCGCTCTGACCCCTGCTCTCTTCATTCTTGGCAGCCTTGTTTGCCCGGGGCCAGATTCCACTGCCCATTTGTCTACAAGGAGGAGATCTTCGTCAAAGTGATCGGGACTATTGAGCTGGTGGAGAAGATTGAGGTAGCACCTGCTGGCAACATAGAGGTTGGGGGGGCCTCAAGGGGTCAGGAGCGAGCATCCCTGCCAGATGGGCTTCCTGCATTCTGTACCACCTGGACGAAAAGCCCTGATATTTACACGGCGGCAGGTGAAAGAGAATCGTGCTCGAAATGTGCAGGGCTGTTTTCACGGGCCTACGGATGGTTCTTGCTGGTTCTCTGTAGGAAAAGTTTCCTTCCAGCTGTGGGGAGTGACCCGTTACGACGCTACAGTAGGGAACTCAGTAGGAGTGGTGCAACCCCCTGGGACCTGTTCTCCGACCTCAGCCGAGGTGGGGTGCTGAAATCAGTGGGTTCTGGTGCTTATTCTCTCTGGCCTGACGTCTCCCCCATACCCCACAGGCCTCCTCCATGGTCAGCCTCTGCAGCTCTCTCTCCGTCTCCTTCAACAGCATCAAGCATTTCCACCTCTATGGCAGCAATGCCTCCATGGCCCAGGTATGGTTTTGCCTCCTCAGAAGCCCCGGGGAGCAGGGGTCAGCAGAGAGGTCTGGGGAACCCCAGGGCAGAGCTAGAAGAGCTAGAGCCAAAAGTGGGAGGGCCTCATGGGAGGTCTGGGCTCTCCAGGAACAAAGAAGGGTACACCCTCTCCCCACGGTCAGAGCAGTCAGCCTTGGTGAAGGCTTTGCTGGATGCCATGAGCTCCCTGCCACTGCTGGTGGGCAAGTAGGCCACAGGGACACCCGTCTGAGACATGTCAGGCAGAGAGCCAGTTTGATGGCATCTCAGCAAAGGGTACCCACCCAATGCCCACCGTGAGCACGAGCTCTAAGCAGAGCAAGTAGCGAGACCACGGAGCCAAGAGGATGGCGAGGCAGGTGGGAGAGCAAGCAGGTCAGAGCAGGAGAAGGGAAGCTGCAGTTAAGAAGCAAGCCCAAGCTGGACTCCGGAAGGCTTTGCATGCTGAGCCGAGATTCTGGCATTTTATTCTGGGACTAAGGGAAGCCATGTAAGGGCTTCCGATGGGTTATGTGCATGTCTCCTAGTTCACTCTGATGGCTGCACACTGGGAGGTGCACTGGAGGGAGACATCTGGGCCAGCCGGGTGGTATCCAGAAGCAGTCCGAACCAGAAACGCAAGACCTAGCCATTCACGAGCATGTCAGAGGTGAAAGCCTGCTCTTTACGTTCCCTTCTCTTTTCCTTCTCCAGGTCGTCATGAAGGTTGACATCATATATGAAAAGGAAATGCTCCATGTCTATGCACTGAGCAGCATTGGGGGGCTGTTGCTGCTCTTGCTGATTTTTGTGGCACTCTACAAGGTGGGAGCTTCTGGGAGCGTGGGGCATGGCTGAGACAACCTGGCTGGGGAAAGGGTTCTGCAGGGGTCAGGGCGGAGAATACTGAGATTGGGGAGCCTTAAAGCTAGAAGGGGCCTCAGCCTCCCCCCTCTTTCAGATAAAGCTCCCCAGGCCCAAAGAGCAAGCAAATCTTTCCCCCTCCCTCCTCCAAGCACTGGCAGAGCCAGGACTGTCTACCTAGGAAGGAAGGGTGCTTCTGCCCATCAAGGGTTGGGTGCTGGGACACAGAGGCCCACACCACAAACATGGTCCCTGCCATAGAGGGCTCACAGTCTAATGGAGGAGGCAGACAGGGCTCCACTCAAGGGCCTGTGTGCTGAAGCCTCACTCAGGCTGGGGCAGTCCAGGAAGGCCTCCCAGAAGAGGAGGCATTTGAGTTGGGGTTTGAAGGAGGAGTAGCCAGATGAAGAATGGTGGAGGGCAGATGTTCCATATGAAAACTAAATACCCCGGAAAAAGACAACACAGAAAATCAGTTTCTTCCCCTTGCACTCCCAGAGGATGGTTACTAACAACCGTTTTCCAGCTTCTAATTTTGTTGTTTAAATATGTGTATATGTAGGGGCACCTGGGTGGTTCAGTCGATTAAGTGTCTGCCTTTGGCTCAGGTCGTGATCCCAGGGTCCTGGGATGGAGCCCCACATCCCACTCCCTACTCAGTAAGGAGTCTGCTTCTCCCTCTCCCTCTGCCTTCTTGCTCTTCCCCCCTGCTTGTGCTCTCTCTCTGCCAAATAAACAAATAAAATCAAAAGAAAGAAAGAAAGAAAGAAAGAAAGAAAGAAAGAAAGAAAGAAAGAAAGAAAGAAAGAAAGAAAGAAAGAAAGAAAGAAAGAAAGAAAGAAAGAAAGAAAAGAAAAAGAAAGAGAGAGAAAGAAAGAAAAAAGAAAAAAAAGAAAAGAAAAGAAAAGAAAAGAAAAGAAAAGAAAGAAAAGAAAAGATGCCTGGATAGGTCAGCGGTTGAGCATCTGCCTTTGGCTCAGGGCATGATCCCAGAGTCCCGAGATCGAGTCCTTCATCAGGCTTCCTGCATGGAGCCTGCTTCTCCTTCTGCCTATGTCTCTGTCTCTCTCTCTCTCTCTCTCTCTGTATCTCTCATGAATGAATGAATGAATAAATAAATAAAACCAATATGGTTTTAAAATAAATAAATAATATATGTGTGAGTATATGTGTGAGCATGAGAGAGAGCAAAGTCAGTGTCTGTGTATATACACATAGAAAATATAAATGGGGGGCACCTGGGTGGCTCAGTCAGTTAAGCATCTGTCTTCAGCTCAGGTCATGATCTCAGGGTCCTGGGATCGAGCCCTGCCTTAGGCTCCCTGCTCAGCGGGCAGTCTGCTTCTCCCTCTCCCTCTGCCTGCCACTCTGCCTACTTGTCCCCTCTCTCTCTCTGTCAAGTAAATAAATTAAATCTTTTAAAAAGAAAGAAAATGTAAATGGAATAATAGCATATATACTGCTTGGGAGCTTGTATTTCCCACTGGATATTCTATATTGATGTCTCTCTAAGCACAATCAGATCCACCCCTTGCCTTTTATTTATTTTTTATTTTTTTTTAAATTTTTATTTATTTATGATAGTCACAGAGAGAGAGAGAGAGAGAGAGAGGCAGAGACATAGGCAGAGGGAGAAGCAGACTCCATGCACACCAGGAGCCCAACGTGGGACTCGATCCCGGGTCTCCAGGATCGCGCCCTGGGCCAAAGGCAGGCGCCAAACCGCTGCACCACCCAGGGTTCCCCACCTCTTGCCTTTTAACCTGCCTGGGTTGCTGCTGTCTGGATGCCCCACCTTTTACTGAAACAAGATCCCAGCTGATAAGTAATTTCCACTTATTTTAAATGGTGACCAAAAAGGCTCTTGGCACCCACATCTTTGCACACTTGTTCAAATCTTCTTTAGAATTAATTCCTAGAGGAACGCCTGGGTAGCTCAGCAGTTTGGCTCCTGCCTTCAGCCCAGGGCGTGATCCTGGGGACCTGGGATCAAGTCCCACATCGGGCTCCCTGCATGGAGCATGCTTCTCCCTCTGCCTGGGTCTCTGCCTCTCTCTCTCTGTGTCTCTGATGAACAAATAAAATCTTTAAAAAAAATTAATTCCTGGAGTTGGAATGGCTGAGCCAAAGTATATATATGTTTAAAAAAAAAAAGTAGACTATGTATGTTCTGAGCTTTCAATGGAGAGTACCTGGCCCATGCCAAGCACTATGTTAAGTGCAAGCTCTTGCTATTTGTTAGTATTACTGGATATTTTCAAACCACCCGCCCCACATATTGGCCCATGACATTTTGATAAACCTAAAGAATTAATTGTTGTTAAATGTACAGCTGTTTATCATAGGAACCAAGTGTGGCAGATACCCTCGCCTCATCCCTGGAGCAGATAACCACGCATGTGCAGCATGAATGACTCATTACCATTCTGAAGGGTGCGCTCATGTTTTGCCGAGGCTGACTGGTCCAGAATATTCCATGGACTTTCTGCTGACTCCATTTTTGTCTTCCTGCAGCTTGGCTTCTTCAAACGGAACCTGAAGGAGAAGATGGAGGCTGTAGAAGCTTCAAATGAAATCCCTAAACAAGACTCTGAGCAGCCAGTGCCCAAGGAGGAGGCTGGGGATCCAGGCTGCCTGGAGCCCCTCCAGGATGGGGAGGCCCAGGATGAAGCTGTCAAAGACTGAGGCCCAGGCCCACGGCAGAGGACCCAGGATGTATGGTGCCATTCTGCCTCTACCTATGTCTCACTGTGCGTCTTCGGGCAAGTCTCTGCCCCCCCACCTAGGCCTCAGTTTCGCTATCTTGAACATGGAGCTCACTCCTGCCTGCCTGCTCTGTGGGCTCATGGTGAGGATCTATGAGGGATGGTCCAGGAAGGGTATGTACGTGAGGGCTTGTAATTATCAGCTGGTTCTGGCTTCCCCTGGTCCTTCTTAGTATCCTCCCATGGAAGAGAACATCTGATCTAAATTTGGAAAAACTGTCATCTCAGGACCTAGTGACACTTGCAGCCCTCACACCCATCTGCCCTTGGATGTCCCCAGATGCCTCAGACTCTCAGAACCTTGCCCTTCACTCTCTCCTGCCTGGAGTCCAGTCAGCTTTCCATCTGCTGCCAGAGAGCAAATCTGATCTGTGTCACGACATTGCTGCTGCAGACCCCTTGCTCTGTGGCTAAAGACCAAGTTCCTTAATACGACTTCCAAAATCTGCAAAATATCCTTAACATGCCAGTGCAGTACTGGGTCCCCATGGCCTTCCTGGCCTCCTCCAGAGACTCCCAGCCTCCCTTTCGAAGCTCCAGTTACACCAACCTTTCTCACTAGCCAAGCCCCCTTCTGTCCTACTGCCTTCATCCAGACTGCTCCCTCTGCCTGGAACATTCCTCCCCAGCCCTTTCCCTGGCTGGCTCTCACTCAGACTTCAGATCTCAGTTCACTTGGAACTTCCTCAGGGCTGCCCTCAACCCCGCCCCAAGCGGGTTTTCATAGCACACATGCCTACACTAGCCTGCACTTCCCCTCACAGTACAGATCATGGTTGTTACTCAATATTCATCTCTCAAATCCAACCATAGTTCCACGGGGGTAGGGACCATACCTGCTATGTTCACCTTGGTGATATCACAGAGCCAGACACAGTGGGTGCTTGATACAATTTCTTTTTTTTTTAAGATTTTATTTATTTATTCATGAGAGACACGGAGAGAGAGGCAGAGACACAGGCAGAGGGAGAAGCAGGCTCCATGCAGGGAACCCGATGCCGGACTTGATCCCGGGACTCCAGGATCACACCCTGGGCCGAAGGCTGGCGCTAAACCACTGAGCCACCCAGGGATCCCACTTGATTCAATTTCACTGAACTAGTGAGGGTGCCTATGGGAAGTTCCAGAAAACGTTTGGATGGGCCCATGGCATCTCCACCCTTCAAGGCTCTGTCTTCCCCCAGGCTCCTGCCTCCTTCCTTTGTAGCCCCTACTGGGACTCCCCAAATCCCATCATGGCCCCAGGCTGGGAGGCAGTGAGCTCAAGATGTGGGACACGTCTGTCTACTCCCCTCCCTTCACTACCCCCCCACCTCCTGCCCCGGCTCCCAGTGCTAAGCAGAGCACCTGACTATGTCTACTGATAAATATGAAGTTTGTAAGCTGGTGCCACATCTCGGCCTGGCTCAATTAAACATTTCCTTCTCACCCTTTCTCTAAGTGGGACCCAGTCAGCTGTATTTTCTTTTCATTTCTTTCCCTTTCTTTCCTTTCCTTTTCTTTTCTTTTTTCTTTCTTTTCTTTTTTCTTTTCTTTTCTTTTTTATGACAACCATTTAGAGACTAACCTGCATGAGGCATTGACAATTCATTCAGGCGTGAGAATAGACCCTTCTCGGGCTTTTTTTTTTTTTTTTTTTAAGCAGCAATTGGTGAGGCTTGATCCTGAGGCCCCCCCCCCCCCCACCTTTAGGAGGACAGAGCAGGCTTGTTGCTGCTGCCCTCTTGTGGTCAGTAGGACCCCAGAGCTGGGCACAGCTCTCTCCTCTCTCCTCCTTCCCTCCCCCACTCCTTCAACCCTCTCCCCAGGGAATATGGAGTCACTCTCAGGACAGCTCTGGGCTCAGCACTGAGAGCTGAGAAATAGCTTTTGACCTCCCAAGGCTCCCTTCTGCCTACAGGGAGTAAGAGAATGTTCTCAAGCCTGGCACTCAAGGCCCAGAACAGTATTTTAAAACCTGCCAACCTCTTCAACCTCATCAACCCCCTGCTGGCCTGAGCCACCCAGGGGCACCTGGTGTTAGGGCCTGTTCTGTGCCCTGAGGGCAGGATGATGAACAAGACAGACAAGTCCTTGCCCTCAGGAAGCACCACCCCAATGAGAAAACAGAGTGAAAAGGTAGACCTGTGATTCTAGGCGGTGAGGGGATTGTGAAGAAGATAAAACAGGATAACGAGTTAGTGAGGGTCCTCCTACATGAGTGATGCTCTGTGACACACACACAGAGTGAATGTTTTCATCAGGGTTGGAAGCAAAACACAGAAAATCTGGGAGGTTCATTTCAGAACAGTCCTGCCCTCATCATGCCCAGAAATCTATATCCCGACTCCCTTAACAGCACCCATCCTCAAACACCTGCCTCTCTGTCTTTGCACATGCTGTTCCTCTTGCCAGCCCATCTAGTTCTACCTTGTTCTATCCTTTAAAATCTTCCAACTTGGGCAGCCCGGGTGGCTCAGCGGTTTAGCACCGCTTTCGGCCCAGGTTGTGATCCTGGAGACCCGGGAGGGATCGAGTCCCACGTCTCGGGTTCCCTGCAGGGAGCCTGCTTCTCCCTCTGCCTGTGTCTCTGCCTCCCTCTCTCTCTCTCTCTCTCTCTCTCTCTCTCTCTCTCTCTCTGTGTGTGTGTGTGTGTGTGTCTCACGAATAAATAAAAAAAATCTTCCTACTGCAGGGGCACCTGGGTGGCTCAGTCAGCTAAGCATCTGCCTTCACCTCAGGTCATGATCCAGAGTCTTGGGATGATGGGGATGGAGCCCCAGGTCCCAGCGGGGAGCCTGCTTCTCCCTCTCCCTCTGCCCCTCCCCCTGCTTGTGGGCTCGCTCTCTGCATTAAATAAATAAATAAAATCTTAAAAAAAAGAAAAATTTAAAACATACCAACACCCAAGGCCACATTCCCTACAAGTGGTCAGAATGATGACATGTTATCACAGGCCATGTAGCCTCTGGAAGACACCATACCCATGGCACAAAGTGAAAAAGTAAGTAACAGTATCCTTGGGAGAATAGTCAAACCTAATCAGTCGTAGGTTTGAGTTCAGGCTCTCTTGCCCCATAGCTGTGCCATGTAGGGCCATTACTATCTTCTCTGGGATTCATTTATTCGTCTGTAAAATGGGAATACTAACTGTATATCCCTCAGAGCTGTTGTGAGGAAAACACTTGCAAACTGTCTAGAAATGTTGCCAGCACATCTGTGCTTAATAAAGGTGGTGGATAGAAATGGCTTAGTTGTGGGGTGCCTGACTGGCTCAGTCAGTGAAGCATGCGATTCTTGATCTCAGGGTCATGAGTTCAGTACCCACACTGGGCATAGAGATTACTTTTTAAAAGATGGTTTAGTTGTGCAGGATGGTGTGGTAAAAATAGCATGCTGGACTGAAAGTCAGGAAACCTGGCACTGGCATCCTAGTTCTTCACTGCGACCTTGAGAAAGATGTGTGCCCTTCCTGGGCTTTGATCTGCCCCACCTGGGATCTACAGGTACCACAGGAGCTGCCATACAGAAGAAAAGGGTGGGAGCTGAGCCCCACCACTGTCACTTGATCTGCTTTTATATACTATGATTCATAAGCAGCATACAGGCTACTTTATCAATTAAGTACTACATGCACTGTGCTTTCAATGGCCTACAAACATGTTTGGGAGCTGGAGGGAAAAATCAACTCCAAAGAATGAAAATCAAATTGTATAATTGAAATAAATGTTAAACTGGGACGCCTGGGGCAGCCCCGGTGGCCCAGCGGTTTAGCGCCGCCTGCAGCCCAGGGCGTGATGCTGGAAACCCAGGATCAAGTCCCACATCAGGCTCTCTGTATGGTGCCTGCTTCTCCCTCTGCCTGTGTCTCTGCCTCTCTCTCTCTGTGCGTGTGTCTCTATGAATAAATAAATAAATAAAATCTTAAAAAAAAAACCTGGGATGCCTGGTTGGCTCAGTGGTTGAGCGTCTGCCTTCAGCTCAGGGCATGATCCTGGGGTCTCAGGATCGAGTCCCGCATCGGGCTCCCTGCACAGAGCCTGCTTTTCCCTTGGCCTCTGTCTCTCCCTCCCTCTGTGTGTGTGTCTCTCATGAATAAATACATAAAATCTTTTTTAAAAAAGAAAGAAATGTTAAACCAACAGATATGTCAGGTAGTCAAATGCAGTCCTATTTAACATAAGTACTCACATATATGAACTACGTAAATGCGGGAGGTGGAGTATTTTAATATTTGAAATTATGTGTGATTGGGTGTCTGTACAAAAATGTGCAAAAAGTTTACAAAGGTCTTTAAATACTTTAAAATACTTGAAAAATAATGATCTACTTCCAAAAATAATTAAAACTTTAGGGGATCCCTGGGTGGCTCAGCGGTTTGGCGCCTGCCTTTGGCCTAGGGCGCGATCCTGGAGTCCCGGGATCAAGTCCCACATCGCGCTCCCAACATGGAACCTGCTTCTCCCTCTGCCTGTGTCTCTGCCTCCCCCACTCTCTCTCTCTATCATTAATAAATAAATAAATCTTAAAAAAAAAAACTAAAAAACACCAAACACAACCAAACTGTTGAACTACGTGATCTCTAAGGCTCCTTCTGGAGTGTGCAGAACGTAAGAGGCTGGGTTGAAATGTCCTTGAGAAGTTATTCTGCTCTTGACAACTTATAAGGCCCTAAGGATAGGTGCGGGGCTGGGGGTGATGTGAGGATCTGAAGCCCAAGAGCCAGTGTAGAGCACGATTCCCCACCTGCCTGTGTGGCTGAGCCGCTGGGGCTGATGAGCCAGAGAGATGTGGTCTGAATTTCTCACCTGCCTCTTATCCACAGAGCAACTTCCAGCAGGTCAGAGCTCTGTGAACTCATTTTTCCTTATCCATGAAACTGAGAAAAATCTTTGCAGGGCAATCAGGCCCTTACAGGCATTCATCTCAAGACATTCCTGGCAGCTGGGTGATTCCCCAGGGTGTGGCCTGTCCTACTCAGCTAAGGTCAAGGCAGGCCACATCCCAGGATCCAGAGACTCGCAGCTGGCACCGACTCTCCATTCTTTTCCGAAAGCCAAGTATTAGGAGGGCTGAGGCTCAGACATGAAAGAAAAGTAAGATAAAGGCGTGTGTGTGTGTGTGTGTGTGTGCTGGGTGATCCCAATAGGTCCAGGAGTCCTAAAAAAAAGTGGCAGAGCTGTGACAAATCAGGCCCAGCCTGGTGGGTGGGTCTTAAAAGCTAGAGCTATCTAATCCTCACACTGGGTCCCATATGCGCCCCCTACAGGTAGGGCCCAGACCGCAGGTAGTCTCTGGTTCTGGTCACTCAGGGTCTGCACCAAGTGATGGCCATGAAGGTTCCACAGGCGAGAGGAGGACAGCACAGCTAGATACTGGGAGCCAGAGAGGTAGGACACAGGCTCTACACCCAGATATGAGTGCAAGGTCTGTTCTCTGGCCCAAGGACAGAACCTCTGTGTTTGGTAGAAGGGATATCCCACAAAGTCGAAGGCTTTCTCACACCTCCCACACTGAGCTCCCTGTGTGTTTGTGCAGGATTCAAAGCAGGAGACATAACTTGGAAATATATGTGCAGATAATGTCTCCTGAGCATCGAATTGTAAGATTCCGAGGAAACCTGGAACACGGAGGGCTTCCAGAGAGAGCCCTATGGCTTTGCTGGCTGTAGTTACCACTGCATGTCTCCCACTGGCCAGGGCACTGTCCATGCACACATTTTAAGGACAAGTCTCTTTTACCACATAAAGGTTTTTATTGAACTCAAATTCAAGGGCTCCAAAGCCTGAGGAAGACAAGGGAGGCTGGAGTTTGCACTGAGGCCCAAGCCCCACCCCAGGGCCCCACTCCCCACCCCACCTACCCTCACCCCTTCCTGACTCAACCAGGGTCTCAGTAGCTACCAATCTAAGCTACCCACTCTAATTAAGTAACCCTCCCCCCTCCCCCCACCCCCACCTAGAGCTTTGCCAAGCCAGGCACCCACCAAGGGGCATGCTACTGCTGAGGCCAGCTCTCCACTGACCTCTTTTCTGGATCTCTCCCAGAGCCTCCCACTGCCTGCTTGGCCTCTCTCCAACCCCTCATAGCCCATTTCCCAGAAGTCTCCAGGGCACGTAACTTCCTCCACCCTGGCCCTCAACTCTTCCATCCTCCCCCAGCTTTTCCACTATTCCCTCTAAAGGTTTCTCAGCTCCCTGGCCCGTTTCTCCTGCCCATCACCTCCCCACCCCTGGCAGGGCCCCAGGTCAGCGCCGGCCGGCTGCGTGGGTCCGCTGGTGGCGGATGAGGTCGGAGCTCTGTGAGAAGGCTTTTCCACAGTCATCGCACTTGTAGGGCCGCTCCCCGCTGTGCACCCGGTGGTGCTGCAGCAGTGTGGAGGAGCGGCAGAAGCCCTTGCCGCACACAGCGCACCGGTAGGGCCGCTCGCCTGTGTGGGAGCGCTGGTGCTGAATCAGCGTGGAGGAGCGGTTGAAGGTCTTGCCACAGTCGGGGCAGCTGTAGGTGCGGCCTGGCAGGTGGGTGCGGGCATGGATGGCCAGCACAGAGCTCTGGCCAAAGCGCTTGCCGCACTCAGGGCACTTGAAGGGCTTCTCACGGGCGTGGCTGCGGGCATGGGGGATAAGTGCCGAGCGCTGCGAGAAGCTCTTGCCACAGATGCCACAGCTGAAGGGCCTCTGCCCGGTGTGCACCCTCTGGTGACTACGGAGGGAAGAGTTCTGGCTGTAGCACTTGCCGCACTCGGGGCAGCTGTAGGGCCGCTCGTGGCTGTGGGTGCGCTGGTGCCGCAGGAGGTAGGAGCTGTCACCAAAGGCCTTGCCACAGTGCGGGCACTTGTAGGGCTTCTGACCAGAGTGGGTGCGCTGGTGGCGAAGCAGGTAAGAGCTGTCGGCGAAGGCCTTGCCACAACGAGGACACTTGTAGGGCCGCTCGCCCGTGTGGGTGCGCTGGTGTTTGATGAGGTCAGAGCTCTGGGAGAAGGCCTTGCTACAGACCTCACATTTATAGGGCTTCTCACCCGTATGGATGCGCTGGTGCTGGATCAGGGTGGAGCCCCGCCCGAAGCTCTTCCCACAGATGCCACAGATATTAGGCCGAGGGCCCTGCCCACCCCTGGCCCGGCCACCCCGCCGACCTGGACCCCGAAGGGCCCCTGTCAGGCCCAGGGGATTTTGGAGCATCTCAAACTGGGGTGTAGCCAGCAGGGTCCCTGTGGGCATCTCAAAAGGTGGCCCTAGGGGCAGACCCCCCGTGGGCTGCTCCCCAAACCCCTGGGTGAAGGAGTCCAAGGGGTGGACTCCCAAGGGGATGCTCAAAGGACTCTTTTCTTCAGGATTCAGAAGCATCTCTGCACCTTCCTCAAATTTGGAACTTTGAGCTTCAAATTCAGGGCTTTGGGTTTTGAACTCAGAATTCTGGGGATCATATCCTGGGCTCTGGGATTCATACCCAGGGCTCCGGGGTTCATACCCAGGGCTTTTGGGTTCATAACCAGGGCTCTTGGGTTCATAACCAGGGCTCCTGGGTTCATAGCCAGGGCTTTGGGGCTCATACCTAGGACTTTGGGGTTCAAACTCAGGGCTCTGAGAATCTGAGTCAGGACTTCTGGGTGCAAATTCAGGGCTTGGGGGCACAAACCCAGGGCTTCGGGATTCAAACCCTGGGCTTTCCGGCTCAAACCTGGGGCTTTGGGATTCAAACCCGGGGCTTTGTGGCTCAAACCCAGGGCTCTGGGGATCCAACCCAAAGGGTATCTCTTCGACCTCATAGTCCCCAGTGCCTTCTTGTTGAGACATTTCTTCTTCCTCATTCTCACTCATGTTGCCTGCAGGATCAGAGAGTTACAGAAAACCCAGATTGTGTGCGGTCTGGAAGGTCATTTGGTCCCACTAGTTGCCACAAGCCTCTCCCTCCTCCAACAGGGTCGCTGGCCCTAGAGCAGGTGCTGAAATTCCCACCTCCCCCTCCGCCGACCTGGGACGTCCAGTTCCCGCCCCCGCCTCCACGTCCCAGGTGTCCAAGCCCCCCACCCCGGCTCCCTTCCCCTCCCACGGCCCACAGCTCCCCCTCCCGCCCCCCGGCACGCTCCTCGGAGAGGCGCTCCCTCCCTCACCTTTGAGGGACCCTTCGGGGCTCCCCAGTTCGTCAGGACTTTGCACATCCCCGGGCTCGAGGCCCCACGGCGACGCCTCCCGTTCCATCCCCGCCGGCTCCCAGTGCGGCGGCGGCGGCGATGGCGGACGATCCTGCGACCAGGCCTGAGTGCCCTGAGACCCGGGCCCTCGCCTCCCGCCTGCTCAGCGCCGCCCAGGGGACCCGGCTGCCCAGCCCGGGCCCCTGAGGCCGGACGTCTTGACCCTGGGCCTCTCCGGCCGGCTGGGCCCCTCCCCTACCCACGGCCCCGCCCCCACCCACAAGGTCTCGCCTTGCCCTGGGGCCCTCCAAGGTCCCGTGCGTCGTGGCCTCGGAGGTGAGGGTCTTCACGACTCGCCCTGCCGCCCCCGGATGCCGCTCCCCGACCGCGACCCCGCCGTCTGGCCCCCCAGCCCGGGCTGGGCTGCGGCTATCCGACCCCCTCCTCCCCCCGCACAGGAAGTGTCCGTCCGCGGCCAGTTTCCCCCGCTGGCTAGCGCCACGGCCTCTCTAGGAGCGGCTGGAGGTGGAAACTCGTTGGCATTAACCCTGGGCTGGATGGCCCCGGCGTTCAGGTGGGGGAGGACGGGGCGCCCTGGAGCCGGCAGAAAAGGCTGGGGTAGTTTGTGTGCTATGTCCTAGGTCTCCATCCTCCAGGAGCCTATCTATCCGTCACCCGGGCCCTGCGTCCGTCAGTGCCTGTGGCCAAGGGCGAGGCGACAATCGAGACCAAGGTCAGCGAGAAGGAGCGACGCTTCCCGGCGCCAGCGGGGGCGGTGTCTAGCTCCCTTCCCCTCCTGGGCCTGGGGGTCAGCTCCGGCCGTGCCTCGGGAACCCGGACCGACCCCCCGCCTTGAGCTCCTGAGCCAGGGACTCCCACCCTGCCACCCCGAACTCTACTCCTCCGCACCGGCGCGCCCACCCCGACTCCTCCTGTCCCCCTCCCCTCTCTGCTCCTCCTAATCTCCACCCTACCGGCTCCTGGAGGGCTAGGATCGTTGCCAAGGAAACAGCCCCGCCTCCAGTTTCCAGAAGCACCACCCCTACCTCCCTGGGAGTGCGGCGATTGGCCGGGGAAGCTCGTGCTCTCATCGTCCCGCCTCCTAGCGCTATTCACCAACTGGTAGGCGTGAAGGGTCGCCAGGGAACGCCAGGCACCTTTCTGATTGGCTGGAGGGGGACCACCTACCCCAGTGGTCAGAAGTGCCCGCCGAGAGCTGAGAGGGAGGCGCCTAGCGCCTCCCTTTCAGTCGTCGGGCTGGTGCTTTCAGAACTTTTCCCGCCCCCATTTACCTTTCATTACGTCTTATCTCTCTGAAGAAAGCCAAGGGATCTGGAGACAGACAACCTTCTCCCCAGGTCTTCCGCATACTTCCTTTCCCAGCACTTTCCTTTCTCCCACGGGTTCCTGGTGCTGAAGGGGCCAGTCGGCGGATGCTCCCGCAGAGGGGAGGGCTGCTTTCTTTTCTATTACCTGCCTATCCCTTCCACCTTCCCTGAGATGGGAGCCTTAGTCCCAGGTTCCTGGATTTTCTCACAAAGAGGCAGGGATCCTATGGGAGTTACTTCCAGGTGAGGGTGGTGGAGTTCAGGAGAAGTAGAAAACCATCTGGCCTTTAAGGGAGCTAAGAACTCTCCAGCCCTGACTTGGACAGAAACTTGAGAAGGGAACCTGAGGAACACTGCCCTTGGTGGAGCTTTGAATCAAAGGAAGAGTGATTCTGGAAAGATAATTCTTGTGCCCCTACCCCCACCCCCTTTTAGGCCCTTGCTTCTGAAAGTATTTTGGTAGCGTTCTTGACAATTGATGAGCCAAATTCTCCCTGTGTGAGTGATGCAGGAGCCATGGCTGTGTTATCTTGTTGCCTTCTCAGACAAATGAAGGGAAGAAACTGGTTTAGGAGGAAAGATGGCATCTTCCATTCTCCTGAAAAGAGAGGAGAACAAGAATTTGGAGAATTGCAAGTAGTAGAAGCCTAGGGAAAACAGGCTTATAAATAGAATCACAATTATCTTCCTACAAATAAAGCAGGAGTACTTTTCTCCCCTGCAGAGGAAGAGCTTCCAGCTCCATGCTTGTCTCCCACCCCAAAGTAGGTCTATCCTGCAACCATGTGTGAAGAACAGCTCACATAGTTCACTACTAGATGGCCCACAAGGGCAAAACCCCCTATAAGTGTGCAGACTATGAAAGGAGAGGACCCGGGGCATACTCCGGTCATTCCCAAACCACTCACATAAACGAGAAAAAAAAAGTCTCCTTCATGAGACACTTTTATCTGACCTCCAACCTGTTTACCAACCAGAAAATCTACACAGGAGAGAAGCTGCTCTCTACAAAGGGGATGGTGAGGCCTCCAGCCACAGCTCCGACACTATCCCATCACCTGTACTCGCCAGACGTACTCTAGCAGACGTCAGGCCAGGGCTTCAAGCTGCTTTGGCATCCACACTGCCACATGGAAATTCAGTCTCACTAGTGCCTAGAGTAGAAGAGTAGCTGACTTCCAGGCAGCTTCTTCCAGCACCAGTCCTATCCATGCAATGGGCCTGAGAAGCAAATAGCCTCTCTCTGCCACTCACCCAGAGCAGTGGAGGCTCTAAGAAAGGGAATCCTCTGATGTGGGTTCCAGCTTGACCCAGTACCAACTAATTCAAGGCAGGAGTCCACTGACCTTATTCTACCAGTGTGTACTAGTGAGGAAAAGCTGTTTGTGTTCTGAGTTGGGTGGCCACTTTGTCCATAGCATCATTCCTGGTGTGCAGCTAAGGCTTATGGTCCAGCCAACTTGGCCAACACTTAAGCATAGGTCCTCAATGGGAGGGAGACTCCTGTGTGAACTGCTTTTGCCCTACATGCAACAGACAGGCCCTCTAAGAGGATCTGTCAGATGCTACAAGAGACCTCCATATATTCAAGATTTGAGGTACCCAGGAAGAGCTCAGCCATGGCACAGTCTCCTTTGGGAAGAACAAAGAAAATGGGAGTCTTTGTATATGGCTAGGTCATCCTTTGACCTCAAGCGTTTGCAAAACTAAGAGCAGCTAGAAAGTAACATTTTGTTCAGAGCATCATTACCATGTGTAAGATTCCATTCCTGGAGATTCTGATTCAATAGTCCAGAGACAAAGCCCAGGGAGCAGACTACATTTTAGTTACTGAATGAGATCCTGTGGCAGAAAGGCCTTACTTTGAAAAATAATTGCCTAGGGGCGCATGGGTGGCTGTCAGTTAGGCATCCACCTTCAGCTTGGTCATGATCCTGGTCTTGGGATGGAGCCCTGTGTCAGGATCCCTGCAGGGAGCCGGCTTCTCCCTCTGCCCCTTCCCTCTCTACTTGTCCTCTCCTTCTCTCACTCTGCTTTCTCAAATGAAATCTAGGAAGGAAGGAAGGAAGGAAGGAAAAAAATACTGGTCTAGAGCAAGTTTTTGCTTCTTTGAGTCATAAACATCTTTTCACAAGCTCAGATCAACACTTGTCCTTATTTTATATGGCTTGGACACATTGGGAATGAGTCATGTGGTCATGACCTTGACATTTCACTCTGGCCTTGTGGATGGGCCTCATTTTGTCTGGTTCAGACAAGTATTTCTCCTGATGTACCAAGAAAGCCCTAGGAAAACCCTCTTTCTGACTTAAAGTGCTTTGGGGTCTGAGCCTCAAAGAACTAGGGTAGCAGAGAGAAAAGGGAGCCCCATCTCTGGTAGCAGTATCCATCCATGCCAAGAAAGGAGTAACTGAGAAGAGAATGAGGCTGAAGCTTAAGCATTTTGTGACACTCAAAAATCAGAAAATGGCAGAAAGCTGGGTCATGAGGGCAAGAAGCAGAGGAGCTGGGTCTGACTTTGGGGCCCTATGCAAGCCTTGCAAACTTCAAAGCACTCAGAGAAAGCAGTAATTATGGTACCTTTAATTGGCAAGCTGAGAGAAGGGTCCAGATCTGGCTTTGAATCTTGAGCTGACAACTGGTGTTGCAGGCTGAGCTTTCCCCAGGCTCTGCTCAGGGTGAGGCGAGGGAAGGGTTGTACACTGGCTTCTTTAGGGAATTAAAAGCTGGTACAAAAGTAGCTCCTGCTGCCAAGGTACCTCTTTTCACTCTACCTCCCCCTTGTGACAAGATGATACATGAACCAATCCTCCCAGTAAAGTTTAGGGTAAGCCAGGTCTTGGTGAAGTCAGATTTGAAAATTAAATTGATTTCAATTCAGTTGATTATTTCACCTCAACAGTGTCCTTTCCCAAAAGTTTCTACTTCTTTAGAAGTTTCTCTAGGTTGACAAATCTGGTTTCTTCCTAAGGTAGGCCGGACAAGACATGGGGCAGAGTTGGATGAAGAAGGCAGGTACACGCAGGCCAGCAGAAGACATAAGGCCCTGCTATTACTCCTTGAAGTGAAGGTGAAGGAGGCATCAACGGGTCTGCTCATGGCTAGCTGCTTCATTACCTGAACAAGGCTGGACTCTGACCACAGCAGAACTGGTAGATGAATAATGGAGTCACAAGTAACACAGCTTGGGAATACACTTGAGTAGTTCCCTTGGCTACTAACCCCAAATGTTCCTGGCCTTGTCCCTCTTTGTTCATGATGAGACACTTCAACAGAGAAGCAAGCTTTTCTTGTTTGCCCTGGAACTCTCACCTCAGGCTGGTTTCTCCCTTTCCTTGCTTTGCTATTTGGCTGTTTTGTCACTCATCTTGTGACTGGGCTTCACTGACACTGGGTTGCTCGTCCCTAGGCTAGGTCCACTGCCTGGGAGTCGTTGTAGGGAGGGAGCAGATGCCTCCAGAACCCTGACTGAGACACTGGCAAGGAACTCAGGAGTGGTGTGACAAAGACGGCAGTAAACCAAGAACCCTGGAGTCTCTCTGTGTGTGACCTTGGACAGGTCATTTGGCTTTCCCCAGTCTCAGAGTCCCCAAATGCAAAAAGATAGAAAGGTAAGATCTCTTCCAATTCAAAAATGTGATGAGGGCCTTCTGGCTGGGTAGAGGCTAGCTAAGGCCCAACGGTAAGGGTCTCCCAGGGAGGCCCAAGGACTGGAAGACTCAGAGCCTTCATCTTCAAAACCAGGAAGTGCCAGTCAGTGGAGAGCCTACTGTGGCATGGCAAAGATACCTCTCAGTTTGGGCCAAGAACAGTCCTGGCAGCCTCTTCCTCACTGGGCTGTCCTCTTCAAGCTACATGATTCCTTTTTTATTTTTTTTAAAGGTTTATTTATTTATTCAGAGAGAGCAAGAGAGAGGCAGAGAGAGGCAGAGGGAGAAGCAGGCTCCGTGCAGGAAGCCTGACATGGCACTCGATCCTGGGTCTCCAGGATCACACCCTGGGCTGCAGGCGGCGCTAAACCGCTGCGCTACCGGGGCTACATGATTCCTTCCTCAGACAGTTATGAGGGCAAAATGAGTTGATGAACAAGACATTACTTTGTAAACCAGAAAACGTGATACAAGTAAACATCTGAAATAAAGCCTGCTTTTACTTCTTTCCTGCCACCCTTTCACATAGGTGCTGTCTACCTGAATCCCTGGTTCAGGAAAACATGACTGCTATACACCAGTTTGCAAACTTGAACAGCTACAGGAGCCCAATGGGGCATGAAAACAAGGGGAAAGTGCCAGATGGAGAGAGTCTGCTATACCAGGGACATGGACAAGTGATGACGATGGCCAGCTGATGCTGGTCAGAAGCCAGGAAGGGGTGTTGAGCATGATGAACAGCTGCCCTGCAGCTCCTGCCAACTGTGGTTCTGTAGGAGCTCAGGTCGAGTTACCAAATCTTTGAATTTTTCAAAAGAGGCCAGAAACCTGGATTTTTGTGTAAAATATCCTTTTAAGTCTTAACCATAATTTGTAACATTTTTAAAATGCTGGTTGGCCAAAAATAATTTGTAAACAGTTATTACAAGCCAGATTCAGTACATGGCCATCAGTTTTTAACTCCTGCAGTGAAGACAATGGATACAACAAAGTTCCCTATCTCAATTCTCTTAACACGTCTCTTAACAGCCTTCTCTTCCCCACAGTGGAGGTCTTATCTAGGTGCTTACCTCAGCCCTAATGGAGCAGAGGGGGCTTCTAGAGTCTGGACAGTAGGGAGCAAGGTGTCAGCAGATCAGGCTTGTGAAGGCCTAAGATAAGATGGTCCTCATCCCCCAGGTCCACCTCTTGCCTGGAATTCTGCGACCTCCCTGGAGCTGCCACAGAGGTTCAGGCCCCAGAGCCCACCCTGGGCCTCAGACGAGGTTTAGATCTTCACCCTTTGCCTTGACATCTCTGAGACCATCACCCACACTCCTGGAATATTTCTGGGTAGTGCTGGAAACCCACAGGTGGGTCCAGGTCCCCTTGGCCAGGGGCCAGAGGCACAGGCAGCCCACTGGCACCCTGGTCCCTGTGCCCCCCGGCACCAGGCCGATGGACCCACTGGTGCTTGGCCATGGCTGATTTCTGGCCAAAGCACCTGCCACACTGAGGACATGGGTAGGGGCGTTCACCACTGTGGGTACGACGATGGGCTGCCATTTCAGAGCTCTGCCGGAAACAGCGCCCACAGTCTGGGCACGGGTAGGGTTTCTCGCCCGTATGGGTGCGTACATGGCGCCGAAGGTCTGACGCATGGGCAAAGGCACGACCACAGTCTGGGCAGGGGAAGGGAGTCTCGCCACTGTGGACGCGCTGGTGCTGGTAGAGGGCAGAGCTCTGGCTAAAGCAGCGGCCACAGTCAGCACAGCAGTAGGGCTTCTCGCCCGTGTGGACCCGCAGGTGAGTAGTGAGGGCAGAGCGCTGGGTGAAGGCCCGGCCACAGTCCAGGCAGCGGTGGGGCCGGTCCCCACGGTGGATGGCTCGGTGCTTGCTCAGAGAGGAGGCCTGGCTGAAGCCCTTGCCACAGTCAGGGCAACAGAAGGGCTTCTCTCCCGTGTGGGTGTACAGGTGCTCCACCAGGGTGGAGCGCCAGGCAAAACTCTTCCCGCACATGTAGCAACCATGACGCTGGTCTGCTCTTGGGACAGGGGGATGGGCACAGAGTGGAGGGCGACCACGGCGAGTTGCCTTGGACGGCTGCTCCAAGCTATAAGGGAGCCCGACAGAAGGGTGTGACAGAACTGTCAGCCCAGAAGGCCGAGCTTCCACAGAAGGGCTCCTCTCCAGGGCCTCGGTCCCCTCTCTTTGTCTTTTCTCTTCCTTGTTTCTGGAATCTGCTGGGAGGTAAGGGTAGAGCTCAGACCCTGGCTTATCCTGGTCTTTAAGGCCAAACCCTAAGCGGTGACAGAAGCCTTTTAAATACAGCCACCTTCTGGACCCACTGCTGCCTCTGGCACTTAGCTTGGTGCAGGCAAGGAAGCTCCGAGTGACACTTTTTACTGAGCTGCAGAAAACAGAAAAGACGCAGAGACAAAGAAGGAAAGGAGGAAGGAAGGAACAGAGCGCTGTACGTTCTACCTTGGAGCTGAGGAATTGGAACAGGGTTGGAAGGAGGGCGGGGGGGGGGCATTTTTGCTGGATCACCTAGGATGAGTGATGTCTAAGGACACTCGAGGCAGCAGGAACAGTACAAGAAAGGCAGGAAGGAGGCCGGCATTGACAAGTTCACACGGAGGGAGAAAGGAGATGGCACCAAAAATATAACAAAAAGAAAAGAAACTAAAACACAAGAGGTGGCAGAGAAGCTAGAGTGTAGGACAACAGCAGGAGGGATGATGTGAAGCTCAATAGAGCTTAGAGACCAACAAGATGGGAGGGGCACAGACTGGCTGGAGAGGCAGGTACGCAGGGCCCCGCACCCCCGCCGCGCCTGGGCCACTCCCAGCCCCCTTCTAGGTAGCTGCGAGGCAGGCGCCGGCAAGGTAACAGGCGCAGGGAAGCCGGTGGCAGAGGGCAGCTGGAGGGGTCGGGCCCAGAGGAGGTCCCAGGAGACGCAGTACCCAATACTTCACCTGCGTCTGTTTCTGTCACACACTCTCCCATCTCCGGATCCCGGGCATCCGGGCCCCACAGGTCGGCCTCTTCCTCCACCCAGGAGATGAGAGCGGGCTTGGTGCCTCGGAACCCTGGGGGAGGAGAACGCAAAGCCCACGCTGCCGGGAAGCCGCCCCCCCGCGGTGCGGGCTTCCCAGACCTAGGGCCTCCCCATTGCCCCGCCGGCCGGGAGGCTGGGCGGGCGGGGCGGGGAGGTGGCCAGGCGAGCAGGCGGGGCCTCACCGAGCGCGCCCAGGTGGCCGTAGGTCTCCCGCATCACGTCCCGGTACAGGGCCCTCTGCGCGGGCCGCAGGCAGCCCCACTCCTCCGGGGAGAAGTACACGGCCACGTCCGCGAAGCTCACGGCGCCCGGCCTCCTCCGCTCACGCCCGGGCCCATCCGGTTCCCACGCGGGGAGCCGGGCCGGAGGCGGCGCCATGGCCAGCGCCGGGCTAGGGCCCGCGGGGCCTCCCACGCCGGAGGACTGCCCCGGGCCGGGGCGCGGTGCGGCGGGCTGCGAGGCAGCAGCCGGCCCCTCGAAGGCCCACCAGGGTGCCCAGGGACGCGGGGCCGCAAGCGGAGGGGATACAGAGCCTGAGAGAGAAATGGCGGCAAGGCGACGCGCGAACGTTGCTCCGACGCAACCGTGCCCAGATGGCGCCTCCCACGGGGTCTCCTGGTGGCTTTGTCCGCGAGCCCTCAGCCAAAATGGCCGCGGCGGCTACAAGTGCGGGAGGGCGGCCCGCTCCACCTGGCCCCCAGGGAGCCTCTGTGAATTTTACGCTGCTTTTCTCGCCCAGCCGGTCCCTCGTGGGTTCCTGGGTTTCGGCCTGTCACTGTGTGACAACAGCCTTTTTCCAATGTTGAGAGGAGAAAAATGTAGTGGGTAAAAGAGAACTTTCTCTACTGGAAACTTCTTCGAGCCTGAAGTTCTGGGAGCTTCTATTTCAGGAGATCATACAGGCGGCGGGGGGCGGGGAGGGGGGATAAGGTAAGGTCTGTAAGAGGTCGGAAGGACCCACTTTCTGCTAGGTTACTCCCTCCGCACCTACCCTGCAGGAGGCCTCTTAAACATATATTTACTTCTAGCTCAAGCCTGGCTCCTAAGCTCCTGATCACAGAGCCACCTGCCCTCTTGCTCCTGCATGAATGTCCCACTAGCACCTCCCACTAGGCAAGGCTCCAACTGAACTCCTCGCTTTATTCCCCCAGCCTGCTCTCCCTGGGATCTTTATACGCAAATGGCACCAACTCTCCCTATCATTTCTATCTCCAACCTCCCTCTCTCACTCCACACGTTTATTGAGGGCTTACTCTGCAGCCCCACATGACTTCATAAATACCCTACCCTAAGAACACTTGGTAATTTTTTTTTGGCCAGCTAAATCACTGCATTTCACACACATCATGGAAATGCACCTCCCTTCACCAGATCGGATCTAGTCTGGAGCTTCTCTTGACTTCCACTTTCCAGAGGTCTCCCTGAGACTTCTGTCTAAAACTTTACACCTAGTGGATACCTCTCCCCACACCGGAAGAGCTGGGTAAGTAGAAGTGATCAAAGCAGAAAGGGGAAAAGGAAGAGAAAAAGCCCAGAAAAGATAAGGATAAGGATGCAGATTTGCTCAGGGACTTGACTGAGCCCTAACTACTCCTAACCCCAGGCCCTTGAAGGACACAGAAAAAAAATTTTTTTAGTAAGAGTTTTGTCATGTCGCTGCCCACTCCTCACGGCGATAGCTCTCACACAGGCCCAGAAGAGCTCTCAGTAGTGCTAGAAACTCAGAGGGATCTAGACGCTCCTGAGGAGAACCCAGGGCAGAGTTCACAACCAGGTGTCAGCCCTTGAGGTCCACAACACAGGCCGCACTGGGGTCTACTGGTGGGTCTTTGGCAGAAGCACCTCCCACACAGGGGACAGGAATAAGAGGGCTTGCCTCTGTCAGCAGGTAGCATGAGAGGTATTAGCTGTGGCAGAAACAGGTGCCACACTAGCTGTAGACAAAGGGTCCCTCTCCAGAGTGCACTGAGTCAGGTGAAAGGTCATGGCAAAGTGTGGCTGCATTCAGGGCAGGGTGCTGTATGAGTACCAGGCACTGAAGCTTAGTATAGACTTGGGGCTTGGGAAGCGCTGTCTATGTAGGGAGGCTTGACCACAGGCTCAGAGACCAAGCTAGTGTCCCTGATTCCAGGGGCTCAGGACAACTCCCCTCAGTAGACTCCTTCTGCTGGCTCCTTCCAAATGTATCATTTTTCTGAGTGGCTGTTTTGAAACATAGCAGATTCAAAACTTGATTTTTGCCTGGTTCAGTCAAACTCTACTCATGTTCAGGTGACAGAATCAACTTTCACAACCGCAGATGGGTACCTAGCCCCTTGGAAGCACCCATCGAGATCATGTTGGCCAATTGAGGTGGTCGGTCACGAATCAGGGATATTCTCACTTCAGGACCAAACCAAAGAGATCCCCTCAACAGCTGTTTTAAGACACAGGCACCTAGAGACAGAAAGGTGAACTGCTTCCACCCTAAACTTTAATTCACATGCTGCCACTGACCTAGAATTTGACTTGTACAGTGTGACCTGATCTTGGGACCACTGGATGCCTCAATTAAGTGAGAAAGAGAAGGTCAAGATCCTAGTCCCCAGCAGCTATCATAAATTCAGGTCAGCAAAAAGTGATAAGTAACACATAGATGGGGTTTCCTGTTCAACAAAACATATTCCCTTCTAGCTGGGCCTGGAATAGTACCCCCACTTCTCATCTTTCTTTCTCTCAGTCATCTTCCTGGGGACCCTGAGCATCTACACCTCACAGCTAGGGCACCTGCTCCACCCAGGAGATGAGGGCTGATTGGGGTCTGGGAATCCGGAAGAACCCTAAGCACTTCATCCATTCATTTGATGAAAATATATTGGCCATCATTTGTGTGGCAGGCATTGTTCTAGATGTTCTAGGTGTTGGAGACATTGGTTAACCAAAATAAGGTTCCTGCTCTAAGTTTACAGTAAGCTCTAAATTTACACTGAGAGGGATGCCTGGGTGGCTCAGTGGTTGAGCCGCTGTCTTTACCTCGAGGCCTGATCCTGGAGTCCTGAGATGGAGTCCCGCATCCACCTCCCTGCATGGAGCCTGCTTCTCCCTCTGCCTGTGTCTCTGCTTTTCTTTCTCTCTCTCTCTCTGACTCTCATGAATGAATATATATATATATTTTTTTTTTCTTTCTTTCTTTTACATCTATGAGCACTGGGAGCACAGGTGCAGAGACCTTAAGGCAGTTATAGAGATACACAAGGAGCTGCAGTTGAGACTTCCTGCATGGGGCAGAAGAGTTCCGGGGAAATTTATTAGAAACGGCATTTGAAAAGGGCATTGAAAGATGTTAGATTAGCTCATTAAGCTAGATGTCCAAAAAACAGATTCCTTGTAGCTGGAACCGATGGGATCATTAGTTTGTAGGGAGAGATTGCATTTGAATTGGAGGAGGTTAGCAGGCCACGGGCCTTGACGCTGTGGTACACAGATTCTGAACGTTTTGCAGAAAGTCCTGGGAAGGCACTGGAGAGTAGTCCGGCCTGGGCGATGAGGCTTAGTTATAAATTTGTTAGGCCGATTTGGTGGGGAAGTGATCCTAGGGCTGAAGTGGGGGCTAGGGCTGAAGTGGGGGCGAGTCTGGCACTCAGACCTGCGCATCCCACCCGCCCCCTTCCCTTTTCAGAGATTCAGGCCGGCCGACCTCACCGAGCGCACCCAGGTGACTATAGGTCTCCCGGATCACGTCCCAGCACACCGGCCTCGGCGGGGGGGGAGACACCCCCATTCCTCAGGGAAGAAATACGCGGCTACCTCCGCGAAATTCTCGGCCCTCGGTCTTATCACCTTTCTTCTTCTGGTCCGGCCTCTACGAGCCCCTCAGCAGGGAGCCGGGAACAGGGCCAGGGACCCAGTGGCCCCCCCACCCCCGCACAAGGAAAGAGACGACCCAGGATTCCGCGTCCAGGAAGCTGGTTCTTCCCGGCCTAGGCGGCCGGAAGTAGCCTCGGGTGGGGCCGCGCTAGGACGGCTAGGTCGGTTACGCGAACTCGGTGGTTCCACGACCGAGAAAATGAAGGCGCCCTCAAACAAGATGGTGGCATTCCAGCATCTTTCAATTTTAGGGAGAAGCATTTAACAGCGTCACTATGGGTCTGGTATTGATGACCTGGTTTATTTCGCCCTCGAGCCGTCTTCTGCTTTCCGCAAGCTGCTTAGGAACGCCTCTTGCCCAGAGTTAAGATGGCCCCACCCGCTTCGACGTCCGTGCTCAGGTCCGGCGGGGGGAAAGGGGTGGAGGCTCGGGTGCGTGAGCGCTGCCGGCAATTCGGTCCGACTGGGGCGGTGGTAGGGGTCGGGGGTCAGGACTCGACGGCCCCCTCCCATTCCCCTTCGGCCGCCCACTCAGTGATCTTAAAAGAAAATTTATTTTTGGCAAGCTAGTTCATTTCTCAATTTTTTTTTTCATTTACAAGGTACAGAATAGGGACGCCTGGGTGGCTCGGGGCGTGATCTTGGGGTCCCCGGATGGAGTCCCACATCCGGCTCCCTGCATGGAGCCTGCTTCTCCAACTCTGCCTGGGTCTCTGCCTCTCTCTGTGTGTCTCTCATGAATAAATAAATAAAACCTTAAAAAAAAGTACAGAATAATACTGTGTGACATCTCCCACCCTATCCTTCGATAATCAGTTTCTTAAACATGGAGCCGGATAGAGCCTGTACTGTACTATTTCCATACATATGCTAGCTCTTTAACCGAGGACACTGGGCCGAATGCCTCTGAATTCCTTAGAGTTCAGCTGTTTGACAGAAGAGGAAACAAATCTGGTCGTCACCACGGTCAAGCAGCCCATTAGTGACTGACTCCTAAATTCGAGGCTTTTCCACCATTTCGCGCTGCCTCCTCCAGGCTTATTACAGGAAAAGCAACAATGACTTTGAATGTACTGACCCCTGCTGACCTTGCGAAAATGAACTCCATTCAAGTGATACTTTTATAAATATTTTTCTTTTTCTTTAATTTTTATTTATTTATTTATGATAGTCACAGAGAGAGAGAGAGAGAGAGAGAGGCAGAGGCAGAGACACAGGCAGAGGGAGAAGCAGGCTCCATGCACCAGCAGCCCGATGGGGGATTCGATCCAGGGTCTCCAGGATCGCACCCTGGGCAAAAGGCAGGCGCCAAACCGCTACGCCACCCAGGGATCCCTTAAGTGACACTTTTATAAAAAGTAGATAGGGGGCAACCCGGAGGGCTCAGCGGTTTAGCGCCGCCTTCAGTCCAGGGCGTGATCCTGGAGATCTGGGATCGAGTCCCATGCCTCTCAATCTCTCTCTCTCTCTCTCTCTCTCTCTCTCTCTCTCTCTCTCTCTCTCCCCCCTTTGTCTCTCATGAATAAATAAATAAAACCTTAAAAAAAAAGTATATGGGTTGATGGGTTACTGAATAACCTGGCTCGTTTGTATTAACACCGCGTTTAAAGGTGCCCGGGACTTCCCAAGTCCAAGCTTCTCTAAGAGAACAATGGCGGACTGTGCAAGGGCTGTAGTTGGTTCTGTCTGAGTAAACAATGAATCATGTTAGTTTACCCTACTTGATCACTTACTACATGCCAGACTGTCTTAAGTACTTCTGCTTGTTAACTCACTGAACCCTTACAATCTCTCAGAGGTAAATCCCCTTTTGGATTAGGAAGCTTAGGCACAGGGAGAGGGTGACCTATCCCCAGGCCACCCAGCTGTTAAGTGGTGAAGCCAGAATTCAAACCTAGGCAGTCTAATACCAGAACCCATGCTGTCATGCTTCAAATAACGGCAGGTAAAATCTCAGCAACCACAGAGTGAGGTGGGATTTTAAGCCAGGTTACCAAAATGCAGTTGTAATGTGAGCTAGTGCATGGAGCAACAACCCGTGAGGTTGGAAGAGCTGCTTCTGGTCGCATATACAATTCCATGCTGTCATACAAAAGGGAAGAGAAAAAAAAAGTTAAATGATGGGCTATCATAAGTATTGAAAGTAAGTAAAAGGGTTGTATCTAAGGGTTGTGTCATGGCAAAAAAAGTATCATTTGAATGTTTAGGAGGTAGGTGAAATTGCCCTGGAGGAAGGGTGATGGGCTTCACAAGAGGTACCCTGTTGCAGCTCTCATTAGGGGGATCCTCATTTGGGCCCTTGCTGATTTAGGCCTGGGTTGCCTGGCTGCCCTCTGGACCTCTGGCCTTTTTGCCTTTCCCATCCATTGACACTGCAGCCTGGTGTAATAAAAAAAAGCAAGAGCATCCACTAAGAAATTCAGAGATTTAGGTTCCAGGGCTACCGCTGCCACTAATTCAACTGTGTGATCGTAAGTAAGGTCCTTCCCCTCCCTGGGCCACAGCCTTTCTCAGAACATAGTCTGTGGAACAGTATTTACACGAAAGCTTGGGGAAAGAACAATTTTCCCCGTGTACCCCAGGGGGAAAAATCTCCTCAGCAAAGAAACATATTCCACCCACAGCTTCCTAAACCCTGCTTAAACCTTTGAGCCAGGCAGCTTGCAAAAGTTCCCTTCCAGCTCTGAAATGCTGCAGTCCATGCTGTCATCACCCCCAACCCTGGGCCACCCCAGGAACTGGCCCCTCTATCCTCCTCCTCCCTCAGCCAAAAATCTTATCATCATTCCTATCTCCTCTGTTGCTTTCAGCCCCTATACCCAGCCCACAGACCAGTCCTGTCCTTTCAACTCCCAGTGTTTACTTCCGGCCCTCTGGCAGCCTCCATCTCCATTCTGCTGGCCCCTCTGCAGTCCATTTGCAGAGCAGTCAGAGTGGGTTTGCAAATCAGATCACCTTGCCACTCTGCTTGAAACTTCCCTGTGGTTTAGAGGAAGTTCCTAGAGTAGTCAAATTCATAGAGCAAATGGAATGGTGGGTGCCCAGGGCTGGAGAAAGGAGGAGTGGGAACTTGGTGTGTAATGGGGACAGGCTTTCAGCTGGGGAAGATGAAAAAGTTCTAGAAAGGGTTGGTGATGATGGATGCACACACAATGTGAATGTCCTTAATGTCACTAAACTGTATACTTAAAAATATTTTAAATGGTAAATTGTTATGTATATTTTGCCACCAGATGAAAACAAAAACAACCCAATGGTTTTACAGTATATTTAGAATCAAATCCAGACTTGGGACTGTGGCAAGCCAGAGCTTTATGATTCGCTCCCTTCCCCTCCTCCAAGCTTATCTGTAATTCTTCTCTACTCAGTTCCTCAACCTAGCCACCAGAGTCCTATCTTATCTGCTCCTCACCCAACCTCCTCCCCACCTCAGAGCACGGCACCTGCTGTTCTCTCTGTCTGGAAACTGCCCCCTCCGCCCTGGACTCCCGCTTCTAAAACACGCACACCCCCACTCCCACATCCTGCCACTTGTTTCCTCTTGGCTCCTTCTCATCATTTGGATCTCAGTTCAGATGTCTCCTCTGCATCAAGGCCTGGCCTTAGTACCCATCTGCAACAGGCACTTTCAAAGTACATCCTCTGTTCTAGTCCTTTGTGGTACTTAGTATTTACAGCTCCAATACCCTGTCTCATGTACTGGTTTATCACTTGTCTGTCTTACTTATGGGCTGGCTTATCACTTGTTTCACCCCACCCTTCTCTCTCTCTCTTTTTTTTTTAAGATTTTATTTATTCATGAGAGACACAGAGAGAAAGAGAGGCAGAGACACAGGCAGAGGGAGAAGCAGACTCCATGCAGGGAGCCCGACGTGGGACTCGATCCCGGGTCTTCAGGATCATGCCCTGGGCTGAAGGCAGGCGCTAAACCAGTGAGCCACCCAGGGATCCCCCACCCCACCCTTCTCAAAAGTCAAAAGTAAGCTCTAAAACAGTTCCTATGTCCCTTTTCCCTGCTGTGTCTTGGCATACAGAACAGTGCCTAGTACACGGCAAATGCTTAGTAGGTATTTGTTCAATGGATAAACACGAAAGCAAGCAGATAGCACTCACTCTGTGCTGTATGCTGACCTGGGCAGCTCTGTTCCTGCTACACCATGCTGGGTGGGTTCTGCTCCTCCCTCCCTGGTGGCGCCTCTTCTCTCCAGCTCCACCTTCTCTTGGACTCACCCCTGTCCAGTACTGGTCATCCCTTATCCTCCACACCGTCCCACTCCCGACTGCCCCTTGCCAGGCATTCAGGCTCCCTTGCTCCAGCTCTCTAAGCCTGAACCCTGTAGGACTCACTTTTTCACAGCTCATATTAAAACCCACTGAGTCATGCAGATTCTATGGCAGAAGCCTCTCCTGGGTATCTTTCTCCCCAGTTCCAAGGTCAGCAAACAAGAGCAACTTGCTTTTTAGCCTGGCCCCAGCTCCTGCTCACCTCTACCTGGGAGCAGATGCTCAAGAGATCTCTAATCTAGACTTCTGCACAGGTCACATCTTCCCACAACACTGGTCAAATAGCCCTGCTCCTGTTTAAGACCTGTCTATGGCTCCTCAGTGCCTCAGGGGTAAACCTCCTCCAAGCTGCATTTCCTGATGTATCATCATCAGGATGATACAGATGTATCTATCATCTGACCCAGGATGGGTTAGATGGTGCCTCTGGGCTTCCTCCATCATAGCCCCAATCACCATGTAGCATGGGACCTGAGTCCAAGTGTCCCTGGAGCCCAGCACAAAACCCTACAGAGGCCTCATAGAGTATTTGCTGAATGAATCAATGAATGAATGAGTCTGAGTGTCCCTGGAGCCCAGCATAAAACCCCACAGAGGCCTCATATGGTCTTTGCTGAACAAATGAATGAATGAGATAAGCCTGCCTCATGCTAGAACTCCCTTACCACCTAGCAGTCTCTCACAGAAGCCACTCAATCTCTGGTCATTAACGTTGATGGCACTTTCTAAGTGAAAGATCACTGGCCTTAATGGGACTCTCCATTTCCTGGTGAGACTCTCCCAAGAAGGCAAGGCTAGGCCTCTCCCCAGAACCCAGTCCTCACCTCCCCCTAACCTGAGCCCCTTCTCTGTTTTCTCCCCAGATGTGATCGCCCATAGAAGGTGGTAGATATCTAGGCACTGTGTCAGTTTCCAGCTTTGCTGCCTTATAGCAGTGACACTTTGAGAAAACCACTTTCTCTCTCAGAGCCTCAGTTTACTCATCTGCAAAATATGGCTATTGAGGTCCATGCCCTGCCTCCTTAGGAGGCTTCTTTACATTTTCTGAAGCATAAAATGTCAACAATAACTCACTCTTTCAACAAATGTTTATTGCACATTTACTATGTCATACATACTATCTTGTTACAATTTTAGCCTTCACAGTAACCAGCTGAGGTAGATATTTTTAATCTTTATTTTACAGATGAGGGAGCTGAGGCTCAGGGACAGGATATGACTTACCAGCTGTGCCCAGGGACAAGTTGCAGAGACTAGATTTGTGCTTCTGTGCTCTTTCCACCCACTTCACTTCCTAGGCTCCCTGCTGTCAATTAGCCAGGGCTTCACCATGCCCTGGGTTCCAGGGCCCCCTCCCCAGGCCTGGGGAGTCCCCTCAGCATTTGCCTCTGATGTAGAGAAGCAGCAAGGGGAGGTTTCTGAGACAATACTCAGCAGGTTGCACTTGCTGCTGAGATTAACACTTTGAGAAAAGTCCAGTATCTCACTGTTCATTTTTTTTTTTTTTTTAGAAAGACTGGGGGGAGGGGGAGTAGCGTCAAGTTTAATCTATTTGAATCTTTACAGGCACTTTTCTTTTTACAAGTTTTGAAACTTGAGGGATCCTTGATGGAAGCCCAAGGGATGAATTTCGGTTCCCCAAATCCCTGCCTTAGGAGCCTCCCTCAGGCCCAGGCAGTCCAAGGTCAGACTAACCCCAGCCTCTGGGAGTAGCTCAACCGCACTCCTCAAAGATGTCCGGGTAGTGTCGGAACAGCACAGGGGGGTCCCGGTCACCCCTCACCGGAGCCCGAGGCACAGCCCGGATCCCCGGCCTGCGGCCCCGTCGCCCCCCTGAGCAGGAGCGGTGGATCCACTGGTGTGCTTCCACGGCAAACTTCCTCTTGAAGCGCATGCCACACTCTGGGCAGGGGAATGGTCGCTCCCCTGAGTGCATCCGTCGGTGGCTGACCAGCAGTGAGGGGTAGGTGAAGCGGCGGCCACAGTCTGCACACACGTGTCGCCGCTGGCTCTCCTGAGTGTCCATGCTGGGCACTGAGGGCTGCGCACCTGTGCTCTGGTTCCAGGTAGCGTTCGTGGGTGGCTGTGCTCTTGCTGAAACTTTTCTGATGGTCCGGTCAGGGTTGTGTTTAACCAGCTCCTTAAAAGGCTCCTTCCCAGGAATCTTTCTGGGTCCCTTGGCTCCTGGCCCTTCCTCTGGTGCCTCTTCCTTGTTTGGGGTGTCTCCTGGGAAACAGGAATTAAGATACATTTTAAAACACGCTTCCTTACACCATCTCAAGATTATAGGGTTCTTTTACTTAGGGAAGTGGCAAAAAGTACTGCCGAGCGATTAATACACAGGCTTTGAAGAATGATAAACAAGATTCACATCTCTTACGAGTGACTTATCCGGGCCTTGGTCTCACTCTTGTTTCAAATGGGAATCAATGGTTTCTTTACTTCACAGGGTTGTTGGAAGGAGTAAATCAATAGAAGCATGTCATAGGCATTTAGTAAATGCTCACTGCAACAATAGCTATTATTATTGTGTTTTCTCGATTTTTTTGTAGGATAAGGCTTTTACAGATGAGACATATTTGTTCAAGATCACTCTGCTAGGGAATGGTGAGGGAAGAGCCATGTTGTTGACCTCTTGTACCACTTTGCCTTGCTTGAGCAATGTGAAAGGCAGACCTGAAGCAGCTTCCATTCCTAGGGGGTTTTAGTCGTTCTTGAAAAGGGGAGAATGAGTGGTGTTTTCTCCAAGAGGTCCCTGGAAACCGGAGTCTTGCACTTGGGTTCTTAATGCTCCTACTCTGGTCCTAAAATGACTAACTGTCCCAAGTTCTGAAAACTCTGTAACAGGTCTGCCTTCTTTCCTCCTTTAGTATCCAAAATTGGAATTCCTTTAGGGTTGCTGGAAGTGGGGGTCCAAAGGAAAATTTTGTGAGACAGGAAGCCCTAGAGCGCCAAGTTGGGGGAGACTTGGGACCATCCCTCACCTCTCAGAGCTCCTCCCAGGCTCTCCCCCTCCTCAGGATCCTGGGCGGCGGGGCTCCAAGCCTCACTCTCCTGTTCCATCCAAGAGATGAGGGCTGGTTTGGGGCCTGGGAATCCTGGGAGAGAACAGGGATCACAGTGCTGGCCTGAGAGGCTGTCCTGGGAAGACGGCAACCCCCTGCCAGGGTTAGGGCACCTCCTCAGAACTTATGCTCAGCCTGGACAGGGTCTGCAGTGCTCCTGCCTGAAGGAAGTGCTCGCTAACCTGAAGCCCTGTCCTGGGAATAGAGATGGCTGGTGCTGCTGGTGGAATAGTGCCGGATTAGGGCTCACAATCCTCTCGGTCCTCATGTCATTTCCCCTGTGAACCCCAGTGAAGGAAGAGGGGGCGGAGGGCTCTGACCCGGGGCCTCACCGAGCGCGCCCAGGTGGCCGTAGGTCTCCCGCATCACGTCCCGGTACAGGGCCCTCTGCGCGGGCCGCAGGCACCCCCACTCCTCCGGGGAGAAGTACACGGCCACGTCCGCGAAGCTCACGGCCCCGGGCTTCTTGTGACCAGGCCCGGTCTCCCCCGGTCTCAGCGCCAGGAGCGGGGCTGGGGGCGGCGCCATGGGGCCTCCTGGCCCCGAGCGGCTGCCGCCTTGGCCCCTAGGCCACCGCCTCCCGGCGCGCGGCCTCAGCTTTCGTCGTCCACAAGAAGGGCTCCGGAGGTCGGGGCCCCGCCCAGCCTTGGCGTCCGAACGCAGTCGAGAGCACCGAGATAGCAGGGACGGCTGCTAGGGATTCGGGGGTTGTGACGGGGATAAAGAAAACCCCTCGGTGTTTATTCACTTCATGGCAGCTTGGACTTAGCGGGTTAAGGGACCCGGAAGGTGTCTTCAGAAAATATGGCGACATCCTGGCCTCAGTTGTCACTGGATGCTCTTAAGGGCGCCATTCCTTGATCATATCAAACATGGCGCCTGTCTGGCTTCTCTGGCCTCAGCGGCCACTTGCCCTGAACCACAATGGCCGCCGCAGGTGGGGCTTTTAGGCGAGGCAGAGACGGAATTGGGAGAAGTGGGCCGGGGGGCGGAGCCGGCCTGCCTTCGAGACAGATGGGTGGGCGGTGGCTTCCAGCACCGCTCTTTGCCCGCACTTCCCGGCGGCCGCTGATTGGCTCACAGAGCAGGAAGAGGCTGCGCCGCCGGCCCCCGGTTGGCTGGTCGTTGGAAAGCGCCCCTCCGTCACCTGGAACCGATCCTCGGCATCCTTAGAACTCGGGGTTGTTCCCTCTGCGGTCTCCCCCTGTGCCTCTCGACCGCAGCATCTGGAATCGGGTTCCTAGCTCCTGCAGGAGATACACATACCCTGGCCGAACCCTGGGGACGGCCGAGATAGAAATCAGGTACAGAGGATCCCTGGGTGGCTCGGCGGTTTGGCGCCTGCCTTCGGCCCGGGGCGTGATCCTGGGGTCCGGGGATCGAGTCCCATGTCGGGCTCCCTGCATGGAGCCTGCTTCTCCCTCTGCCTCTCTGTCTCTCATGAATAAGTAAATAAAATCTTAAAAAAAAAAAAAAAAGGACACCAGGTACACGTCTACCGCTGGGATCTCGGCTGAGGAACGTGCCCGACTCTGCACCCGCGGGACGGTTCCCTCACTCTCTGGATTGGAGCTTAGCGGGAGGACCTTTGCTTGGTGAGGTTGGAATCGGAGTGAGGAAACTTTAAATTACATTTTAATTTTCTGCAAAGTAATATGCATGGCTTAAAAAAATAATATCAAGGTTTATCATGAAAAAGGCAGCCCCCTGTACCCTTTGACTATGTTCCCTAGAGACCACTTTGAACTCTATGTATTTGTTTTTTTTTTTTAAAGAATTTTTTAAAATTTTTATTTATTTATGATAGTCACACACAGAGAGAAAGAGGCAGAGACATAGGCAGAGGGAGAAGCAGGCTCCATGCACCGGGAGCCCGACATGGGACTGGATCCCGGGTCTCCAGGATCGCGCCCTGGGCCAAAGGCAGGCGCCAAACCGCTGCGCCACCCAGGGTTCCCGAACTCTATGTATTTGAATTATATCGTACGTATAGTAAAATGCACAGCTTTTAAGTGTAAAATTCGCTGTTTTGACAAATGCATACAATGATGTTAACTATCACCCAAAACAAAATACAGAGCACTGATGGTCTCTGCATGTTTCGTTGTGTACACTTTCCAGTTATTACACAATTTTTTACTGTGGTAAAATACATGTAACAAAAATTAACCATTTTAGACCTTACAGTAGTGGCATGTAGGACATTAACAATATGCAACCATCATCACTACTTTCATCACCCCTAAAAGAAATCCCTTATCCTTGGAAGACCCATGCCCCCCATTCTCCCTTCCTCCATCCCTTGGCAATTACGAATCTTTCTATCTCTGTGGATTTACTTACTGGATACTTCACATAAATGGAATCATACAATATGTGGCCTTTCTTGTATGGTTCCTGACAGCAAAGAGTTTTCAGTGTTCATTGATATAGCATTTATCAGTACTTTACTCCTTTGTATGTTTGACTAATATTCCACTGTATGGATACAGGTTTCCTCTGCTCTCCCAAAGTAGAGCATTTCTATGAAACGTTTCATAAGCTGAAATGGTGTAAAGCAAAGAAGCAATTATTAATTTTTAAAAGAACTTTACTTATTTATTCATAAAAGACACACAGAGAGAGGCAAAGACTTAGGCAGAGGGAGAAGCCGTCTCCCCTCAAGGAGTCCGATGTGGGATTTGATCCCAGACCCTGGGATCACATCCTGAGTGGAAGGCAGAAAGAAGCTCAACCGCTGACCCACCCAGGCATCCCGCAATTACCATTAATTTATATGGAAAAATTTTTTGAGCATTTCCAGGCCCCAAAAATAACCTCTTGGGCAGCCTCAGTGGCTCAGCCTTCGGCCCAGGGCCTGATCTGGAGGCCTGGGGATCTAGTCCCGCCTCCGGCTCCCTGCATGGAGCCTGCTTCTCCCTCTGCCTGTGTCTTTGCCCCTCTCTCTCTCTCTCTCTCTCTCTCTGTCTCTCATGAATAAGTGAATAAAATCTTAAAACAAAACAAAACAAAACCTCTTACGCTTTACTGATACCTTAGGACACGTCTTGCTAAAAAGATGCACATACTAGATCAAGCACAGATGATCACACAGCTCAAAGCTACAGTAGCTTGATGCAGAGCTTGGCCACACCACTCTTGCTGCTCAAGGTGTGAGCTGCCTCTGTAAAAATAAAAATCTTCTTCAGATTTCTTTTAGTTAGCGAAAACAGGTACTAATATAGTTTTTTCTTAAAGCAAAGTGGCCTAATAGGAGCTTTCGAAAAGGGAATTCCTGGGTGGCACAATTGGTTGGATGTCCAACTCTTGGTTTTGGCTCAAGTCTGATCTTGGGGTGGTGGGATTGAGCCCCGAGTCTGGCTCTGTGCTTAGTACAGAGTCTGCTTGTGTTTCTCCTCCGTCTGCCCCTTCCCACAGCGCTTACGTGTGTACTCCCCCTCTCAAATACAATAAATCTTAAAAAAAAAAGAAGTGAGGGGATACCCATATACCACATTTATCCATTCCTCAGTTGATAGAAATTTGACTTGTTTTCACCTTTTATGTTGCTGTGAACATTTTTTTAAGGGTTTTATTTATTTATTCCTGAGAGACATGGAGAGAGGCAGAGACAGGCAGAGGGAGAAGCAGGCCTCCTGCGGGGAGCCCAATGCGGGACTCAATCCCAGGACCCTGGGGTCACAATCTGAGCCAAAGGCAGATGCTCAACCATGAGCCACCCAGGTGCCCCAGCTGTGAACATTTGTGTAAGGCATTTTATTTAACCACTTTGAGATAAAATTCACTCAGTAGATCATCCATGCATTTAAATTGTACAGTTCAATGGGTTTTGGTATATTACATTATTTTTTTAAATTGTGGTAAAATGTACAAGAAATAGTTTGCCATTTTAACTGTTTTTAAGTGTACAGTTCGGTGACATTAATTATATTCATAATACCATGCATTCTTCATCATTATTTCCAAACCATTTTCACCACTGCAAAAGGAAACTGAGAATCCACTAGGTGGTCACTTCTCATTCTCTTCCCCACCTTCTGGTAACTTCCAATCTGCTTTATGTGCCTATGAATTTCCCTATTCTAGGTACCTAATGTAAGTGGAACCATATAATACCTGTCCTTTTGTGTCTGACATATTTCACTGCCATCTTAACCATTTTTAAGTGTACAGTTCAGTGGTATTAAGTACATTCATGGGCAGCCCCGGTGGCGCAGCGGTTTAGCGCCGCCTGCAGCCCAGGGTGTGATCCTGGAGACCCAGGATTGAGACCCACGTTCGGCTCCCTGCATGGAGCCTGCTTCTCCCTCTGCCTGTGTTTCTGCCTCTCATTCTGTTTCTGTGTCTCTCATGAATAAATAAATAAAATCTTAAAAAAAAAGTACATTCACATTGTTGTGCAACCATCACCACCATCCTCTCTAGAACTTTTTCGTCTTCACAAACTGGATCAATACACTTTTAAGTCTTAGCCTTTCTATAGACCTTTTATTTATTTCTTTTAAGATTTTATTTATTCATGAGAGACACAGAAGGCAGAGACACAGGCAGAGGGAGAAAGCAGGCTCCATGCGAAGAGCTGGATGCAGGACTCTATCCCAGGAATCTGGGATCCTGCCCTGAGCCAAAGGCAGACACCCAACCACTGAGCCACCCACGCGTCCTGAGCTTTTATTTTTTTAAAAATATGCTTTAGATTCTCCCTTTCTGCCCCCCCATACGCTGCTTGCACCCACCTATGTGCACACATGCTTTATCTCACTCTAAAAAAAAAAAAAAAAAAACTTTGAAAAAATATGCTTTTACTGTTGTTTCTTGATATATTTATTTTAGAAATTATTTTTAGGCATCCTGCTATGATACTTGCTTAGTTTCTAGCCCCATCTCCCTCACCTCTTTTCCCAACATAATGCAATAAATTATAAGGTTTCCTGGGGTGCATGTGTGGCTCAGTCAGTTAAGCGTCTCTTAATTTCTGCTCAGGTCATAATCTCAGGGTGGTGAGATCGAGCCCCATGCTCAGCACAGAGTCTGCTTGTTCTCTCTCACCTTCTGCCCCTTCCCCTGCTTGCTGCAGGAGCTCTATCTAAAATGAATAAATGAATGAATGAATAAATGAATTAATTAATTAATATCTTAACAATTCCTATACATGCTATGATTGTTTCCTTTCTTGTCAACTGTTTGCTCTTTTTTATTGAAACATATTTGACCTAGAATACTGTAAATGTAAGGTGTACATGTTTTGATAAATGTATGTATCGTAATATGATTGCCATTGTCATTGATTGCCTTTTAAAAATTTTCTAAGTGTCTTCCCTTTCTCCTTGCATTATCTGTGTTTTCTGAGTTTTTATTTTTTAAATATTTTATCTATTCATTTGAGGGGGAGTGAGAGAGAGCATAAGTGGGGTGAGGGACAGAGGGAGAAGCTGACTCTATACTGAACAGGGAGCCTGATGTGGAGCGCAGGACCATGACCTGACCATGACAACTGACTGGGCCACTCAGGCGTCCCATTGGTTCTTTGAGTTCTAAATTACCAGGGATAGCATCAAATCTCAAATTACTGTTTTCCCTTGGGAATCCTTCCTTGACCCTATGGTCTACTCTGTCCAGACTTACCTGGGCCTCAGCTGTCATCCAGGGTCTGACTTCCCTACTGTCCTGCATTGTATCCTCTGCTTCCTAGATTCAGTTATCTTTATCTTTCTAGTTTTTAGTCAAGATGGATCATCTTAATAGTTTGTGGTATTGGACTATAAATACTAGATAGCTGTATCTAATAGTATATTGGGAATATTCCTTTTTTTTAAATTATTTATTCATGAGAGACACACACACACACACAGAGAGAGAGAGAGAGAGAGAGAGAGGCAGAGACATAGGCAGAGGGAGAAGCAGGCTCCTCAAGGGATGCCCAGTGTGGGCCTTGATTCTGGAACTCCGGCACCATGCCCCAAGCTAAAAGCAGTCACTCAACCACTGAGCCACCCAGACATCCCCGTTGGGAATATTCCTGCCATCAGGCAGGAGGCCAGATGCTATTTGGTAAACATGGGGCTGGTCCATGTTGGGGATTAACAAACAAAACCTACATCTCTGTTGACAGCAGTCCATTGTCCGGTCTGGGAACCTGGGAGCCTTGGAACTCCTTGCTTGGCTCTCCTGCCTGCCCTAGCACATGCTATCTCTCTTTTATGTTCCCAAATGTGCTTCATTGTTGACCAAGCTAGTACCTTCTCCATCTTTTGTTTCCTTGCCCCACCCTTGCTGTTTTTCACCTGGAATACTCTGGCTTTTGGTATGACTTCTGCTGAATTACTTTTTTTTTTTTTTTTAAGATTTTACCCATTTATTTATGAGAGACACAGAGAGAGGCAGAGACACAGGCAGAGGGAGAAGCACGTTCTGTGCGGGGAGCCCAATGCAGGACTCAATCCCAGGACTCCGGGATCACAACCTGAGCCAGAGGCAGATGCTCAACCATTGAGCCACCCAGGCATCCCAATAATTACTTATTTTTATAACTTTTTAAAACATGAGTCCTGGGATCCCTGGGTGGCGCAGCGGTTTGGCGCCTGCCTTTGGCCCAGGGCACGATCCTGGAGACCCGGGATCAAATCCCACGTCGGGGCTCCCGGTGCATGGAGCCTGCTTCTCCCTCTGCCTGTGTCTCTGCCTCTCTCTCTCTCTCTCTCTGTGACTATCATAAATAAATAAAAATTTAAAAAAAAAAATTTAAAAAAAATAAAACATGAGTCCTGGAGGGGCCTCACCGCACTCATTGTGGCGAATAGTGTACAACTGAAATAAGGAAAAACGTATCTTCACATAGGAGTCTCCTTCTAAACAGAGAATCAACTTTACCTTAAAAACAAAAACAAAAACAAAAAAACAAAACAAAACAAAACAGGGATGCCCGGGTGGCTCAGCGGTTGAGCGTCTGCCTTCGGCTCAGGGTGTGATCCTGGGAGTCCTGGGATCAAGACCTGAGCCGAAGGCAGACGCTCAACCGCTGAGCCACCCAGGCATCCCTAGAGGATTTTATCTAGACCAAAAAATACCTTTATTTACTTGGGTACTGTGTTATAAATTGCTTCTTTTCGCACCAGGGATGGAGAAAACATAAGGAAATGGAACTAAACAATAAACTTCGGTGTTAAGTAATAAGACTGTAAGACTAGGGGCGCCTGAGTAGCTCAGTTGGTTGAGCTGCCTTTGGCTCAGGTTGTGATCCCGGGGTCCTGGGATCAAGCCCCATGTCTGGCTCCCTGCTCAGCAGAGAGTCTGCTTTTCCCTCTCCCTCCACCTCTCCACATGCTTGTGCTCTCTCCCTCAATAAATAAATAAAATCTTAAAAAAAAAAATGACAATAAGACTAAAACTGCACCATCTTAAGTGGTCAGTGTCATGCTGTTTTTCCAGCCAAACATAAAAATTCAAAGATGCTTTTACTTTCAAATTGTTTTATTGGCCACCAAATTGTATATGTTTGTTCCAGAATCTTGATCAGATATAATTAAAAGAAGTTATAAAACATACAAAGGTAATTATAATTTATAAATTTTACTTGTCTATAACAGGGTGCATTTGAGTTTTTTAAAAACATTTTATTAGAGTGTGTGTGTGTGTGTGTGTGTGTGTGTGTGTGCAAGCAGGGTGAGGGGCAGAGAGAAAGGGAGAGAATCTCAAGCAGACTCCACACTGAGCTCAGGCCCTGCTCCAATCTCACAACCCTGAGATCATGACCCGAGCTGAAACCAAGAGGCAAAACTCAATGGATTGAGCCACCAAGGCACCCCAGTACATTTGAACTTTTTTTTTAAGATTTTATTTATTCATGAGAGACACAGAGAGAGAGAGGCAGAGACAGAGGCAAAGGGAGAAACAGGCTCCACGCAAGGAGCCTGATATGGGACTCGATCCCAGGATGGTGGATCACGCCCTGAGCCAAAGGCAGACACAACTGCTGAGCCACCCAGGCGTTGCAGTACATTTGAATTTTAAGGGACAGCCAAAGTTTATTATGTAAAGCTTAGCCTTGTGTTCAAGTGTTTAGGAATGAAGTATAAAAATGCCTGCAATGTACTGTGAAATAAGATGCATAAATGAACAGATAGGAGATGGACTGATCTACAAATGTAGCACAATTCTAGAATATAGATTAACTGTGGAATCTAAATGATGGGCATGAGTGTTTCTCATATAATTCTTACAACTTTTTTTTTATTTTTAAAGATTTTATTTATTTATTCATGAGAGACACAGAAAGAGGCAGACACAGGCAGAGGAAGAAGCAGGCTCCATATAGGAAGCCCAATGTAGGACTCATTCTTGGGACTCCAGGATCACACCCTGGGCTGACGGCAGATGCTCAACCGCTGAGCCATGCAGGCATCCCCTTGCAACTCTTAAAGAAAAATTTGGGGCAGCCCCAATGGCTCAACGGTTTAGCGCTGCCTTCAGCCCAGGGTGTGATCCTGGAGATCTGGGATGGAGTCCCACATCAGGTTCCCTGCATGGAGCTTGCTTCTCCCTCTGCCTGTGTTTCTGCCTCTCTCTCTCTCTCTGTGTCTGTCATGAATAAATAAATAAAATCTTTAAAAAAAAGAAAAATTTTATAAAATGTTGTGGGGGCACTCAGCCACTTGTTCTTCAAACGATGACATGTGAGGTGCTTTCACATCTTATCTGAGACAATTAAGGCTTAGAAAGGTTGAATGTCATGCTTAAGGCCACACAGCTAGTAGAGACTGAGCCGACCTGGAATCCAGGTCTACCAATTCAGGAGAGGCTATGTGGTTAGGTGGAATAACATCCAGTTTCCATTAATGATCATTTTTGGAATCCAGGGGTTCCAAGAGTGTTCTTTTGTTCAAAGAGATAGTTGATTCCCCCAGTATGACTCCTGGCATGGAGATATCCTTAGTCCTACTGGCCTAACCAACTGGGTGGTTCAGTTGGTTAGGCAGCTGCCTTCAGCTCAGGTCATGATTCTGGGGTCCTGGGATGGAACCCCGCATCAGGCTTCCCTGCTCAGCAAGGAGCCTGCTTCTCCCTCTGCCCCTTCTGTTTGTGTGCACTCTCTCAAATACATAAAAAATCTTTTAAAAAAAATTTTAAAAAAAGTCTCCTGATCAAAAGTAAGACTAGCAGATCAAAATGAGTCAGAAAAACATTTCTTAACTGCTGACACATACAAGCATTACAATAAAAATTAGACTGGAGATACCTGGCCTTGATTTCAAGTCTAATCACAAGTAATTTACTCTCTTAAACAAAAGTGCTGGCATTATGTTTCCTGCTGCTGTGGCCCAAGAACACATCTTTTTTATTTTTATTTTTATTTATTTATTCATGAGAGACACAGAGAGAGAGGCAGACAGAGACACAGGCAGAGGGAGAAGCAGACTCCATGCAGGGAGCCCCATGTGGGACTCAATCCCAGGACTCTGGGATCACGCCCTGGGCCAAAGGCTCAACCGCTGAGCCACCCAGGCGTCCCCAAGAACACATCTTTATTCAGAAGGTGTAAAATCCAGAGAACATGCTAGTATCTGAAGAAAAAAACACTGCAATCACTAACTCTTAAAAGTTTGAGGGGAAAAACCTTTAAGCTAAGTTGGACATTTTTGTATACTATGTGCAGAGTAAGATGGGGCAGGACAGTTCTCTACCTGAAGCCATTGTTCTCCCTATGGTCACCATTAGGATTTTAAGACTAAAGAGTGCCAACAGTGGCTTGACACCACGTGTGCCTCCTTGCCAAAAATTTCACCTACACTGGCTAAAAGAATCCTTGAATGAGCTTCCCCCATTGGGGATAGGCCCTAGGTGTGCCTTCTATTCCAGGGGATACTCAGAGGGTACAGACTCCTCTAATAGGCTCTTGTGTCTAGCGGACCCCATTTCTAAGGAACAGGAGATATACAGGCCAGAAAGCAGAATGCTCTATGGGAGAGAACAATCCAGGGGAAAAAGCCAGGTAGGTGAATGATTTGCAGGGAAGAACTCTCCCAAGTTTCAGACTCCTGCCTCGATCCAAAGGACCAGCTCCGTGCTCCCTTAACTCAGAGCTTTGTTTTCTTTAAATGCTACTTCCTTTCCATTCCGTATCCCCCCATGCATAAACTTTGCCTTTTCCCTTCCAAAGAAAACTAATCATCTCTTGTGAGCTCTATCACCCACATTCTTGAAATATATCTGGAAAATACCGGAAATGAACTGGGGGATCTTGGCCTCCCAAAACAAGGATCGGCTCTGAATGCCCTACTGTGGGTCGCTGCCACCTTGGCCTCTTGCCAGAGCGATGGATCCACTGATGGGCTTCTAAGGCATACCTGCGCTTAAAGCCTTTCCCACACTGTGGGCAGGGGAAGGGCCGGCTGTCAGAGTGAATGCACTGGTGACTGAGGAGAGACAAGTAGGTAAAGCAGAGGCCACAGTCTGGGCAGGGGTAGGGCTTCTCGCCTGTATGTGTGCACCTGTGGATAGCCAGCAGGGAGCTGTAGGCAAAACAGAGGCCACAGCTGGGACAGCTATAAGGCTTCTCACCTGTGTGCTTGCGCTGGTGAATGGCTAGCAGGTAGGGGTAAGTAAAGCGACTTTTGCAGTCTGGGCATGGGTAGGGCTTCTCCCCACTGTGAGCTCATCTATGGATGGCCAGGGAACCCCTCTGGCAGAAACATCGCCCACAATCAGGGCAGGAGTAGGGCTTTTCACCTGTGTGAATGAACTGATGCTGGAGCAGGTACTTGCGCTGGGAGAAACAAGCCTGGCACTGGTCACAGGGGAAGGGACGCTCCCCAGAGTGGACCCGCTTGTGGTTGGCCAGGAGGGAGGGGTAACTGAAGTTGTGGCCACAGTCTGAGCAAGACTGGGTGATTTATGGTTTGGAGTGCCCCTGAACCAAGGCTTGATAGGGCTCTGCCCAGAGTTCCAGCAGAGTTCTGGGCCTGCAGCTTTGTGACTGGCACCAGGGGGCCTGCTGGATGGCAACCACTCCTCGATAGACACTTCCTCAGACAGTTCCTCATGCTCCATCTCTTTTTGCTTTGGACTCTTCTTCAGTTCTTTTTCTTCACTCACATCCCTGGATCTTGGGATGGGAAAAGATAAAACTTGAAACTCAGTAGCACATTCCATATAGTTCCATACAGTGGCCTGCCCTGGGAAGTAGCATGAATGTCTGAGTATCTGGCAGGTTCTGAGACTGGGGCCTCATCAAGCCTAGAAAGCTATCCTGGAGTAAAAGCAGATTTCATCGTCTGGATGGTGTTAATGCAAGAAAGCTCTGAAAACAGGAAATAAATGGAGATGTCAACAATATTTAACCTCTACTGTTATGTCAGGCAGTGAGGGTAGGATGGTCTCAGCTCTCATAGAGCTTACAGTCCTGAACCTGTTTATGATCCTTTTGCAAAGCAGCCATTAAATGATGTCCCTTGGTGCCATTCAGGGCCATTGCCAAAATGTCTACACTTGGATTGTACTCTCAGTACCATAGGAAGACCTGTGAATAAGCATTTATTAGGACATGGCTGCAGAGAAAACGCGTTTTCTTGACTTTATAATCTCTGATGAGGGATCCCTGGGTGGCTCAGCGGTTTGGTGCCTGCCTTTGGCCCAGGGCAGGATCCTGGAGTCCCGGGATCGAGTCTGCCGTTGGGCTCCTGGCATGAAGCCTGCTTCTCCCTCTGCCTGTGTCTCTGCCTCTCTCTCTCTGTCTATCATAAATAAATAAATAAATATTTAAAAATAAAATAAATCTCTGATGAATGACACTATCATTACAGTGTGATCCATATAATATCCAAAAAAGAACACTTGTCTTCATTATATTACACAACAAAAATCAAATTACAGGGATGCCTGGGTGGCTCAGTGGTTGAATGTCTGCCTTCAGCTCTGGGCCTGATCCTGGGGTCCTGGGATTGAGTCCCGCATCCCGCTCTGCCTGTGTCTCTGGCTCTCCCTCTGTATCTCTCATGAATAAATAACTAAAAATTTTTAAAAATCAAATTACAGATGTTTCTCCTTTCCCTTGGCTTCCCTGTCAACTCAAGCTTTATTTTGCACTAAACCAGGGTTTCCCTGTCTAATTAAGTGGTGCAGTAAATCCCAATTTAGCGGTTCTCTGAGCCATTTTGCAGTGAGATTGTAACTTTCTGAAGATGAGGTGTAGGGAGATAGATGGGGCTGTAAAGGGGGCACTGTGTCCAGTGGATCTGTGTTGGGGGAGGGGGTTCTCAAAGGTCCCATACTGGGTTTGAATTGAAGTACCTGTTATCTTTCCCGTCTCTGATGACAGCCTCTGGATCCTGGGCCTCCGGGCTCCACGCCTCGACCTCTCTTTCCACCCAAGAAATAAAAGCGGGTTTGGGGCCTGAAAATCCTGCGGAGGGGAAACATTGGGTCCGGCTGAGAACCTGAAAGGGGAGGATGAGGGTGCTTCCTCAGTGCCCACATTTCAGCCCACTAGTCTCTGGGGATATCAGTACCGCTTCCCCACGGATTACTAGGTGCTGGCTGGACAGCCTGGCCTCACCGAGCGCGCCCGGGAGGCCGTAGGTCTCCCGCATCACGTTCCGGTACAGGGCCCTCTGCGCGGGCCGCAGGCACCCCCACTCCTCCGGGGAGAAGTATACGGCCACGTCCGCGAAGCTCACGGCCCCGGGTCTGCTTTCTCTCGTGGGTCTGCTCCCGGCCTCCCCGGGTACATCCACCGGGAGCGGGGCCAGAGGCGGCGCCATGGGAAAAACCCTTCAGTGCTACGCCAGGAGACGCTTCCGGAATACGTGGAAACGCTAGAGCTTTCCTATCTTCTCAAAAAGTCCCTAAGGGCCCTAGCACTGCCCTTAACCAACATGGCGTCTCCCCGGCCTCAACCTCCCTCGCCTTCCCTGTCTGCCCTTACCTACCGAGGGAAGAGCCAAAAGGGAAGTCGGAGCCGCAGCGCTGTCAACCGTAGGTGACGTGCGTTGATTGGACGGCGCCGGGCGGACAGGGGAAGAAGGCGGGCAGTGATTGGTCGTTCCGGAGCGGCCTATTTGAAAGGCTGAGGGAAAGACTGGTGTGTAGGTGTCGGGCGCTGAGAGACTGTAGGCTCTCTTTTCCCCTGGTTTTTCCGCGATAGGACCTAAAACAGAAGTTTTGACGGATTGGAGCTACTCCTTTCTGCTACTTACGTGAGACCTGTTGCGAGCAGATGCAGATCTCCTGGGCTTGCAGGTGAGTAAAAGCTGACGAGCGAAGACTGAGGCCGATTCTGGAGATGATGGAAGTGAGGGATGGCCCATCCCCTCCTGCTCTGGGTACTCAGGGCCCCGCCAGCCCCGGTTCCTACCCGGTATTTGGTTTGGCCCATGCCCCGAGGTTGCAAATGTCTTGCCTTTCACGGACGCAGCAGCTGAGGGGCAGAAAGCCCAGGTGACTGCCCACGGGCGGCAGAGCCAAATTCAAAGTGATCTGGCTTCCAGGCTCAGCTAAGTGCTTAGCTAAGTGCTTACTGTACCCTGTGTCAATCGGAAAACTTGTGTTTAAATTACAGCTCATAAATGAGTAATAAAACTGGGAAACAAATCAGATCATCTATCTCTTGATCTGTTTTGCAAGCTTTCCCAACTAAGTAATATTCATAGGAACAGAGAAGAAAAGTTCTAGAGATATAACAAAAAAGCTGTCCATCCCCACAGCGAAACCACTTTGAAGACATAATATAGCTTTACAATTCATGTGGATATCCATTCTATTTCATAATTTAACCAAATTCAATAGACTATATAGGCAAAAGTAAGTTTTGTAAATATGGAACACTCTTAAAATACAAGTGGAGTGTAAGTTGGTACAAGTAGTTTGGAAAACTTGCAGTATCTACTAAAGCTAAATATATGCATACCTATGACCCAGCAATTCCACTCCTCCATGTATACCCAACAGAAGTGCATGCATATTACCAAAAGGCTTACTGAAATGCATACATTTACTGAAAGAAGTGCATATATTTACTGAAAGACATGTGTTCAGATGTTCACAGCAACACCAATTGCAATAGCCAAAACCTAGAAACTATCCACAACAGAAGAATGAATAAATATATTGTGGAATATTAATTGAAATACTATTCTTGGAATACTATTCATAGAATACTATTCAGAGGGGCATGTGGAGTCTCTAGTAGGGCTCCCTACTCAGCGAAAAATCTGCACTCCCTCTCCCTCTGCCCCTCTCCTGACTTGTCTCTCTCTTTCAAAGAAATAAGTAAAATCTTTAAAAATAAAAATAAGAAAAAGAAAATCAAAATAAGCCAGCACTCCCAAGTACATTTGTGCTCCCTCTGTGACAAACCAAAGATGAAAACATGAACTGGCATTGTGGTTCCTAAGTGAAAATGGAAGCTAGTGGTGTCTGAACCTACAAGACCACTTTTTTTTTTTTTAAGATTTTATTTATTTATTCATGAGAGACACAGAGAGAGAGAGAGAGGCAGAGACACAGGAAGAGGGAGAAGCAGGCACCATGGCAGGGAGCCCGAGGTGGGGTTTGATCCCAGGACTCCAGGATCATGCCCTGGGCCAGAGGCAGGCACTAAACCGCTGAGCCACCCAGGGATCCCTACAAGACCACTTCTGTTGTCACAGTAAAGTCGACTATTGGAAGACTGAAGGAATTTTTTTCATTTGAAACATTGCTAGCCTATAATAAATGAGTTAATTTATGTAAAGAAAAAAATGGAGGGAGTGGGAAGATCAAAGTTGAAGATGTGACAACAAAAACTGGTGGGAATGATGGATTGCTGGAAAGGGGACACAAACCAAAGACTTTGGGTAGCCTCTAGAGGCTGGAAAAGGCAAGGAAAGGATTCTCCTCTAGAGATTGGTGAATGCAACCTTGCTAACATCTTTTTTCTTTTCTTTTTTTTTTTTAAGATTTTATTTATTTCTTCATGAGAGAAACAGAGAGAGAGAGGCAGAGACACAGGCAGAGGGAGAAGCAGGCTCCATGCAGGGAGCCTGACGTGGGACTCGATCCTGGGTCTCCAGGATCAGGCCCTGGGCTGAAGGCTGCGCTAAACCGCTGAGCCACCCAGGCTGCCCACATCTTTTTTCTTTAAAAGATTTTTATTTATCCATGATAAACAAGGAGAGGCAGAAACATAGGCAGAAGGAGAAGCAGGCTCCCCCTTCAGCAGGAGGCCTGATGTGGGACTCGATCCAAGGACCTTGGGATCATGCCCTGAGCCAAAGGCAGATGCTCAAACACTGAGCCACCCAGGTGTCCCCCTTGCTAACATTTTGAGTCCCATAAGACCCATTTCCAGATTTCTGACCTACAGAATTGTAAGATAATAAATTTGCATTATTTTAAACCACCTAGTTTGGTAATTTCTTACAGTAGCAATGGGAAACTAATACACGTCACATTATCGAGGAGCTATTTCTGAGCTTTATCAAGACTGTATTGGGCGTAGGAGCACTCTCCTAGCTCTGAATTTGAGAATTGAAGATCTAAAAGATGCATTACTCAAAGAGATTATGTTGAATGAAAGAAGCTGTAGACGAAAGAATACACACTTTAGGATTCCGGTTGTATAACACTTTATAACAGGGTAAATAAATCTGTGCCGAGGACACAATTAGAGCAATAGTTGTCTGTGGTGGGATAAGGATGGGTTTAACCAGGAAGGGAACTTTGTAGGATGATGGTATGTTATATATATATATATATATATATATATATATATATATATATATATTTAAGATTTTATTTTTTTTATTTATTCATGAGAGACACACAGAGAGAGGCAGAGACAGAGGCAGAGGGAGAAACAGGCTCCATGCAGGGAGCCTGACGTGGGACTCAATCCTAGGTCTCCAGGATCACACCCGGGCTGACGGCAGCGCTAAACTGCTGAGCCACCCAGGCTGCCCCTGTTCTGTATTTTGATAGAGGTTTGGGTGTATGTATTGCCAGATTCAGCAAACACACACTTAAAATTTGTTTGCATTTTATTATGTCAGTTTATTTATTTATTAAAAATTTTTTTATTCATGAGAAACAGAGAGAGGCAGAGACAATAGGCAGAGGGAGTAGCAGGCTTCCCGCTGGAGCCTGATGTGAGATTCGATCTCACGACCCAGGATCACGACCTGAGCCAAAGACTGATGCTCAACCACTAAGATACCCAGGCATCCCTATTCTGTGTCAGTTTAACCAAAAAAAATATGTAAAGCAAATGTTGAGTTCTAGTTAATGATGTATATGCTGAAATATTTAGGGGTAATGTGTACTGATGTCGACAATTTCTTTGAAATGCATCAAAAAATAAAATGGACTTTTACATCTCTCCAGGTAGAGAGATGGATAGTTATGCAATAAAGTAAGTATAGCCTGCTTGTGTCTCTGCCTCTCTCTCTCTCTCATGAATAAATAAATAAAAGATTTTATTTATTTATTCATGGGAGACACAGAGAGAGAGAGAGGCAGAGACACAGGCAGAGGGAAAAGCAGGCTCTATGCAGGGAGCCGGACGTGGGACTCAATCCCGGGTCTCCAGGATCAGGCCCTGGACTGAAGGTGGTGCTAAACCGCTGAGCCAGCCGGGCTGCCCTCATTTTATTTTTTTAAAGGTTTATTTATTTATTTTAAAGAAACAGAGAGAGCATGCATGCTGCGGGAGGGGCAGAGGGAGACAAGCAGACACACCACTCAGCAGGGAGCATTATGCAGGGCTCATCCCAGGACCCCGAGATCATGATCTCAGCTAAAATCAAGAGTTGGACACTTAACTGACTGAGCTACCCAGGTGCCCCATTATTTTTCATTTTAGATTATTTTTTTAAGATTTTATTTATTTATTCATAGAGACAGAGAGAGAGAGAGGCAGAGACACAGGCAGAGGAGAAACAGGCATCATACAGAGAGCCTGATGTGGGACTCCATCCAGGGTCTCCAGGATCACACCCTGGGCTGCAGGCAGCGCTAAACCGCTGCGCCACCAGGGCTGCCCTTCATTTTAGATTAAAAGTAGCCAGGGGCAACTACATGGCTCAGTCATTTGGGCACCTCCCCTCAGCTCAGATCATGATCATCATAATCCTGGAGTTCTGAGATTGAGCCCTGAATCAGGCTCCCTGCTCAGCGGGAAGTCTGCTTCTCTCTGTCCCTTACCCAGTTCGTGCTCTCTCTTGACTGCTATGTCTGTCTCTTAAATAAACAAATAACATCGTTAGAAAAAAGAGAGACTGACTTACTTTACTTCCAAAGCTTATTTCTGGAATACCATTTATAGGAGATTTGTACCAATTCTTCTGGGAAGATAGTATTTTATTTGTAAGAATGACTCCTGATTAGCAGCAGACAGGACACAGACTTATCACCTGGCCATAGCTACAAGCAAGATTACTGATTCTGTTGCAGTATCTTTTATTTTAGGGGTTCTGTCCCTTTCACAGGTATGTTGACATTCATTTTCTCAACTCTGTAGGAGCATTTCCTGGTCTTGCTTTTATTTATTTTTAGAAGATTTTATTTGAGAGAGAGAGAGTGAGAGACCACAAGCAGGCGGGGGGTGGAAAGGAAGAAGCAGACCTTCCGCTGAGCAGGGAGCCCATTATGGGGTTCCATTCCAGGACCCTGAGATCACTGAGATCATGACCTGAGCCAAAAGGAGACACTTAACTGACTGAGCCGCTCAGGTGCCCCCTAGTCTTGCTTTTAACAACATCTTCTAAACCAGTAACTTCTCTGTGTTTATTGTTAAACTTTAATTCACAGGATAGTTATGATACTGTTTTTTGCATTTTCCCAGTTCCTTGACCAGTTGTTCTTGGAATTTGGGAAAATGTATATACGTTCCCTAGGAAACATGAGAAGGAATTCCTACATGCACACCCCAGAAAGAACCACAAGAGGCACCAGGAGCACTAGAATATGGGCATGAAAGCTAAGTTATGGGCGAGCTTCAGTAGGAAAACTAAGGTAAATAAGATTGAAAGTAAATTATTGATTTGCCAAGTCACCAGGCATCTTAAAGGACAGTTTGGGTGGAATAACACCCTGTAGAGCAGTCAACTTTGGAGTCACACCTGGCTTGGAATCCTGGCCCTCAGGCTTACTAGATATGTGATCCTGGACAAGTTACTTAATCTATCAGTAATTTCAGTTTCCTCCTCTATTAAAGGGGAATTATACATTCTGTCAGGTGTGCAACCTAAGGTTACCCTACTTACAAATTAACAAATTAGCCTCTTATTGTTTCTTGGATGCTGGCAGAAGACAAGAGACCCCAGTGTCCTAGACCAAAGACCTTGTCCAGGGCACAACAAGCCACCTGAGCATCATGTGTGTGTTGGTTCTTTTGTCTTGTAAGCCCCACAGAGGCAGCCTGGAGGGGCCTGATGGACACCAGGCATGCAGTGAGTGTGGCACTGTGGGGGAGGAACAATGAACTTTGGGAACCTGGTGTTTTATGGTAAGTAGCAAGCAAGCTGCCCTTTGTCCCAAACTCCCTTACAGTTGCTTAATGCAAACACAACCATAAGAAATGGCTGGGGAAAGAGTAAAAGAGTGGTCAGGGCCTTGCCTACTTGCTCGCTTGCTTGCTTTCTATACTCTAGGTTACAGCTTTTTTTTTTTTTTTAAGATTTTATTTATTTATTCATGAGAGACACAGAAAGTCAGAGACACAGGCAAAGGGAAAAGCAGGCTCCCTGCAAGAAGCCTAATGTGGGACTCGACCCCAGGACCCCAGGATCATGACCTGAGCCGGAAGGCAGACACTCAACCACTGAGCCACCCAGGTGCCCTGGTTATAGCTTATTAAAGGAAAAGGATATAGATTAAAGTCAGCAAAGGAGAAAGGTGCATGGACAGAGCCCAGGAGAAACCAGATACAAACTTCCAGGCGTTCTTGTCTAGTGGAGTTGCACAGGGATGCACTTTCTTCTTCTAACAATGATTTGTGACAATATGTGTGAACTGTTGCCAACCAGAGAAACTCACCCAAGCCTTGGTATCTAGGGTTTTTATTGGGGAGTCAGTTACACACAGAGTACCCACATGACTGACCTTAGCTACTCAGACTCAGCCTCCCGGAGCAAAAACACATTCATCATAAACCACATTGTCAGGATAAACTCATCTGGTCAGACTGGTACAGCACGGCTTGGGGCCTCCAGCATACAGTCACACCCTAATCAGGCAAAATAGTACAAGGCTTTGGAATTTATCTCCCAGGAATGAGCCAAGTGCCAGTCCTGAAGATGGGCTTTCTTTGGAGTGGGCAGGGTTTGAGCAACTTAGGCCTGCTGAGTTAACCCTTTTCTATACATGCCTGGTCTCCAGGAGTCCACTGCCTGGTGAAGTACAGAGATGTTTTGGATCTCCAAAAATTACAATGTGTATAGATCCAATGTCCAGTAATCCCTAAAAACCATAATGACTTCCCCTTTTCCTGTGCCTTGCCACCCTGGGAAATAGCTGCAGGTACATTTGAGAAAGGCTAGAAGGAAGATATACCCTGTGTTTTTGCCAGTGTAATATAGTCCTTCATCAGGGGGCTCAACCTCTCTTCGTTTAGGAGGCTCTAGGTCTGGAATTGGCTCGTCTGAGAATTTGTTGAAGGCAAGGCCTTGCATTTTTGGCATACTCTGCAAGATGTGGAGCAACGCGAGAGACACATGGAGGAGCATCTCCTCACATCTACTTTATGTGGTTCTCATACACATTACATTGGAATGCATATAAAGTGCTTAACACAGTATGTGCCCCATCATAAATGCTCAACAAAGTGGCTATGATACTATTGCAATAGGCCAAAGAATACAGAGAATATAGGCTACTGTTTCAATAAATTTAGCTGAGAGGCGCCTGGCTGGTTCAGTTGGTAGAACATGTGACTCTTGATCTTGGGTTGTGAATTCAAGTCCCATGTTGGGTGTGGGGATTACTGAAAAATAAAATCTTAAAAAAAGAGATTTTAGACTGGCAGGTGTGTATTCCAGACAAGAGAGGGACTCTGAAACCATAAAACTAAGAGGAGAGAAAGATGTAGCACAGTCCCCTAGAGGGCAGGAGATAAAATCAAGCACAACTATGTTGGTGAACGCTGTAATTAAATACTTGTAAATGTGGAGTCAGTGGAGAGTGAGATATTAAGAGCTCCTATTTGAAACCTTTGGTTTCTTAAAGAGAAGGTATTCACTGGTTAAGGATACAGGGAAGACATACTGAAGGCTCACTGAGGTTGAAGATGAGGAAAGGCGTGCTGGCTCTGGCACCTCTCAGCAGCACTGCTATTTCCTCCTCTACAGCTCATGGGAGATAAATCCATATCATGACTGTGGATTGTTCATTCTTTGGGTTGCAAGTAACAGAAACTCAAACTACCTGAAACAGAAGGGGGAACTAATTGGAAGGATACTGGGATCTCCCATGGAAAACAGGGCCAGGTCACAGCTGGGCATGGAATGACACTGGGACTGAAATACTTTAGGGGACCTAGGAAGTTGTCACTCATCTTGGCCCTCTACTGACCACACACACACTGGAACTTGGCCACCAGGGCCTCCAAGTCTTATGAGTTAGAATCCGGGCCCAAAGGAAGTTAACAGAATTCCTAGATAAAGAGAGTTGGGTCAGCCTGGTGGTAAACATAGAATAGCCTGTTCTAATATAGAGCTAGGCAGACATTTGAATAGCTGTTAGGGCAGGTCTGCATCAGAACTGTAAAAATTTCTACCCAGTCAAGGACCTAGACTTATATTTTATAAACAGTAATTCCACAAGGAACATCATTTATCGACATTTTAATGAGACCCAATCTGGTATGACCCGTCTTAGGGTAGCTCATCCATTCATCTGAGGAGAAACAGTTACAATGCAACTTGCTAAATACCAGAACAGAGGTAATTACAGACACTGTGTCCTCTAGCAGCTCCCCCACTTTGGGGCTGAGATTAGGAGAGCTGAAGGAACAAGCAACAGGGGTAGGAACATGACCCACTCCAGCTGTTGGAATAGCAGAGAAGTCATGTTGGGAAATCCCAATTTGGTGCAGCTACCCAAGGCAAAGTGGTAGGCCTTGTTCATTTAATGTGGTAAAGCTTTACTGAGCATCTACTCTGATGGGTGCCAGGGAGGCAGAGCAAAGATTAAGACACATTGCTGCTGCTGCTTTGGGGAGCTTATGTGAGGAAGGCAGGCATGAACACAATTTGGGGACTATAGACTCTTCCTGCTCTGTGTTCAATTACTCAACTTTCTACCTCCCTTGAATGGTCTCATCTCATTTTATGAAAACTGTTGAGGAGTCATGGAAAGTCCTGTGCTGAGGTTTCCTTATTCTGATGAGAATCAGGGAGGAGTGAGACCCAGTTCTCAAGGATTTTCTAGCCACTGGCTGCCTGGAACTAATCCACATCCACTGGATGAAGCACAAGCTGGTTCCCGTTTTACCTCTTGCTGCTAGGTCATGGCTCCCCTGCTTTTCCTTAAAATCAGTCTTCTCCCAAAGCTTATTTTGCCTATGTCCCAGACCCAACTTGAATCAATTTCCCAAACATGGGAAGCAGAAGACTTGTCTTCACAGTATGTGGTTTAAAAAAAAAACAAAACAAAAAACCTAGGTATTTATGTGCCTGCAATGAAGCCCTGGTCCAGTGTCACCACCCCCAGATTCAGTGCAATCTAGAGCTGTTAAGACAGGTAGAGACCAAGGAGGTGTACAGTGTACACTGTGCTGCTGGCATATTTTAGCCTGGCCCTTTAAAAGGGACATTGAAAAACCAACACCTGTTTGGAGAGAGCACATGTGGGAATGGAAACTCTGTCTTTAAGGAATGATTGACCAAATAATGCTGTTTAACCTGAAAACATGGGCAAAGCAGATGTAATTTAAATTCTCTGAAATGCTGTCATGTAGATGGAGTATTACATATTCTGGGCCAGGCTTATTGGGAAGGAGAATGTGGTATTTCAATAGCCTTCTATTAAAGATCAGAGCTATCCCACAATGAAATGACCTGCCTTGTGAGGTAGTGAGCTCCCTGTCAAGGGAGGTTTTAAAGCAAGGGTAAAACAACTTGGCAGGAGTGTTGTAAAAAGAGGGCTAAACCAGGTCTGTTTAAAGCTGGTATGAAGGAAGGGGCAGAGCAGGGCAAGCTACCCCACCCCCCATGAATGGGATTCTCCTGACTGTATGCAAGGGGACAGGTAATCCCTGTATACACAAACTAGAAAAGCAAACAGCTTGGAAAATAGCAGGGAGAACTGTCAGTGCTGATATCAACACACAGAAATACTTTCAGGATAGGGTAGCTTGGAAAACAACCACATGATGTCACCTCTCCTAATGGAACTGTCTGTTCTAGACACTTATGGTAAGGCAGCCAGCGTGGTGGAAGAGACTAGAGTTCAGGGCTCTGTAGCAGGACACCTGGATTTTCTGTTCGGACTCTGCCTTGCCTGACTTGGGGCTTCTGCTTCCCTTCTCTGGGCCCCTCCGTGAAATCAAATGAACCTCGTGGGTCCTTCCCCTACTAAAGCGCACTGCCCTTCTGGCTGGCGCCCCCTAGAGCAGATCTAGAGCTACAGTTCGGGGCCTTGGGGCTACACTTGTGGACTGCCAGAGACCACCTCTGGCGGAAGCACCGGCCGCACTCCAGGCAAGGGAAGGGCTTCTCCCCTGTGTGCAGGAGCTGGTGCTGAGCCAGGTGGCTCCACTGGGCAAAGCGCTTGGCACACAGGTCGCAGGCATAAGGCCGCTCGCCTGAGTGCACGCGCCGGTGACTAGCCAGGAGCGAGGGGTAGGCGAAGCGGCGGCCACAGTCCTCGCAGGCGTGTAGCTTCTCCTCGGTGTGCGTGCTGCGGTGGATGGCTAGGGAGCCGCTCCGCCGGAAGGCGCGGCCGCAGTCCGGGCAGGGGTAGGGCTTCTCTCCTGTGTGCAAGAGCTGGTGCTGGAGCAACGTGCTGCGCTGGGAAAAGCGGGCCTCACAGTGCTCGCAAGCATAGGGGCGCTCCCCGGAGTGCACCCGCCGGTGGCTGACCAAGCGAGAGGATGAAGAGAAACGCCGCTCGCAGTCTGGACACGGGTAGGGCTTCTCGCCTGTGTGGATGCGCTGATGGATGACGAGGGCGGTGCGCTGCCGAAAGCGGCGGTTGCATTCCAGGCAGGTGTAGGGCTTCTCTCCCGTGTGTGTGCGTTGGTGGATGGCTAGCAGGGAGGGATAGGCAAAGCGCCGCCCGCAGCTGGGGCACTGGTGGGGCTTTTCACCTGTATGCGTGGTCCGGTGATTGGCCAAGGAGCGGCTTCTACGGAAGCAGCGGCCACAGTCGGGGCAGTGGTAGGGCTTCTCCCCTGTGTGGATAACCTGGTGCTGCGAGAGGTTCTTGCGTTGGGAGAAACGTTTGCCACACTGGTCACACACGTAGGGACACTCACCGGAGTGTGCCCGCCGGTGACTGACCAGCAGGGAGGGATAGGAAAAGCGGCGCCCACAGTCTGGGCAAGGATAAGGCTTTTTCAGATTCTGGGCACACTTGTGGCTCTCCAGGGCCAGATGATCAGGGAAGGTACAACCACAATCAGGGCAGATGGGGCCCCCAGATGTCTGCCTGGGGATCAGCCGGGGTTTGCTGGGCCGCCGCCCTCTCTTCCCTTTTCGGGGTGCCTCCTTAGGCGGGAACACTTCCTTCTCTCCATTCTTCTTTCTGGTTTCTATAGAAACACAGGGAGAGATTAATTTAACAAATACTACTCCCCTATCCTTGCCCATGACACTGTTACAGGTGAGAAGACAAACAGGCTCAGCCCCTCTTCAAGGAGTGTTAGTGCCAAGGACAACAAGCTGTGACATACTACTAAAGAAATAGGGAGGATATTCCAGTAGTCCCCAGCTCTGTCTGGAGAAGTCAGGAAGTGTTTCTTGGAGGTTATGCAGATTTGAGAAATTACAAATTTTTGAAGAGGTTAAGTGTAAGGCAGGAAGTAGAAGCATGAGGTGTGAGATGGCAGTGACTAGGTCATAAGGCCCTCTAGGCCAATGGTTCTCAAATTTTATTGTGATGAGAATTATTTGGGTAGCTTATTGAAACAAGTTTGGCTTCAGCAGGTCTGGCATGGGGCCCAAGATTTTGTATTTCTGATTCTTTCCTGAGTGATGCTGCTGCTGGTCTGAGGACCACACTCTCAACCACTGCTGTTGAGGACCTTAAACTCCAGTGCTTCTCAAACGTAAACATGCATGCCAATCAACTGGGGCCGTTAACAAAAGAAATACAAGGTCCTAGATATCCATCAGAGTAAATTAATAGTTCTGGGTCCAGGAATCTTTTTTTTTTTTTTTTTTTTTTTTTACTGAGTTCCTCAAGTGACTGCACTATAACTGACAGCCACATGACAACCTGCCATGGCAAAAACGGAAAAGTTTTAAGCAAGGAAGTATCATGGACAGATCTGAATCTTGGAAAGACAGCCCTGGTCTCAGAGAATCCAGCACACAAACGGCAGCCCAAGCAGTTATATCCACCCCTATGGGTGTATCTGGGACTGGTCCACCTTAATGGCATTAATCAGAGCCTTGCTTGATCCTGAGAGCAGATTCCTGCACCGATTAGGGGTTGCCCTGCCAAAAGGGCAAAAAGAGGACCCTGCACCCCAGGAAGCTGTTCCCCATGAGATCCCTTCAACCCAAATCCAGAACACCCAGACAGGTACCAGGTGTCTCAGTCAGAGCCCAGTTCAGAGCAGACTGGGGGACAGGGATCCTGGGAAGGAGGCCAGAGGGTAGCTCCTTCTAAAAGCTCACCAATTCATTCACACAACAGAGAACTGCAGGCCCTTGTTTTGCAAACTGACATGTAAATCACTGTATGGTGGACCCACCCAACACCATCAGAGAGACAAGATCCTAAGGTGTGAAAATGAACACAGAAAATAAAGCATTACAGCATGGGCCACAGGCTCCCCAGGCCACCAACACTCTAGACTAAGTCGTTAGAGGTTGCAGGCCCTTTGCAGGCATTTTACACTCACTTCTTTGGACTGTTACCCGTCTTGGGCACTCTTGCGGATCCAGGGCAGCCGGTTCCCAATCATCGGTATTTCGTTCCAACCAGGAGATGAGGGCTGGTTTGGGGCCTGCGCACCCTGGGCGAGGAGAACCAGTCAGACGTCCAGCTCCTAGATAACGTTCGGTAAAGATCTACCCGGTGTCATCTCCTGTCCTCCTCCCCTGACACAACCTGGTCGCAGGCCAGGTCCCTGGACACTCTGGTCTCCCTGCCGCCCTGCCCTTACCCCCCCGCCCGCTCCTAACCTCCTCCATCCCTAAGGGCCCCGCGGACGCGAACGGGGCCGGGCCTCACCGAGCGCGCCCAGGTGGCCGTAGGTCTCCCGCATCACGTCCCGGTACAGGGCCCTCTGCGCGGGCCGCAGGCAGCCCCACTCCTCCAGGGAGAAGTACACGGCCACGTCCGCGAACTTCACCGCCCTCGGCCTCCTTCCCCTTCTCCGGCCGGGTCCGGCCTCTCCTTGTCCCCGCGCGGACAGCGGAGCCGAAGGTGGCGCCATTGGACCCCAGAAGCCGGCGCCACGGCCTTCCCCGTCCCGGCCTGGACCCCTGGCGGACCCCGGGATTTGGGATCCCCAGCCGGACCGGGGCTGAGCGTGCCTGGGGAGGCCCGAAGGGAATAGGAATCGGCCGCCTTGCGGGGCTAACGGAAACCTTTCGCTGTTATTCAGGAAACTCCTGCCCGAACTTGGGTGAAAGGCACCGGAAGATGCCTTCGGGGAAGATGGCGGCGCTGCTACCGCACCGCCTTAGCCTGGAACACAGGCGGCTTCCAGCTATCGATTTTATTGACCTGAGCGCCATGCCGGCTTCCTAACCTCTTTGCCCTCAAGTGTGATGGCGCTGCGATTGGGCTTCACGCCCTTTTTTCCCCCATTACGCGCGCCCATTGGGCGGCGGCCGAAGATCGGGCGTTCTGATTGGATGGTGGCGAAAGCGGCCTGTTTGAACGAAGCCAACCGAAGCTTAAGGGCAGGAAGCCGAGCCTGGGCGCCGGGTCCCTGCAGCCAGATCGCAGGCGGGCGGCGGCGAGGTGGCTAGGCGTCTAAGTGACGGGCCCTGTTCTCTGGCAGCCGCTACCTCCCGGAGGAAGGGAAGGATTTGAGTGACGGAGCCACCCCGGCCAACCTGGGGCTGAGAGTACCCCGGTGGCTTTCTCCGAATTGGACAACTTCCTGGTGCCCTTTCGGGAGGGGAAAGAACGTTGGCGTTTCCTGCACGCAGGCACCGTACCCCTATGACACATTTCATCTTTTTTTTTTTCTTTGCTACCGTTGTGTAAAGTTCGTGATAGTTATCCTCCGTTTCTACAGATAGGAAAAATCTCAAAGGGATTCTGCTTGTAAGGAGAAGAAACAAAGATTTAAACCCGAGGCTGACCGACCCTTTATTAAGACCGCTGAAGTCGGCTCCCTTCCCCCGCACTATCAGAATTCGCTTGTCAATGATCTGATCTCCTGGCCTTTTCTCAGGTTCGATCTTCTGCACGTTTCTCCATAGTTTATTTTTACGTGACATTTGTCCAATGTACAAAGCGTGGTGCTGGGCATTTTGGAAATGAGTCGTGCACCACGCTCTGAATGGAGTTAATAGTTGAGTGAGGCACATGCATTTAAAAGTAGTAACAGTGCTGCAAGCATCTATGTGAAAGGCATAGGAAAATTGCTGATGGAACCAGTCAGCCCTCACTCCATCGGTCCCCACTTCTCTGTGGCTGTGCAGGGTTTCCCAAGGATCTGGGGATCAGAGAATATGCCATTTGCTACAACATTTCAGCTATCTCTCCAGCCCATTAATTTTTTAATTTTAAAAAAAAGATTTTATTTATTCATGAGAGACACACAAAGAGAGAGGCAGAGACATAGGCAGAGGGAGAAGCAAGCTCCAAGCAGGAAGCCCTATGCAGAACTCAATCCCAGGATTCCGGGATTACACCTAGCCAAAAGCAGAGGCTCAACCTCTGAGCCACCCAGACATCCCTAATCAACTTTTTTTAAGTACCTACTCTTAGCAAAACACTACCCCCAAAGCCTGCAAAGAGTAAACACAATGTGTCAGGAATTCGTAGGATAACAGGTAGTAAGGGGTTCCAAGGAAGATGACTTTGAACAGAGGAAGTAAGGGGGAAAAACCTGCAGTAAACAGGTTGAGTTCTTCTCTGTTCCAAGCATAGTGACTGTTGATTGAACAAACTACTGGGGATGCAGGTGGAATGTCAAGATTGCCAAATGAATAAGACAGGGTCCCTCTGACGTTCCAGATTGATGCATCAGGTGGAAAATGAGTTTGGTCTATGAATGGGTAGGATTTAGGGAGGGCAGTGGTGCTCAATGTACACCCATTGAATAAACAGCTGAATTCCAGGGCCATAAAGATCTCTGGTACAAAACAAGGAATTCGGGAAAGTTCTGAGTGTGGAGGGAATGAGTCCACTTTCTGATGCAGTACAAAATACCATTAGGGTAAAACTGAAGGATCGAAAGGATAGGCTGGCACCAGGTATTAGATGGCTTTATCCTGCACACTGGGGAGTTCCAAATCAGTTTAGAGGAGTGAATTGCTTTCTGATAATGTTTTTGGAAACATACTCTGGTAGTTTGCAGGGCTGATAGTTTTGTGCCTATGCTTTCTGCCTATACATAGTTCAGTTTAAAGAAATAAGAAGGTAAACTTGGGCTGCTAAGGGAATACAAAGGCCAATGGACAGCAAACCATTTCATTTGGAAGAAAGTGTTCAAACAGTGGAAAGGCATTTGTGGGAATTTTGCCTAAATGGTAATGATGTGCTGTCAATGATGCTGATACCAAACAGGAAGGATGATTAAATACTGAGATGAAAAGGTGCTGAGCCCTCTTCCCACATACAGCCCGTTAGCCCTGGGTTGGAAAGGTCCCATTTGGCCTAGCTTACTTTTGTCTTGGTGGGAGCTACGAAGGCAGGATCTAGGAATCAGGCAGAGTCAGATGCTCTTAACCATAGGGAAACATTTTGGAGGGAGAAGCACCTAGAACTTAATGTAACAACAGAGGTTCTTTTTTCTTTTTAATTTATGATAGTCACAGAGAGAGAGAGAGAGAGGCAGAGACACAGGCAGAGGGAGAAGCAGGCTCCATGCACCGGGAGCCCGATGTGGGATTCGATCCCGGGTCGCCAGGATCCCGCCCTGGGCCAAAGGCAGGCGCCAAACCGCTGCGCCACCCAGGGATCCCCAACAACAGAGGTTCTTGCTCCTTTCTGTATAAATTCCTGGATCCACACTGGGTACAAAGACAAGCAGGGCTCCGCCTTTATATTTCCCCTGTAGAGAAGAATGGAGAAGATCCATGGAGTCTGCACACCAAGAAGCCACATAAGGACCAAGGACACCTTGTTTTGGGTAAAGGAAAATGGTGGTGAGGGCCAAAAAAGTACCAACTAAGTGCCACCTTGTAGGCACATTGATATAGATGATCTCAATTGAAACTCGCCTTCCAGGAGTGCCCAGCTGACTCAGTCATAGTAGCCTGTGACTTTTTTTTTTTTTAAGATTTTATTTACTTATTCATGCAAGACCCAGAGATAGGCAAAGACATAGGCAGAGGGAGAAGCGGGCTCCCCTTAGGGAGCCAGATATGGAACTCAATCCCAGAACTCTGGGATCACACCCTGAGCCGAAGACAGACGCTCAACCACTGAGCCATCCAGGTGTCCCTAGCCTGTGACTCTTGATCTCAGGGTTGTGAGTTTGAGTCCATGTTGGGTGTAGAGATTACTTAAAAAAAGAAAAAAGGTTGGGATGCCTGGGTTGCTCAGTGGTTGAGCGTCTGCCTTCAATCCAGGGTATGAATTTGGAGTCCTGGGATCAAGTCCCACATTGATCAAGTCCCCACATCCTGCAAGGAGCCTGCTTCTCCCTTTGCCTACGTCTCTGCCTCTCTCTGTGTGTGTCTCTCATTAATAAATAAATAAAATCTTTTTTTAAAAAAAGGAGCCACGATGTACTTTAACAGATGAATGGATAAAGAAGATGTGGTGTGTGTATATATATGTATGTATGTATGTATATATATGTATATATGTATATATATACACACACAATGGAATATCAGCCATTAGAAAAGATGAATTTTCACCATTTGCTTTGACACTGATGGAAGTGGAGGGTATTATGCTGAGTGAAATAAGTCAGAGAAGGACAGTCATCATATGGTTTCACTCATACCTGGAATATAAGAGATAGTGAAAGGGACTATAAGGGAAAGGAGGGGAGCTGAATGGGGAAAAATTAGAGAGGGAGACAAACCATGAGAGACTCCTAATTCTGGAAAACACACAAAAGGATGCGGAAGAGGGATCCCTGGGTGGCGCAGTGGTTTGGCGCCTGCCTTTGGCCCAGGGCGCGATCCTGGAGACCCCGGATCGAATCCCATGTCGGGCTCCTGGTGCATGGAGCCTGCTTCTCCCTCTGCCTATGTCTCTGCCTCTCTCTCTCTCTCTCTCTCTCTCTCTCTCTGTGTGTGTGACTATCATAAATAAATAAATAAATTTTTAAAAAAAAGGATGCGGAAGAGGAGGTAGGTGGGGGGATGGGGTGACTGGGTGACAGGCACTGAGGAGGGCACTTGATGGGATGAGCACTGGGTGTTATACTAAATGTTGGCAAATTGAATTTAAGTTTTAAAAATGTAAAAAAAAAACTTAAATAAGAAATTCACCTTTCAGAGTCCTTATGAGGACAATTATCAAACAGTTGAACAGCTTGCCCAAAACTTGTTAGTAAAGGCAGAAATGAGATTTGAACCTAGAGTGTCTTCTGCATTCCACTGGCAGCTCTAAACAGGGTGCAAGTCTTTGAGATTAATTTCTCCTTGTTTCCTGCTCACTGAGAGGGAAGTACCTGGCAGTCCAATCTTTGATTTTTGTACACATGGACTTCACCTTATAGACTAACTATAACCCAACCTTTGCCTCAAATGTCATTGCACCATAAACCCACACTCCAGCAAACAGTAGTCCTCAGAGAAAGTTGTCATGAATAATGAAGGAATCTTACCTTCCCTTTTCAAGATTTTATTTATTTGAGAGACAGAGAGCGAGAGAGCATGAATTGGGGGAAGGGCAGATGGAGAGGGAGAGGCAGACTCCTCGCTGAGCAGGGAGCCCAATGCAGGGCTCAATCCCAGGACCCTGGGATCATGACCTGAGCTGAAGGCAGAAATTTAACCGACTCAGCCACCCAGGCACCACGGAATCTTCCCTTTTCCCAATAGATTCACATAGTCCAATTCTAGCCTGTGTGTTCCTGGGTGAGGTAACTCACTGGTACATTTCTGATTACCTCTATATACTGTTCTCAGAGGGAGGACGTCAAGGCACCTACAGATCTTTTCACTTTGTACATCTCACCCCTCCCCCTCTTTCTTCTGCCTCTACTCGCTCTGTGTGGCTAACACTTGCCGAGAAGGGATATCTTCCGTCATAAGCTCCTTCACACCACCCACATTTCTGGAATTTATCTAATAGTGGACATGAACTGAAGGGTCCTGATCCCCAAAGGAGGAGGGTGGGGCACAGGTCTCCCACATTTTGACCTCTCTGTGTTTTGGTTTTGTTTGTTTGTTTGTTTGTTTGTTTTTTAAAGAGAGACAGAGCTCAGAATGCCTGGGTGGCTTAGCAGGTTGAGCTTCTGCCTTTTGGCTCAGGGCGTGATTCCAAAGTCCTGGGATCAAGTCCCACATCGGGCTTCCCATGGGGAGCCTGCTTCTCCCTCTGCCCTTTTCTCTGCCTCTCTCTGTGTGCCTCTCATGAATAAATAAAATCTAAAAATTAATAAAATAAAATCTTTAAAGAGAGAGACAGCGCTCAGCGTGGGATTTTGGGGGGGGGTGTCTGTGAGGGGCAGAGGGAGAGGGAGAATCTAAGCAGGCTCCACCCGCAGCATGGAGTCCTACATGGGGCTCAACCTCACAACCCCGAGATCATGACCTGAGCTGAAATCAAGCGATGCTTAACCTACTGGGCCCCCCAGGTGCCCCGTGGCCTCTCCATATTTGCCTGATGGCTTCACTGGCCGGCTTTCAGGGTACACTTTCTCTTGGAGCTTTCAGCGCGCTCAGTGCAGGGAAAGGGCCTCTCATTAGAGCAGATATGCCTGTGGCTGAGCAGGAGGGAGGAGCAGGAGAAGCAGATGCCACACCCGGGCAGGGGTTTCCTGGGGGGGGGTGTGCATCTGTGAATGGCCAAGGGAGCCTGTGGTGGAAGCACCACCTATTGCCACAGCACCATTAGACAATGATGGCGGGGCTTCCTCAGGTGCACAGGCAGGTGGTTGGCCAGGAGAGAGGGCCATATGATGTCACACCCACAGTCTGCCCCTGTGTCCACACTTAACGG